ATTTTTTTTGGAGGTATGAATAATCTGCCCTAAGTATGAAAAGTTCCGGCCCCTATTACGAAAATCGAGTTGCCCGTATTACGAAAAATTCCGAGCCGAGGGTTCGAATGTTCTCTAAAAACACTGTACCAGCCAACATGCACTTCAAACGTCAGCTGTGGGGTTGCGCAATTCTGACTTCATGGTGTGGTTCCTGCTGGGAAAAGCTCGTGCAAAGCGATGATTGGTGCCAAGGTTTGGCTACAGTCTACACCTGGCATACCTTTGGGTTCAATAAGGTGAAACGGCATTTACGCTTTGGTGACTCTGATTGACAAGTGTCAAAACCGGGGTAAGATAGCCGGATCTAAACTGCACCTAAAATTCGTTTTGGGCAATGTATTCCGGTTTGGGTCCACAATACGTCACAGTAAGAACTTTCCGTATCGAGAGACGTGGCATGAAGGGATATTCCCCGCAAGATTCCTTCCTTCCCTGGTGACGGGGCCGATAGTGTGGTTGCGCTGTCAAGAACCAGGCGTTCGAGCGGACGCTCTGTTTCGAGTACTGTTGGCTAAGCCTGGTTAGGACTAATTTTGGCCGCAGGGACCCGACAATCCTGGCTTTTTGCCGTTGGAGGACCCCGCCATGCTCGGATGGATTTAAGGCACTGAACAGAAAATATTTTCAGCACCATGTGGAATATGGCACGGAGTGGGGTGATTATCGAGACATATGAAATTCGGGGAACGCATAGAACAGTCTCAATAGTGAAGCATGTGGTAGTAAGGATTGTTGATTTTCGGCAACCGAAATGTAGTACAAAGCCTTGATTGAACACAGTACTCAGTTACGAAATTTCATACTAGTCTGATGTCTCGCTATATGTCAGTTGCAAAGCAAACTGACTCCTCGGGCACCCGTAAAGTATTCCACCAGACTCTGCAATTACGCATCTCGACACTCACCAGTATTGGTGAATGGGTGCAAAATGCCAAGTCAAATCATCTAAAACAATATGCAGCCTGTAAGACAATTCCATTATCGACCCCAAGCTACTCTACATGTTAATTTTATCATTATTAAGAATTAGGAAGCACAATATAAATGTCTATGTATAACAGGCCTCTTAGGAAACGAACTGAAGGGTAAATACAGATATGCAATCAAAAGGATATGATCCGTCTGTTTTTAATAGTCTTAAGCCATACTCTTGTGAGAGTGGGCAGACATGACTGGGTACATGGTGTTTGGTTGGGCAACTTCATCTTCATCAGCGTATTCCAACTTGTTCAATTCTTCTTCAACGTCGTTGTACTTACGGAAGATGACCCAGAACAAACAACCACCGAGGAAACAAGAAACAGCCAAACCAGTGTAGGTCCAGACTAACTTTGGATCGACAGAGGTAGAGGACAAAGCAATACCAATGGCAGAACCGAAAGCGTTGGTGACCAAGAACAAAGACATGACGAAGGACTTCATGCTGACTGGAGCCTTGGTGTAAGCGTATTCCAAACCGGTAATGGAAGCCAAAATTTCAGAAATGGCAATCAAGAAGTAAGCAGGAGCTTGAATAGCAACGTGAACACGGTTTGGAACGGTAGCGAATTCTGGAGCACAAGCCTTTGGAGCATCGTAACATGGACCAGCAGCGTAAATGTAGTGTTGAAGAACAGCAGCGTAAACCATGGCAGCAGCACCGAACATGAAACCGAAGAAGATCTTGGTGATAGCCTTGAATGGAGTGAACTTTCTGATGAATGGGTAGACGAGTCTTTCACAGATAGGAATGAAGATGATAATAGCAATGGAGTCAATAGCTTGCAAAAGATCGTTTGGCAATCCGTGCAATTCCATTTGACCAGCTTGGGAAACGAAGTTGTTCAACATTTGACCGTAGACAACCCAGTAGACTGGGTAGAAAATGAAGACGTTACAAGCGTAAAGGGCTCTTCTGATTTCTTCAACAAACTTGTCAGTCCATGGGAAGTTCATTTCTGGGTGGAGAGATGGCTTGGCGGATTCAAGGTCGAACTTGTTCTTCATGGCGACCCAGACACATTGGAAGGTTCTGTTGATGACCTTGTCACCGACTGGGACCTTGACGTATTGGTTTCTACCCAAAACTAAGGCAAGAAGGGCAATGAAGAAGAAACAGAATGGCAAAAGGTAAGCAGCCCAGAAACCGATGTTCTTTTCCATTTCAGTGGTGGCAATGACGGACAAGGAACCGATGTTGATCATAAGGTAGAAGAACATGAAAACGTTTTGAATGGTGATGTTTGGATCTTGGACAACTCTTTCACCAGACTTCAACACCTTGATGACAGGTCTGGTCTTTGGAATTTGATCAGCAATCAATGGGGAGACATTGGACTTGACGCCACCAGTGGCAATACCGATGATAATGATGGAGACAACATAACCACCCAAAGCAGTGCTGTGAGAAGTGATGGATGGGAGAGAGGTGATGAACAAGATAAAGATACCAATGATGTAGATGACACAGAAAACGAAAATAGTCTTGTACTTACCCCAGTAAGTATCAGCAACCCAACCACCAAAGATAGGAGTGACGTAACACCAGAACTGGAAGAAGTAGGACAAAGCGGTAGCACCCTGGTTCTTCAAGTTCAAAACACCGGCAGGAACATCATCTGGGGCGTTTTGCATGTAGTTTTGGAAAGGAGCACTCAAACCGTAGTAAGAGAATCTTTCTGCCAACTCGACGATGGCGACCAACCAACAGGAAAGAGGAATCTTTTCCGAGACGTGTCTCAAGGTCTTCAATTCGAGGTCGGTGGGGGCTCTACCCTCATCTTCGACCCAGCCTTCATCGGAAGAAGATTGTTCCGCTTGGGATGCCGAGAGTTGTTTTTCGACAGCAGGTTCTTGCACCTTTTCGTTAATAGAGCTAGTAGACATAATGCTAAGAAATTTGAAAAGTCTTGGAAGGAGATTCGGCCAAGATTATATACAGCAAAAAAAGAAAGCCACAAAGAGTCATCCACGATAACGAGAAGCCTACTGGGGGGAGGTCGGCATTGTACCAGGCGTAACCTCCAATGCAGGTAGTGTGCCTTTGTTAATCATTGGCTCTGATAAGGTTACTAACTCCACAAATGGACATACATGGCGGAGATTTCAAATCTCACTTTCGCGGCAATGTGCAAATGCGCGTTGCTTTTTTTCTGACAGGTGGGGCAAGAGATGAGCCGCTCGATGAGACGGCTCGGTTGCATTAGAGTTGGGGAGGAACTAGAGAGCGGCTGGACCGTCGAGGCGCCAGATGGTGGCTGTTGGAACAGATCCTTCTCCGTTACGGCCTCCAGGCTGTTCAAGTCCCACCACCCTTGGCCAGGTAGTATTCACCAACCACTGGGTCACGGTTCAGAAAAAGAAAATCAATTTTTCCGGTGTGACACCATCTGTAAGTCGCCTCATGAGGCACCTGCGCATGCAACCTGCAAAAGTGGGCCGGCCGACTGTCATTGCTTAAAACTCCACGGCGTTGGGGCCGATACGGCGGGAGCTTTTACCTCCTACCGCCATCACGGCACCACCACCACAGACCCTGGTGGGGGCACCGTTACAGGGGGGGAGGGGGAGTACGTTGCGGGCTGGGGTAGCTGTGGGGAATAGCGAGCCCTCAATAGCCGAGCCTATCCGCCAGGCCCGAAGCCCCTTCCGAGAAAGCATTTCTTTTAGTCGCTTATGCTAGTTGTGCCGGGCAAACCCCGATGCTGGTTACCAGATTGGGCGGTACCGGAACTTTGTGGGCGCGAAAAGGGCCGTTTGTAGGCATAAGGTGATACTATATGCATGTTTTCATGCACATTTTTCCGTTTGCGGGGCGCTAACGGCCCTAACTTGGAGCGTTCCGCCCCCAGCGTCACCGACAATCCCAACACGGCGTTTGGGGGCGGGATGCCATGCGGCCCACCTTCATTCCCCAAATGCCTTTTTGCGCACGATCGCCCTCTGCAAGGAGCAGACGATGTTCCATGCCGCTGGATCTACTAGTTAATCCGGCTCCAGGGCCCTCTCGCACAAACGTAGCCAGACGTAGTGGAGATTTCCTTGGCTGCTTGGCGGTGCTGCTGTCAGCACCAGAATCCTTGGCTGACCGGTGACACCTGGACCACAAACGGGGGCCCGGTCATGTCAGATCCGGTCCTGGCCCTGGCCCCTACCCAATTTCTTGGCCCCAGATAAGTCCGCAGGCGCATTGCCCAATCGGGTGATTGACGCATGTCAGTTAAGGCAATTTGCACCGCACAAAAAATCTCCACCAGATATGGATCTCGATAATGCATCGTAAATTGGGCCAGCATCGATTGTGCTCCACAATCGTTCCACCCACCGATACGCTCTACAGATGCAGATGCCCACGGCTCGCCTTGACTTCGGCAAGACGCAGCCGTATGGGGTTTTTCCTGTGGCAGCGATGGCCCGAGGATGGCAGTTGCAGTTGCGGGTTGAGTGTCGTATCAGCGCCGCTTGCAATGCCGTAGGATTGGCGCTGCCAGCAGCAGTGGTTGCAAGCGGAACAGTCCCTGGCCGCGTATCACCGCCTAGCACCTCTTATCATGTGACTGGTGGTGGGGTTGTGGGCCAATTTGTAGTTGGGGTCCACAGGTTAGATCATAGTTGCTGGTGGGGTAGTTGTAGTTGGTTGCATGTTGCTTCAGATCTCATAGATTAGCGCCGTGGATGGGTACGCTGCAGGTTACCCTTCGCTACCATAGATGGCACAGCGTGCAGGTTAGCCATTGCTACTACTGATAGATACTATCGATATCGGAGTTGTATCCAGGGCAACATCCAATTCCACCTGATGGACACTCTGAGGTGACTACTACTGAATACTGATATCCTGTCACACTCTGCAGGTTAACCGTACTACCGATAGATACTGTTTATCATCTTAATTCCCTGCAAGAACAGTTTCCACATAGTATGGAAACTCTACAGATTAAGATTCGTACTAGTAATTGGCCCTGGCGCACGGCATGCTTGCTTATCATCTGAGATCTCTCCACAAACAACGTCTAGATTAGCGAATTGGGTGCTATGAGGCTAGCCTTCCTTTGCTGATTAAATTATGGCACACTCTACAGATTAGCCGGTTGCACGCTAATTTGCCATACCTGAGTTCCAATGACAAACAACATCTAGATTAACGGATGCAACACTCTACGCGTTAGTCTTGCTGGTATACTACTGATCGGCACACTGTAGAGCCGTCCCTGCCACGGATAGATGCTTGCATCATATCATATCTCTATCAGGGCACCTTAAATTATCGGATGGGAACTCCGAGCTAACCCGCGGTCCCAGACTACTGAATTAGCTCTGCGCTGGCTTCTACTGATACTACAGTTTACCCTTGCCGATATTACTTTGCCATATCTGAGTTCTACAGATTCTGACTGGAATACCCTTTATCTCAGTCCTGCTGATATTTCTAATAGAAGGCATACTGCATTGATACTGCCGATAAATACTTTTTATCATATCTGAAGCAACTTCAGATTCTAACTGGGATACTCTATGTTACCCTTCTACTGTTGGTACTCTACATTACCTTCTACTGAAGTCATACTAATTTATCATATCTACTTCTATCCACGGCAACATCTAGATCTAAGCCATCAGTGAGCGGGCCAGTAGCCGGGAAATAAAAAGTGCATCTTCGCCAAAACTTCCTTGCTCAAGCTGTGGTTGGCAGTGCTGACAGAAAACTTCATGCTGCCTTTCAACTCGGCTCCCAAGTCCTTACCATGCTCGCTGACAATCTCGATCAACGCAGCTGCAAGCTTGCAGGCATTGGCGGAATTGGCATTCAAGTTACCCACAATAGTTTCTACTGTCACTGGCTCCTCATCCTCGTTCCACGAGTCATAGTCTGTGGACATACAGATCATCTGGTAGGCAAGCTCGGCCTCCCTGGCGAGCTTGGCTTCAGGCAACACCGACATGTTGATCACAGAACCTCCCCACGATCTGTAGATCTTGGACTCGGCTCTGGTGCTGAACTGAGGTCCTTCCATACAGATCACAGTAAGATCCTCGGCTCCACGGTCATCTGGCTTGGTGTGGAGCACGGGAACGACACCCTTCTTGTCCTCAGCCTCCAAAAATCCGGTTTTGGGGATGTGGTCGCGAATCAAACGGTTCAACTTGAGGTCGAAAGGCTCGCCAAACATGGCATGGGCCACGAATCCCTTCTCGAAGAAAGTCAGAGGTCTGTTGCCCTTGGTTCTGTCGATAATCTGGGTTGGAACAACGAAATCACGAGGCTTGATCTCCTGCTGAAGCGAACCCACAGCCGAGAACGCAACCACCGCAGTGACTCCAAGGCTCTTGAGTGCAGCAATATTGGCTCTTGCTGGTACATCCGTGGGAAGAAGGTCGTGGGCTTGGCCGTGTCTGGCCAAGAAAGCCACTGGGAAGCCCTTTTCAGTCACACTGATGGTGATAGGCGACGATGGGAACCCCCATGGAGTAGAAACAGTGAGTCTAGCCACTGGCTTGAGGTTGGGGAGGTTGTAGAGTCCAGTGCCTCCGATAATGGCAAAAGTCACTGGGCCATCGTAGGTGCTGGGGAGCTCAGCACTTCCTTGGGCGTTTTCACGATGAAGTGACATCTTGGAAAAGGTTTTGACGAGTGATGTAGGACTTGTAGAGAACGGCTGGTGTGACTTGTGAAACAACAGTAAGCTCAGAAACGTCAATGGCAATTGGAAAGCTTTCGACTGACGTATGGAAAACAGCACAGCTAGCACGTTTAAATATTAGTCTGGGCGAAAAGAAGCCTGGGTCGTCTTTCACCATGTGGGCAGGCTGATGGTGGTTGACATCATCGCAACCTGTAAATCTGCGGGAGTAACCTGCAGAGTGCCCCTGGCATTGTAGACAGCCCAGGGTCGTGGTACATGTGAACTATGGTTATTTCTGAGGAAGGAGGTGGCAGAGTTGTTGTAGACATCAGATGGTAAGAGAATTCGGTAGTCTCCGGCGCAGTTCGGGTCTTGTAATATATTTTAATGGTGGAAGTTAATAATTGGCCCAAGCATTATTTGCATGTTGGCAACAATCAGAGAATCCAAAATTTGTGAAAAACCAACAAAACTAATTGAATATAATTTTAGACACCAAATGAATATACAATTAAAGATATACAATGAAAGAGAAGCTAATCATACCTGCTTTAATTAGTGAACGCAAGCTGAAATGTTGCGCATAAATACTTGAATCCCCAAAACCACCCCAAAGCCTTCTACTTGTTGTGATGACACAAAAGGTGATTGCACGTGGTATGATGCACGTGATGAATCACTCAAGTCCAGAAAAGAGGCTTCTTCAGCATTCTACACCAATCCACCCATGCTACACTATCTCTCTCATCGTCCTCCGTTACGGACGTCATTTCAGCCCACCAGGTCCATCTTTAGGTCCATATCATCCAAATCCCCTAAAGACCCAGAAGATTTGCCACCAGTGACGCCCAAAAAAAGGGTCCCAGTATACCCCAAGAACAAGCATGCCAAAGCACAAGAAAGCACTTCTGCATCAAGTATGACCACCAAACATCGTCTGAAAGCCGAAGACAAGACGAAACTTCTTAGATCTAAGAGAGCATTAAAGAGAGATGCCACCACAGGAACTTCTTTGGCTAAGGATATCACAAGGACTACATCAACAATCACCCCTGATCCAAACACATACATTCCCTTCTCCAAGTTCCCCAAAGTTCCTGAGTCAATCCTCTCTCAAAGCCTGGAGGATTTGTACTCCAGCATGAACTTGAAGTACAATCCAGATGCAGAACAACAACCAAGATACGTGGATTTCGCTATTCCAGATAAGTTTATCAAGCCCAAGACAAAGGATCTCATCACCGAAAAGGATCGCGCCCTCGTAAGTGAGCTCGACAAGTTCTCGAAGTCCGAGGAGGATGAAGAGGCCAACCAGACGCAATTGAAACTTATTAAACTCTACTATGATCAAGATACCAACACCCTTCAACCAATGCCTGAACACGCACTCAAGAAGTCCCTTCTGGGAATGATAAACATGAATAACACCTTGAATGATATCGAAGACGACTACTTGTGGGAGCTTTTTCCTAGAGATAAGTTGTTTGGCATCCCACCATTCGAGACCTCGAACGGTGGTATCAACGGCTTCAAAAAGTGGGAAAAAGACATGCTTGAAAAGGAAAAGAAGGAGCAAGACCTAAAAGATGAGGATATCAGACAGTACAAGGATTTCGAGCAATCTTTATCCGATACCAAGTCCTTCTACAAAAAAGTTGCTGGGGGTACCAGAAAGAAGGTTGACCGCAAGTTAGTAAAAAGATACAAGAAGTTGAAGGAAGAGGGCAAAATTCCAAATGACAACAAGGAAGTGGTTCAAACCATAAGTATTAATGATATTTTTGATGGGTTTTCTTAGGGATTAATGAGTTTTGACGTTTTTTTTATTGGCATTTATGACAAGACCTTTTGCATCGGTAACTGTCGAATTCGGAAGTAAGTCATCACGGATGGTCAATGAACTACAGGTCGATCCATAATTGTATATAGTTGGTCATGCTCAATAAAAATAGACTTAAAGGAAAATTTCCTTGATTGTATATGTCAAGCTATGGAATCTAATAGTTGGCTGTTCAGGATGAGATTTTAGCAATTGTTCTCAATATTATGTAGAATTCTCATGTCGATGCAGTTTAATAGCTAATGCTCTTCTCTTTACACGAAGCAACGAGAAATAAGAGAGTGACTAATACTGTACTTCAGCAAACCTCCTCAGGATCTTCTTGTTATTTAGATTGACGATTCGATTTCTGAACCCTGAATTGAGGTGTCGTTTAATACAACAGAGTCTTCCTGGAGAAGCAGGGCATTAAAGTCTAAAATCTACGAGTTACTCTTAAATAAATATGTCCAGTCATTTTGAGTAAAATAAATAATCGAATAGCGAGCTACTCTTTGCATTTCATGCTCCAGAGCTATCTAGAAATGTGCAACTCTGTTGGCTACTAAGGGTGAGTCTACTCCTTAATGACCAATTCAACATCTCCATAACCAAACCTTTCCTTATTATCTTCGTACACTCTCTTCAACTCGTCGATATACAATTTATGATAACGGTCCAACAATTCAGGAGGAATCTTGGTCTTCACTGAAGACTTCTTGGGCTGGTTGTTGATCTTGAACAAGTTTGTTATGGATCTTGACCTAAGTACCTTTTGCAGGTCATAGTCGGGGTGATTTGGGTCTGTTGATGATACAGCATCCAAATTCTCAAATTCGGGATGTTTAGCTTTATAGTCAGCCAAGCAGTTGGCTGGAATGTGGATTGGTTTTCCAAGACAAATGTTGATGGGGTTTCTGTAAGGGACAATACCAAAATCGTAAATGAAAACACCACGAGCACTGAAAAATGGAAGGGTGAACAGGAAAGTAGATTTCATCCACCTTTGAAAAGTGTAGCCCCAAGAACCGGGTTTTGGAATATTCAACTTGTAAATGTCCACTTCACCAAATGCAAATACTGGAACCAAACAGACATTTCCTAGCTCAATGGCAAGCTTAACGAAACCTTTACGCTTGTTGAGAACAAGCTGGATTTGTCTTTTTGTGGGGACGGGCTTTCCTGTGAATGTCAACTCTTCCTGTTCTTCCGAGGTCTGAGATTGGTTATTTTTGATCTTGATGGTTGTATCGTCTCCCTGCACGGTGCCCATCGGCTTTTCGTCTATATGGTGAGTCTTATCTGGATTTTTCAACCTCTTGTCCTTGTACCCGTAACCCACCTTGTACTGGTTGGTGACCATATCGTTCAACAAGGATTCCTGGGCCCCACCCACCACCAAGCAGATGGAGTTGTCGCCATTATTGATTAAGCTCTTGATGTTTTTGGCAGAAGCACTGCTCAAGCCAAGACCCAAGAGGTAATCACGATAGAACGGGATGGTAAACTGGGTGGTCAATGTCAAGGGAAAAACATTGCCGAGACCCGGCAAAATGCGTTCTCCCTTGGAAGGATCGTGGAAGAATGGTTTCAACCACTTCATTGGAGGCTCGTAGGGCTCGTTCCGAAGGGCATTGGTGGCGAACGCACCCATTGCCCCCATGGAGATGACTCCGTGCGGATGGTAACCAAAAATATACCTGGGGCCTGTTGACAAACGCTTGTACTTCTTGAGCTTGGTGGGAGTCAAGGAGCTGGAGTTTCCAGGTGGAGGCGACGACGAGTCTATGTCGTTAAGACGCTTGCTGAGCCCCAATTTCTTGAAGATCTTGTCGATCAAGGTGCGGGAGTCCTCGGAGATGAGATCCTCCTCGTCGTCAGCCGGCTCCTCGCTCTCCACCAACACGTCAGTGAATGTGGGCTCGAGCTCGCACGTCTTGTGTACGCGGATGGGGAAGTAGTTGACAAACCACTCCCACACAATGAAGTTTTTGATCCAGTTACGGGCACGATAAACGGCTTTTCCGTTGGTGGGGGTGTGGAGGTCGAAGCCGTACCACCAGATGAAGTAGGGGAGGATCACCACCAACCAGAACACCCATCCTAACGAGAGAAACCCGAGGAACGAGCATGCAAACACGGGAATGGACACAATGTGCCAGATCACGCCCAATGTCTCGAGGCGTGCCTGGAGTGGCGTGTTGAGGGGGGCCACATGGAGCAGGGGGAGTCTCAGAGAGGGCCTTTTGGGCAATCTGGGAGCAGTTTGGGGTGTTTTGGCTGTGTGGACGCTGTGAGCGGCTAATTTCGAGTCTTCGGAGTTGGCTGGTGCGGTATCTGGCTCAGGCGTGGCGCTCACACTAGTGGTGAAGCTAGGACGGCTGGGAGCACGAGCAGCGGCTCTGCTACGGAGGTGGCTATCCAGATCCAGGGTTTCCATTGCGGTGCACACTCGTGGAAGGGGAGCAGTTTATATAGTTGCTGGAGTGAGATTGTTCTGCTGCGCGCCTGATTAGGAAAGAAGGGAGAATGTGGTCTGGGGAAGTGGGGCAGACAGACACCGCAGGGAACGAGTGGCAGTGGCCAGTTGGGATGGCAGATGACACAGACACCACGATATGAAGGTATGAAGGTAGGATAGCAATCACCTAATTGTGTAGTGGAGGAACGGACAGTATCGTGGTGGGGGGAGCCCAGACCCTGATCAGGGATGGTGTGGGCGAGCCTGGCTGAGGGGTACAAACGGAGCTCGAAGGGGATGCGAGTGGGGTCAACTACTGGCAGGCCCCAGGGAATATGTGGCTGGAAGGGGTAATCGGGTGGAACAACGGGGTGCGGCATGGAAGGTTTTGGCAGGTGGTTTGGGCGGGTGGGCACAGCTCGATAGGTGGTTGTGCAGGGGTAGGGCGGAGAGGGGAATGGTGGAGAAGAGGAGTTGGTGGTATTGGTATTGGTAGTGGTAGTGGTAATGCGGTGCAACGGCTGCGATGCATGCGTGTGTCAAACTGGCAGGCGGAAGCAGGTGGTTATCGTGAGCGGTTTCGTACAGCATTTCCCCGTAAATCACGCTTTTGGTTTACGAATGCTCTATTATTAGCAATTTTGTCAGAAATTCCCAGTACGCCCCTGTCAGTTAGATATATNTTTTTTATTGTAGATTATAATCTACTCCCAGATGACTCGCTGCTTTCCAAGTATCTGGCTAGAGCTAGCCTGGTATCCTATACGCCAATTGCAATAGAGAACACTCCATTATTGTCAGCCGTTTATAATAAATTTAATCATGGGCTTCTACAGCATTTTACAATCGACCGGCTCTGCTTTACGGAAGTCTATGGTATTACCTTCGCTTATTGTAAAGTCCGAGGTACGCTCTTGGCTTAGTACAAAATTACGGTTTCGAATGGGGATTACCTAGCTATCCCTCGTAACACTCATGATTTCAGCATGTTTCAATATCATGATTCTGCTATATTGATGCATTTAGTTTTATCTTTAACTCATGTAGAGCATATCCTACGTAATATGACTCAACTCTACGTATTATCATTTTTCTCCTTAGTACATGTCAGCATATCCCACGCAATGCCTCAGCGAGATGGGTGTTTCCAGTCGTGAGGATAATTCAAAGTTGATTAACTTAACCCTCCTTTCACCTAAATTTATGAGGTTGACCTTGTTCAATAGCCTTCTCAAAATTTATATGGTTTCAAAACTAAAAACTAGGGATAACTTATCATAATCATCAGAATAGAACAAGCCAGTATCAGTTTTTTTGGGTAAGCAAAATATTAGACTTCTTAGGGTTCATTCTAAGGAGATGAAATCACTATAGAAAAATGCATCGGTGTTGCAGGATTACAGATTATTTCACAGTACAACAAAGATATCCAGTCCATGGGGAACCGACAATTACTTGCCAAAGTATTATTGAATTAAAAACCACCTTGTATATAGATTATCGGACCAGAAACTTGGTATTAGTCTATATAGGCTGGTCAGAACCGTAATAATTGGATTGAGGTTCAGATTTCGGTGGAGAAATTTGGCTTGACAGGAAAATTAGGTTATTGGCACAAAAACCAGAGTTTTTGTTAAAACTTGAGCGTTACGCCGTCAAATCAGGCATTTATCTGTGACAGGCCCCTAAGCCCTTTCATAGCGTCCAAAAACCCACCCATTGCCCATATTTCCCCAGATTCGAGTCTTGGTCACGCGACATGTGACACGTGATCAAACATCCAGTTCATCACCAGCATTAACCATACTCTTACATCAATCAACACTCCACGATGACGGCATGGGGTGATCCCACGGAAAATGCTCAAAAGACCCATTATGTGATTCAGCCAAAGCGCAGGCGTCTTCTGCCAAAGCAGTCAAATGGACACGCTGCCCACAGCATACCATTCAGGGCACTCGATCATGGAACCGAACTAGACACCCTTGTGCAAAAGCGTTACAGCTTGTACAATACGATCTGGGACAGGCATCGTTCCAAGATACACTCGATCCTCAACAACTCCAACACTGGTCTTTTCAAAGAGCTTGATAAATTCGTCGAAACTAGTCCCGACCAAAGGCGAAAGCTCCAGATTGCATTTCTCCAATTGAGTTCCAACACCGCCAACAATGCTCGGGTGATGAATGAGTTCAACAAGTACGTCGGAGATAAGTACAAGGTGGTCAACATTTCCAGCAAGATATGTGGAAATATAAAGAGCACGATGAGGGAAGTGGTGAAACAAATACGAGAAGATGGTGCTGGTGCAAGTTCGTCCAATTTGAAGGTGGAGGAAAAGGAGGGAGAGTTTGATTCTCAAGAAGAGGATGATGATGATGACGATGATGATGATGATGACGATGATGACGAGGAACAGAATGAAGTGGGCCAGGCTGGAGATGTACAGGATCCAGACGAAGATGTAGACGAGGATATCGAAGAGGAAGCTCATGCCACAGCTGGCTCCCTGTCAAAGACTAAGGACAGCAGAGTCAATTACGATCTTGACTTTCTTTTCGACTGGTACTTGCAGAACGGAAAAGGACGCCATATTGTCATTATTCTTCAGGACGCCACCTCAGTCAACAATCAGGTTATAAACCAATTCATCAAGGTCATCTACTCATACTCAATTGACTTGCCCATCAGGTTGATTGTTGGTCTTTCGTGCAACAATATTGGGAGTTGGATTAACGGAAACTTCAACAACGAGAGTCGGTTGGTTATGAACGGCTACAAGTTCGAAAGTGACGACAAGGGAGTAGGGCCACAAATTCTAGAGGAACTCTTCCTCTCACAAAAAGTTGAGCCAAAATTGGACTCCTCAATGGAACTCATGCCCTCGCCGTTATTAACATCCATTATTCATACACGTTTCCAATCAGCCAATAATTCCATCGACTCGCTCATTTCAGAAATCAAGCTTTGTTATATGATTCACTTTTACAACCTGTCACTTTCAGTGCTTCTTGAAGAAGAGCCAACCGATAGACATGTTGGCTCTCTTCGTAAACTAGCCTCTTTCAAGAGATACGTCGAAGAGAAGTTATTCAAAATAAAAACCCCAGAGGATCGAATGGAAATTTCCAGTCTACTCAGCTCCAACGAGGCAATTCAAAAGTTGTTCCAACAAGCGAAACGTCAGTTCAAACAGTACAGGTTAGCAGTTTTGAACTTGGTCCACTTGTTGTTCAGACTACAAGCAATAAACGGAGGGGTTAAATCAAAGTTCGAATTGTATAAACTAGCAATTTCGAACAAGTTGATCAATTCTGTGATTTTGAACGATCTCGTAAAGTCAATTACCACCATGAATGTTGATTCTATCGAAGAAGTGTTGAATACTGATGATTTGGTGGTGTGTCGAGGTGATGTTTCCGACGATAAAGCTGAGGTGCTCATTGGAGAGTTCACTGGTGTCAAAGAAGAGATTGCGAAGTCTAACTCAATCAAGTCATTATTAGTCCGCGTTCAAGACTGCGTCAAAGAGTATCTCCACAATAAGCTCATCAACCAATCGATCGAAGAGCAATTATTCTTTGAAATATTTACCATCAATGGTGATTCAGCCAAAACTAAATACGAAATGCCCATATTCGAAGAGAAATATGACAATCTCATGATCAACTTGATCAGGCCACCCTTGAGAGGCACTTTGGAAGCAAGTTTAGAGGACTGCAAGGAATACTTGAGAACAGACTTGGAAGAATTAGCATCTGGTATAAGCAAGGCATTCGGAGAAGAATTGCCAACAGTCCCAGCTAGTAACCAAGATGTCTTCGTGAACCCTATCATCAACCAACTTTTCAGGGTTTATAAAGAAGCACCTGTATCCATCAACATTTACGACTTTTACGTGGCCTTCAAGCAATCATTGCGAAAAAGCGATTTATCCAATTTAGCTGGCAGTGAAGAAGTTAGCGAGGATGAATGGGACAAGTTGACGTATTCTTGGTTCATCCAGTCATGTTTTGAGTTGATGATGATTGGTTTGTTGAAGGAGAAACCTAAAGGTGACTACTTAGAGAAGGCATTATGGAAGGGAGTGTGAGTTGCCAGGCTGATTGTCTGACATCCCAACTTCACTATTAGGAGGATGGGTTGCCAGGCTGAAATGTCTGGAAAAATATACATTGAAAGGTCATTCTTAGTTACAGTTAGTGGCTATTATTGGAGAATCAGAAATTACCAACAGAAGTCATTAAATATTATTCAGGCAAAAATGGAGAATTCGCTCAAGTCAAATTCACCAGTAGAAGACATTAAATAGGATTATTCGGGCATAAATACAATTTCATAAATGCTTGCTCAGTGGACAAGTGTAATTTCAGGTAGGATAGGGATACGAATCGTTCAGAATTTTTTTCAACCATTGCAATGCCGTAGCGGACACACGATTCTTCCAGAAATTCATTGTGGTCTTCACATTGGCTATGGTCCTCCCATAGTGGCATTCGTAGCGTGGCACAGCCATTGCTAGAGACTCCACTTGATAAACTGTCATATAACCACATAGCATATAGCAATATAGCCATGCATTCATATAGCGCATGGCCATATTCTCATCGAGTACAGCTCCCCATTAGTTCATCTAGCCCATCGTGCTCTCAATATCGGCCTTGTTCCAGCTTAAGGCCTTGTCCACTAGTGACTGTGCAGCTCTGTCTTGGCCAATCTCCCCCTCGTATTTCACGTTGTAATGGACCATAAGAAGGACGAGTACCAGGATAAGGCACGCCAAGATGAACGCAGTCAACACCTTCTGTGTTCTGAACATGCGATTGGAGATCTGGGTGGAATTAGCTTGCATTGAAGATGAGTGGTGAGAAGCACATCAATGCGGGATGGTCGGTATATAGTGGGGTGTATGCAGGCCTCAGTGTGTGGAAGCAAGAGCTCCAAACAAACTGGGACTAACGAGCAATGGTAGTTGACGATGGCAGAGCATTGTAGGTAAGCATAGAGGTGATGACGATGCTGACGTCTGACGAGAGTAGTTGCCAGATTGACGGACCTGTTTTTGCCAGGAATACGGTGTTGGATGGGAAGCTGCTATGCCTCGTCTCTCAAGTATCGGGGCGTAACCCTGCTTAGGTCTATTATTATTGGGTTCTGGCTTCGGAAATTGCTCAGGAGAACCTTGAGATAAGCTTCTATAGTGGAAGTTTGTCCGAAAGAAATTAGCACTCGCCTGCCTCTGATTTTTAAGGTTTCACCGCCACCAGCACTCCAGGCAGTTGAAGCCGGGAAAACAATAGATTGTAGTGGAAATGTGGCAATTTAGGATAGTTGAATGATATCGCAACGTGATTCGCCAGGTTTATGGGGCCTACTGGCAGAATTGTAGCTTATGTACTCTTCCTAGTGGGACTATTTCATGCATATTCCAGAAAATATGGTGCTCCTTGACTGTAGAATATTCATTTTCCCGGAGCTCTATAAGCCCGTTCTAACGTTATCTTTAGATAGACTAACCTGCAACTTTGATAGCTAGTCCCGATGGTGGCAAAACCAGAAGTCATTGGCCAGATTCAATGGTCCGTTCTGCTCCGGCTGGATATTTTTTCGTCCACACTGCACTATCATTCCAGCGGATATACGCATGGGCCCACTGGTGTCAAGATGAGCAGTTATTTTTTGAACCCATAATAAGTGGTGATCGTCAAATGAACTCTCTCATTCGAAACAGAAACTCCGCACTAATCAATAAATAAACCCTCTCTTTTGAACCAGAGCCTCCATAATTGGCATCTCTCTCGTCAAACACCCTCCTCTTGCCTACACTGGCTCTACAAGTTGTCGATGAAATTAATTAATTGTGAGTATAATAAGTTGACCAGAGAACCAGTTTCCGGTAGTGTTCTTAACACCAGAAATTCCACACTCTTTTGTAAAATGGTTGGGAAGCAAGGAACTCCTTTTCTTCGGCAATTTCTTGCTTGAGCAAGTCCAAGTCCAATTCTCTTCTACCAGTGTCGATATCGATGTCTCTGGCTCTGATGTAGAATGTCCAGTTCTTAGTGACGATCTTGTGTCCGAGGTAGAACACTAAGACGACAGGGGCACTCAAGTATGACATGAAGAAGTTCTCGGCGTTTGGCTTGTCACCCAAAGGCCAGACGGCGATCCAGAATTGAGCAATCAAAACGATGATGTTCATACCAAGACCGTAGAAAGCACCGTAAACACCAACTTGCGAAGTCCAACTGATTTCAGAAGTGTCTCTACCCTTAACGTGAAGAGCTCTTCTGAATCTGATCAAGGCGAAGTTAATGGAACCCCAGGTGAAGATGGAGGACAAACCAGAAAGGGCCAACAACCAGTTGAAAACATCACCAGACTTGTCAGAGCCAGTGATGAAACATAACAAACCAAAGACACATTGTACGATAATACCAACCAATGGTCTACCTTGCTTGTCGATGTAACCCAAGATCTTTGGAGCCTGGTTGGAAGCAGCCAAGGCGGCCAAGGTTCTGGAAGCACCGTAAACGGAGGAGTTACCGACGGAAAGAACAGCAATCATAATAACGACGTTCATCACAGATGGCAAACCCTTGATACCGGCATTGACAATGGAAAGAACGAATGGAGAGGCACTGGCATCGACAGAGGAAGAAGCAAACAATCTCTTGTCATTGTATGGAACCAACAAACCAATCAAGGTCAAGGAAATGACGTAGAACAAGGTGATTCTCCAGAAAACTTGCTTGGTAGCCTTTGGTAAAGATTTTCTAGGGTTGGCAGTTTCAGCAGCGGCAAGACCAACCAATTCAGTACCACTGAAAGCGAAAGCGGCAGTAACAAAGACGGAACAGACACCCTTGAAACCGTTGGCAAAGGCACCAGGGTTGTGCCAGTGGGCACCACCGATGTAGCCACCTCTTGGACCACCACCGCAGACAAGCACGATACCCAAAATAATGAAACCAGTAACGGCCAAGACCTTGATGATGGAAAAGACAAACTCGGCTTCACCGTAACCTCTAACTCCAAAGAAGTTAATGGCCACAATCAACACGTAAAAGATCACCACTAGAGCCGCAGAGTTAAGGTCCTGATTCCAGTACTTACATGTGATGGCAGCTGCCACCAACTCCAAAGGCAACACCACGATCCATTGCAAGGCGTAGTTCCAGGCCATGGCAAAACCCCAAGAAGGGTCAATGAATCTAGAGTTGTAGGTGACGAAAGCACCAGAAACAGGGAAAGTAATAGCCAATTCACCAAGCGACTGCACGGTACAGTAGATCATAGTACCGATAAGGATGTAAGCAATCAACATACCAGCGGGACCACCAGTTCTCAAAGAGCTACCGGAACCCACAAACAAACCAGTACCAATGGATCCACCAATGGCAATCATCTGAAGATGTCTGTTTTTAAGAGATCTGGACAATGGAGAGTTTGCAGTCATCACGGCAATCTTTTCCGCCTGGGACAAGTTTGGGTCGAGGCCCATCTCACCGGCGTCGGCTCTCTTGAAGCCGTCCTTGAACTTGGCCCAACCAGTTAATTGTTGTGAGTCTTGTTGCTCGAAGGCGTCTATGTGGACCCCACCGTTTTTCTCGGTGGAGGAGCTGGCGCTCCGGATGTAGTTTAACTCTTTTTCAGGCATGTTGAGCTAGAGAGAGATTAGGTGAAAAAACGGTTTGGGGAGCGAATCCGAGGTTTATATACGGCCTATTGTTTAGGCGTCATGGCGCTACAGGCCCTGTCAGATATTGGTGAGATCGCCCGGTTACACTTTAGATAACCCCCGCCTACAAACACCAATGCCGCTTGACCAATCTAGGAGCTGTGCGTCAAACATGCTTATCAGCGGCGTCACACAAAACGCCGGCAGTGCGCCGATCGTTATTATGGATGCGGGGACCTAGCAAGATGGGCGTCTGGGCCTGTCCACAGTTATCCGGCACGGCCGTGTGCTGTCACCAGCGATTTGCTATCGGGGTGTGCTAGTACCTGAAGGGATCAGCCCTGGAGTCCAGGGATTGTCAGTTACACCCGTTTTACAACTGAGGCTTGACCGCGACACAAAGTGGCTCCCCAAGTATTTCTTTTCCCAATCGCCGCAGTAGTTTCTGATAGTGCGCACCTGATGATATCGAAACCTTAGCCGCATTAACTTTCACAGAGTGGGCACCATGCAGACGTAAACTTCGTGGTGGGGCCTGGGCGCGCCAACTCCAGGCAACGCCGTCCCAACCAGCTTGCAAATGCCGCATATGTGCCTTGCATGCTCTAAGGCAATCGGAGCGGAGACAAATACGAGGGTGGGTGGTGCCACCAGAGCCCACCACCACAGGTGCTACGTGCCGCCACTTGTTGACATCGGAGCAACTGGGAGAAACAGCCCCCAGGCGCCCATTTCTGACAGCCTCCACCAGCTATCACTGGTATGTTCTCTGGTTGACGCAGCGTCGGGCGGTGCCTCGGCTCGCGTTTTTTCTTGTCGAGATGTTCTAGCGGCACTGTCGATAACGAAATTGCTTAGCAGCGTCAACGAAGCGTCGACACCAGGAACGGTAATTTGGGCCGCGGGTTGGCGGGAACCATCGGACGGGGCCACAAATAAGCACCAGAAGATCGCATGGAATTGTCTCCGTCCGTAAAATGGCGATCATTCGGCGTCCATTGTGTTGCACCTCGTTTCGCCTGAACCGGCACCGTTGTGGAACCGGACATGCCATGCCAGCCTGTGCAGCGGCCTTCCGTAGATAAGCCTGCAGGCCGATTTAGCGAACCGGTGGAGTGTCACGCAGACACAAGAATCGGGCCAAGTCCCCCAGCCCACCCACATCAGACATATTTACGGCGGGTGTCAAACCCACCGAAGGTATCTCAACTCATTCTACCCCCAATTAGGCACCTTCAGTACGAGGCTCATTCTACTCCCATTTCAGTTAGTTATAGAACGACTACCGCAAAAATGCGATTAGTCTGGGGCTAGTTCTACGCTCACAAGTAGTTTATGCTCATTCTACCCATTAATTAGTTACAGGCAATGCTCGGCCTCAGGCTCGAAATGATCAATCAGCCTTGGTCATTTGGTCCTACCTGCCTGCTTTTACGGCCAACTCGCTGCCCCATCTAAGTGCTGGTTCTATGCTTCCCAATTCAGTTTTAGTCATTATCCTTACTGCCCCATTGGGCTCATTCTACGCAGCTCTTTTAGTTACTATACTCTCGTATATTTTAGCCTAAATCGCCTAAGACGGCTCCTTATACGATAACTCTGGACCAGTCCTCGAACTCCACGTCACCATATTGGATTTCCCTGATCCACTTTTCGATCTGCTGGGTCAACTCACCGGCAGTGCCTCCCACGACAGGAATGGCAATGTCCGCACCGTGGAACTCGATGTTGCTGATGGGTGACACAATGGCAGCAGTACCTGTGCCGAAAGCCTCCACCACTTCGCCCTTGGCAGCTCTTTCCTGCACCTCGTGGATGGTGATCTTACGCTCGTTGACCTCCCATGACGAGTCCAACCTGGCCTTGGCCAACGCAAGCGTGGAGTCTCTGGTCACACCAGGCAAGATGGTTCCGTCCAATGGAGATGTGACCAACTCCTTCTTGCCGTCCTTCTGGAACACAATGAAGAAGTTCATGGCTCCAACCTCGGTGATGTAGCCTTCCTCGCCAAACAACCACAAGTTCTGAGAGTGGCCCTTGGTTGCAGCCACTGACTGGGGCTCGATGCACGACACGTAGTTTGCACCCAACTTGTACTCACCCACACCTCCTGGCCAGGCTCTGACTGCGTAGTCAGTGGCCTGTAAAGACACAGGCTTGAAGCCTCCACTGAAGTAGGGACCCACGGGAGACGCAATCACGAACAAGAGGGCTCTGTCAGGCTTGGCCACGCCCAAGCTGCTGGTGGTCCCGATGAGTGTGGGACGCAAATAGAGTGAGTAGCCGTAACCCTCGGGAATGAACTTTTCGTCCACCTTCAAGAGCTCGTCGATACATTTCAAGAGCTCATCGCCTTCGAACTGAGGCAAAGCAGCTCTCTTGGCCGAACGGTTCATTCTGGCCATGTTTTTGTCGGGTCTGAATGTTCTGATCTTGCCATGGGTGTCACGGTACGCCTTCATGCCCTCGAAGAGCTCGAACGAGTAGTGGAACACACTACTGGCAGGGTCGAGGCTAAGAGCGTGGTAGGGCGAGATTTTGGGAGCACCCCACCCGTTTTCGGCAGTCCATTCGACCTCCAACATGTGGTCGGTGAACGTCTTGCCGAACACAAGCTGTTCCTTGGGCAAGGGGGTCTTGGAGTTGGTGGTTTTAGTGATGGTAAGCTTGGATGCGTCGAGTGACATGGTGGTGAAATTAATATAGATATCTTAGTGTTGTAAGTTCGTACCAGTAAAGGAGAACCGAGAACGTGGAATGAAGTAGCTGGAATAAAATAGCCTATAGAAGTCGCTATCACCTGTGGGGTCTGATCTGCGGGCTTATATACTGTCGGAATTTTTCACTCATTATATTTCGGTTATTGGAGGATGCGACCGCGAAGATTAGTCACACCCAGTGGCTCAACCGGGCCTTGCCGAAGACGCTGGAAGAGTTTGTTTCGGCGAATCACTGTTCTAGGTACCTCTTGGGAGTGCTTAGGTTTCAGGTGCCTTCGGTTACGCTGAAGGTGGAGTATTGGTAATTTCTTACGTAATATCTATCCGCTTGGCAGAGTTCTTTCCGTGAAATGTCCGTTACGGAACAGAGTTCCATTTTGTAAAGTATCAATAACTGGCTTGCTTAGCATGATTTCAGGCTTGCAATGGCATTAGCAGAATCTCGGTCATCATGCCAGATAATAAACAGAATCCTTCTTTGCTTACGTAATCTCAGCTACACACCAAAATGGCCCATTCGGGGTACTGGTCGGTAGTACCTTAAGTATCGATCGCTATTTTCCTTTTATCGTGTATTACTGGCTAATCGTTGCTAGAAATGGTCTAATCATCAATAGAATAAGCATTCATTATTTTTGGTATTCGTCAGGGTAGAACACCTTTCTCTCCACACCCTTTGCAGTCAAAACCACCATTCTGATAAGACCACCAGAAGAACCATCCCACTTGATGGCCTCGCTCAATGCAGTCTTGATGAACTCGACACACTCGCCCTGTTCCATATCTTTCTTGTAGTTCTCGTCGCACCAACCATAGATAAACGTCGATCCAGACCCAGCTATGGCGTACTCTTGCTTATGTATAGAACCCCCAATTGGAATCGAGTACACACTTCCCTTGTTCTTGTCGTCGTAACCAGCACATATGATTCCCGCAGTCAACTGTTCCTTGTTGTTGTAGCACATTTCTTGGAACACATTGGCAGCCACCTCGGTGGTGGGCTTTTCATCAAAAGGCAATTGGGCAGCGTAGATCTGCATGTAGTACTTAACCATGTCTGCCACGGCCTGGGTGTCTGCAGCAGAACCAGATCTGCAGCAGTATATGGTGTCGTGGATCTGGGTCAACTTATCGGTGACTCTGTTGGCGATATATGTTCCTGTGGTGGTTCTGGAGTCAGCACCCAAGATGACTCCGTCCTTGAAGGTCACGGCCATGATGGAGGTACCGAGATTGACCTCTCCTTTCTTTAAGTGGTTGATGTCGACTTGAATTCCGTTCATGGTGCTGGTGGTGTTGATGTCCACTGATTGCCACCGGCAAAAAAGGCGAGGTGTGGTGCACGTGCATACTGGCACGTGATAGACACCCTATAATTCTGTCCACAAACGCCAGTGTCGATTCACGCCAATGAAACTCCTTTCCCTTTGCCACATGGCCCTTGCGGTCGTCCCTGTCCTTGCTGCGTCTACCAGCAAGCAGGAAATGCAGCAGTTACAGCCTCCTTTGTCCACCCAGGAAATTCAGTACTTGCAAAAGGACCCGTTGATCACCCACAAAGTGACCTTTACTGTGGCCCAAAGAACCGAAAACGGCGACCAAGAGTTGGGGGACCTCACCATGGGTATGTTTGGCACAGTTGTGCCCAAGACAGTCGAAAACTTTGTCCAGTTGGCCAATATGACGTTTGGATACGGCTATAAGAACTCTATCCTCCACAGAATCATCTCTGGATTCATGATTCAGGGAGGGGATTTCGAGCGTGGAGTGGGAACTGGAGGGCATTCGATCTACCCTTCGGGAAAGTTCATCGATGAAAACTTCGAGCTCAGCCACAACAAAATGGGGAGGATCTCCATGGCCAATAGTGGGCCCAACACCAACGGAGCTCAGTTCTTTATCACCAACATCGAAGACAACACCCGTTTGGACGGGGTCCATGTTGTGTTTGGACAGTTGATTGGTGGCTTCGATGCACTCCACAAGATCAGCTCGGTGAAAACGGGTGCAATGGACAGACCAGTCGAAGAAGTCTACATCAAAGATGTTAGTGTTGTCACCTTGAGTAAGGGAGGCAAAGACTTGCTCCGTTTCGACCTGGTTCCCGTCAACATCGAAGTGGATGATGCAGGAAGTAACTTTTACATGTATTTCTTTGGGTTGTTGCTTTTGGCTGGATGTTTTTTCTTCTACAACCACTGGTACCATAAGAAGCAGTACATCACCGATATTAAGGACTCCGCATACTTTTGAAAGGTAGTGAGTAGTACTTGACATTAAAGGGGATAATAGATCCAAGTTACAATTTCTTCAATTCTTCCTATCTGAAGGTGATCCCGCGCCTGATGTAAGTGCTCTAGCTGATAAATAGAACCATAAAAAAAACTGGTGTACTCACGTACTTGACTGGATAACGTGGATGTAATTGCACTCAAATCAAGCTGTCAAAAACCCATATGGTTACATTACAGAAATATCTAAAACCTGGTACAAGTATTTAGTTAGTTGTATTTGCAAGTATTGCAACACCAAAGTTGGGGAAACAATTCTGTATAATGCACAAAGCCAGGCTGTTTATCCGTCTTCATGGAACGAGTTTGACAAAGTAATTGATAACGAAGTTCTGCTGTGAAGAACATTATTTCAATAAGTTTTATAGAGATGTTCTCATTATATTTGAAACAATTTAGGTAAGATCACTATATCCCAAAAGGAGTTAAGAGATTCACAAAACTTTTGCACTAATTGCAAAATATTTGAAATTTAGGATGAATATCAAGTCCGAAACCATCTACTCCACGAGACATTTGGAGCACCTAACTACACCAGAGCCAGGCATGGATAGTCTTCCAAAGCTTAGTCAAGTAACTCATACCTGGTGGAGCCGAAATTAGAAGACGCACGACCAAACATCTTATCCTTCCAAATACTGAGACCAACTTAGTGTCATGTTTGTAGCACTATGTCCAAGCCCGACTACCCGATAGTATTAGTCAAGAACCTTCCCTATAATACTTCCTCAGCTGCATTATATGATTTGTTTGGAAAGTACGGCAACATCAGTCAAGTACGAGTGCCAGATGGATCATCGGGACAAGCAAGTTTGGGGACTTGTATTGTGGTGTACAACAATCTAGAAAACGCTATACGAGCATCACAAGAGTTGAATGGAGTCAATTTCCACGGCCGTTATCTAGTGTCGGTCATGTACCAAGTCGATGCTTCAAAGATCATGCAAGAGGATTTAGTAGTGAGAAAAGCCCACATTGAAGAGTTAAAAAGGGAGTACAAGATTGAATGAATACTATTAGAAACAAAAAAGGAGAACCATGTCCTCTATGGGCATAAAATGAGTCTTCCACCAGATCTGTCAACTCCACAGGAAGCCATATCACTTTGTACCACTTGGTACAACGCTTCAAAAACCATATTAGCCAGCTCAAAACCACAGGTGCTGGAACTAGAGAACGGGAGCATTGCAAATCAATAAGTGGAATAATCTACCTAAGCTGAACTCGGGTCATCAGTAGGATTACAGGAAAATTCGATATCACATTTATAACTGGTCGTTATTCTATACACTACTTTTCCTCCTCACTAACTCTGAGATCAATCAAGCCCAATAAGTAGTAACTTACCAATCCAGCGAAAACAAATCCAGAAATTTTCAAGACTTTGTAGATGTAACTGGCCTTGGTGTACTTATAGACAATAAGGACATCCAAGTTGTTGAAAGCATCAATAGCATTCTTGTAGTGAAGAGTCACCTTGACATGACCCTTGGAAACATCCAAGTAGGATAATTCGTTGTCAACAATGACTGATTCGAAAGAAATTGGGGAAGAAACGTCAACAAATTCGGCATTTTCTGGCAAGTAAAAGCTCAAGTAAACGTTATTGTACGTAGTATCCACCAAGGAGTTGACCAAAGGAACCTTGGCAACGTAAGTGTCTTGAGAGTCATGGGCCTTGTGGACGAACTTGCTCAATTTGTAGTTCCAGGACAAAGTGAAGTTGTAGTGCCAGTCTCCAAACAATGGGAATCTTGGCTGTAACACCAATGTGTTCTTCAAGGTTTGATGGGTAGAAACAGCACCAACCAAGTCACTGTAGTAGTAATCATCGAAGGAATTGTCAGGGGTGAATGGGAAGTTCAATTGGTTCAATGCCCAGTGGTTGCTGGCATCGTAACGTCCCTTCATCCAGTCAACTCTGGAAAACCCAGTATTTAATTGAGCACCTTTGTTGGTCAATTCGTAGTACTCTTCAGCTGGTAATTGTTCAACATCAGAGGCAGGAATCCAAATGGAACGGTTTAAGTTTTCCACAACACCCAAAGCACGATTGTGGTCGTATAACAAACCCATTGGAACCAAGGTGAATGGCTCGATGTCATGGCTAATTGGTCCATAGACGAGCGCCTTGTTGTCCACTCTTGGTTTGAGGGTTGGCACGTCAGAGACCACAATATCCTCACTAAGGAACAATTCCATTTCCTGTCCCTTACGAATTCCAGTGAAGGTCATGGAGTATTCTTTGGTGGTGTATGGGGAGTATGGGTACTTATTGGCTTGAAGCAAAAGTTGTTGCACGGCGTTGATTCCAATCTTGGCTGGCAATGGTTGTAAGGAGCCCAAGTAGATAGTGTTGATAGCGAGTTCAGCGGTGGAAGCTGGTGCCACTGGAATTGGCAAGTCCAATTTGTACATTTTTGGTCCGACTAACTCACCTGCAAGCTCAAGCTTCTGAGAACCCTGCTCGACGGAAAAGGTGACTGCAGCAATCTCGGCGACGGCATCAAAGCCATCGTTGACTGTGAAGTAGTATTCGGAGATAGGCTTGGTATCCACGTTTTTGATTTGGATTAATGCCGTTTCTTTGACGTACGACCTGGAGAGATCAACAGTACGCAAGTAGTGGGTGTTTTCCCATCCCGAGAACGACTCGGCAATCAATGCATGGCAGAGATTGAGCGAGACAGCGAGGGATGTAAGCACCACTGGCCAGGCCAGGCTGAGCGTGGAAAGTTTCATCTTGGGTGTGGAAGAGAGTGCTGGAGAATTGAACACATATCTTTTGGAAATATCACGTGGCGCGACCTGCTAGGTGCGATTTGCCTGAGGATGATGGCTCAGCTAGCTGGAGATGGAACGGGCTGGAGCTGTTCCGGATGAGCCAGGGGCAGCCCCTGGACTATGGTGTAGAGTCTGGACGTCTTGTAGCGACGTTTCAGCCAGTAGGACAGCATTTTTTTGGGGAACGCCATGCTGGAGAGATGGACCTAAATCAGCCAGATACCAGGGCAATCTCGAGTCAGAAGAAGCAATCCCGAGAACGACGTATTGACTACTGCGAAGTATGGATGTACCTTCTCCCGGTAGCTTTTTGCCCTCCAAAAATACCAATCCGTGCTTTCCTTGCCATACTATCCATGCCAGTCCTGGCGACCTGCACACAGTCTAGGACGTGTTTGTGCGCTTCCAATTTGCATCCATTGACCACAGCAAGACTTGTGCTCTCATTAGGGATGTGACCGCTATAGAGCAGCGGCTCATAGAACAGCAGGAAAGCTAACAGGAAGCTCCAGCCAGGAATGCCAATCACAGCTTGAGTGAAGATCGCGCCTAGTGTGCTTGCAGAAACTACGAACGCTCGCGCGGTACTCCTAGCGACACGCTGCGGCAAGCGTGATGCATTCCCACCACGATTTCGCCACCAGCACCAGCACCACCAGCACCAGCCTCAGTAACACATCTCAGTGTGTCTCAGTGCCGCCAGCCGACATTGCCACCAGTTTCAGTGCCCCCTCCACTTCACAACCTCACTCCTCGCACCCGTCACAACCTTGCCACCCCACCGTTGGTTGCTCACGTGCACTTACCCGCCCGCGCGTCGCCTTCGCCCTATAGCAAGGACCAAATTTCACCACGAACCTCTGCCGAACCGATATTTCAGCAACCTACTCACTGAAATTCTTCTTCAAGGCTTCGTTCCCTCTCCATCGTTTGCACGTCCGGCAAGCCCTCTTATTTGCCGTAACTCAGCCCTTCTGGACCTCACAGACCCCTGATTTCCCCACCGTCCTCAGATCAGGCACATCCTTGGAACCTCATCCCAGCAAACATGTCCTTGGAAGACCTTATTCCGGTGGTGAACAAGTTGCAAGACATTGTCACCACCACCCAGTTGGCCGACTTGGACCTCCCCATCTTGGCAGTCGTGGGATCCCAATCGTGTGGTAAATCCTCGGTGTTGGAGAACATTGTTGGCAAAGACTTTTTGCCTCGAGGAACCGGCATCGTGACTAGAAGACCATTGGTCTTGCAGCTCATCAACCTCCTGCTGGATGACAGTCTCATCACGAACGGTGGCCCCGATAGCGACGGTTCGTCCCAACTCAATGGCTCCTCCAACCTCAAAAGAAGCAACAACCAGCACTTCTCCCAAAACTCCTCCAGCTCCTCTTCGGACGAGCAAGAAGTCAACTTGGAAGAACACTTGAGAAAACACGCTAATGGTGGCAAGTACGAGCCCCCTTCGGAATGGGGAGAGTTCTTGCATATTCCTGGCAAGAGATTTTACAACTTCCATGACATTAGAAGAGAAATTGAAAATGAGACCGCAAGAATAGCTGGTCAAAATAAGGGAATCAGTCGATTGCCAATCAACTTGAAAATCTTTTCCACTAGGGTGTTAAACTTGACCTTGGTGGATTTACCAGGGCTTACCAAAATCCCTATTGGGGATCAACCAACTGATATCGAGAGACAAACTAGAAACTTGATCTTAGAGTATATTTCCAAGCCAAATTGTATTGTCTTGGCTGTCTCCCCAGCCAACGTTGATTTGGTCAACTCCGAGTCCTTAAAATTAGCTAGACAAGTGGATCCAACGGGTAAGAGGACTGTGGGAATCTTGTCCAAATTGGATTTGATGGACCAAGGTACCAACGCCTTGGATATTTTAAAGGGTAATGTCTACCCATTGAAATTGGGATTTATTGGTATCGTCAATAGATCCCAACAGGATATTTCGGAAAACAAATCTTTGGAGGATTCTTTATTTGCAGAGCAACAATTCTTCATGAACCACCCTGCTTATAGAACCATGTCGAACAAGTGTGGTACTCGTTACTTAGCTCAAACCTTGAACAAGATTTTAATGAACCACATCAGAGACAGATTGCCAGATATCAAAGCAAAATTGAACACTCTTATGGGTCAAGCTGAACAAGAATTAGCCAATTATGGAGATATCCCATCAACTTTGACGGACTCCAAGGAAGCCAGAGGTGCTATGGTTTTGACTTTGATGACAAAGTTCGCAAACAGCTTTGTTACATCCATTGAAGGTACATCTTTGAATGAGCTCTCAACAAAAGAATTATGTGGTGGTGCCAGGATCTACTACATTTACAATGAAGTTTATGGCTCACAATTGGCTGCCATTAATCCTACCCACAACTTATCCATCCACGATATCCGTACTGCGATCAGAAACTCCACAGGACCAAGACCATCATTATTTGTTCCTGAATTAGCATTCGATTTGTTGGTTAAACCTCAAATCAAGTTATTAGAAGAACCAAGTCATAGATGTGTTGAATTAGTCTACGAAGAGCTTATGAAAATCGTCCACAATGTTTGCTCCTCTAACATTGGAGTTGAGTTGAACAGATACCCTAAGTTGCAAAGCAAGTTGATTGAAGTGGTAAGTGATTTGTTAAGAGAAAGATTGGGCCCTACTATCAAGTATGTGGAGTCCTTGATTGAGATACATAAGGCTTACATCAACACTAACCACCCAAACTTCGTGGGTGCTGCGAAGGCCATGAGTATTGTTGTCGAAGAACGTCAAAGGCAAAAAGAACTTGAACTGAGAAGCAGATTGAGATTAGCAAGCGAGCGTATCTTGAACAAAAAGTCGGACACTGCAATTGAAGAAGAGCAAGAAGACCAACCCTCCACTAAAAGCCCTGACGAGGATATCAACTCGGTTGATGATGAAATAAAGCCACCAAAGCAAAGAAGAAGTGATTCAAACAGAACCACATATTCTATCAAGTCAGAATCGACCCCTAACCTTCCTACATCCCAACATCCAGCACAACATGAATCATACTTGAACTACTTCTTTGGCAAGGATCCTATTATTCATCAACAGCAATTGCAGGCTCAAGCTCAATTGAATCCAACTCCTTTCAAGTTCCCACACCACCAAGAAGGTACCCTTCAATTTAACAGCAACTTTGTGAACAATGGTGTTATCAACAACTCTCAGCCAAACTTGGATCATTTCAAGAGTTTGAGCGTTAGTAGTCAAACTCCCGACGATGCTTCTTTTGAAAGTGACGATACCATCAATGAGTTGAGTGAACGAGAACAACTTGAATGTGAATTGATCAGAAGATTGATTGTATCATACTTTGGTATTGTGAGAGAAATGATCCAAGATCAGGTTCCAAAGTCTATTATGTGCTTATTGGTCAATTACATTAAGCAACATATTCAAAACCGTTTAGTGGTGAAGCTCTATAATGAATCATTATTTGATGAATTGCTAATGGAGGACGAAGGAATTCAGGCTGAGCGTGAAAAGTGCATTGAATTATTGAAGACTTACCGTGAAGCTTCAAGAATCATTAGTGATGTAGTTTAGTCATCTTCTGCTACCAACATACCAACTTAGGAAACTAATATAATGTCTATAGTAAAAATATTTATTGTCTTGTATTATCTATTGGGTGATGTGATGACTCAATATTCTAAACGTGCTAATCATCTTGTTATGCTATATATGTAGTTGTATGATACCACGAAAATCGTGTTATGGATCCGAGCTTGATAGTCATATTAGGTTGCAACAATCAATGATGTTATGATATTTCTATCCTGTGATGCTTCAAGTCGGTCCACTTTATGAGCTTGGTGAACTCTTGATTGTATTTCATCAATTCCACAAACTTGATACTACCTGTAGTACCAATGTCGTACATTCTTGGATTATTGCTGTTCAAGAGTTCATATAATGAGTCCTTGTCACTCATGCTCAAAATGGTAGGTTCCAAACACTTTAAGATGGACAATGTTAGAGTAATTAATTTGATCGCCTTTTTGATTTCTTCTACCGAATGCTGTACCAATTCGCTGTCATTCTGTGGCTCATCGATTGGAGCTGAATTTGGCTCCTTAAATCCTCCAATTAAAAGATTGTCAAAAACTTTGAACCATGTATCCAAGTCGAGAAATTTCAAATCGATGAAAAGGGTCAACCACCAATTCATTGTCACTAGCTCAATTTCAAATCCAATGCTTCTAAAGTGCAGTGAAAGTTTTGGGAGCATTTGGTCCAAATAGAAAGTCTTCATGACTATTTGGTCAACACGAATACTTAGGAGAGAGTTGTAAAAAGACTCATCTTGCTCTAAAGTAAGACTGGGGCTTGCTTCATGCGGTACAATTTTATGTGAGTACTTCGGAAGAATCTCTTCTATTAACCCAATGAAGATCCAAAATACGTCTTCCTCGTCATACCGGTCATGCGATTCTAAGTTTGCATTCGAGCCTCCGCCTTTAATGAGCAAAAGGAGTAAATTACCCACAATTTTATTCATTCCTTGGAGGTATCCAATATCAGGTCTATATGCAACAAAAGCATACAATATTCTTTGCAACTTATAGTAATTGGGACCCGGCTTTAGTTCAATTAAATTATTGAAGTAGTAATTTCGCGGCAATGTTCTGTGTAAATCTAATTTTATCTGCTTAATATTATGATTGATGATTTTCAGCCTGTTGTCTATTTTACTGTTGTCCTCTTTATTATTATTTGCAATCCCCTCGTGATATTTAGCTTCGTTGAGCAATTCATTATACTCCCCGTTCACTCTTAAGTTTTTGGCGCCTGAGAGTTGTAGCCAAAGTTTGAACCTAAATTTTGAAGGTATCCCCAACAGGGTGGTTAAGTTAACCAATCTATTGTAGTAATCGGTTTTTCCCTTGATCAACCCCTTATCATTGAAATTGTCCAACTCAATAAGATTCAATCCTTTCATGCCTATCATCATATCTATGCCCACATCGATCCCTTTATCTTTAGAATATGCGAAGAAGTCCTTTTCGATTTCTTTCATCAAAATTTCCCACTGGTGCTCAAACTGAAGGCTGATGGAGTCATGGATTTTGCCAATTTCCTTGAGTTGATGTATTGTCTGCAGCTTGTCTTTGTTTCCAATGAAGATTCCAAGAGAAGCATCTGGATCGGAACGATGTTGTGCGGTGGAGTTGGGAGTAGTCGTAGCATGATTAATCCCAGAAACTGCAGATGCTGGAGAATTCATTGATTTTCCTGGAGTGTTGTCTGTAAAGTTCAAGAGAGATGCATTGGGGGAATATGCCGAAACTGGGGGAATGGGGGGTGTTCTGAAGGGAGAATTGGATGCCTGAGACTGGTGGAGAACAGGTGACTTGAATGTAACCAGTTCGGAGGTAGTATCTGAGCTTGTCAGGCTGGACCGAATAACAGTGGCCAGTTTCTTGATAGGTTCAATGTCTGTGAAAAAGCCATATTTGTCTATGTGTAAATCTTCAGCAGGTAGCGAATCCACAGGGTCCTTTTCTTTATAAGTTCCGTTGATAAGAATATTTTCCATTTCAACAGGGTCTTTCTCAGATATCGTGGAAGAACTAGGTTCTGGGGCTCGTTTGAGCTGAGTCAATGATCTGGAGTGTGGCCTGTTGTAACTCTTGGTAGGGCCTTGGACGAGATTTGTATATGAAGACGACACCAGGAGAACACTCAGGGTCAACCCAGTGGTGGTGAGGTCTTCTGTTGAGTTAAACCAATTACGTAACCAGCTCTTGTTTGGCTGCTTGTACAAATAAGTGGACTCTTCTGGGCCTGGCTCTTCCTGTTTTGCTCTCACATGCTTCTTTACCTTTGGCCTCGATGGTTTCATGGCTGGTGGTTTTTCAGACAATGAATCAGGCAGAGCGTCCTTGTGGGCGTGATCAGGTACACTTACCGTCTTCTCGTCAGCCAGGCCAGTTTCCTGGTGCTGTGTCACATCACGCAGTTCTTCTTTTTCGTTCCACCTGTGATGATGGTGGTGGTCTTCTGGCTCGCTTTTCTCGTTCAACTTATGATGAATTTCCAAGGTGGATAAGTTACCATACTCGTTGCACAACCGGATCAACCGCTGTTCGTTGGAGAACTTCTCTTTCGCTAGGATAGCCAATTCCGACTCCTTGCGGGCCAAATCCATAGACAACTGCTTGATGAGAAGAGTAGCATCTCCATGGTACTTGATGTTAATTAGCTTGCTGATCTGGCCGGACGAAAGCTGGTGAAGATCACCACCTCGCGAGCTGTCCACCCCGCTGTGGGGCTCTAGAGGCACATTCTGGTCGCAATGGCTAGTCGTAGATGGTGAAGGTGTGTTTGCTGTGGTGGATTGGTCGTCCTTACTAACGCCAAAAAGGTTGGATTTGACGGCAGGATTGAGGCTGGAGGAAACGAGGAATGCAGCCGAGTCTTGAGGAAAGAGGCTGTTCCGTTTTTTTGCCATATCGTGCAGCCAGAAGGGAACAACGTAGCGCAGGTTTCATATCTCCACTCCACATATGGTAGCGCAGGATTGGGATGCAGTCGCGGGAATCGAACGCGCGCACCGGTAGGGGAAAATTCCATGGGCCAGGAGATGTGGCAAAGGAGTGGAAGCTTCTCTAGATGGGAGTCTTGAAGGAAGTGCAGCTCATCTTGTTTGCCATGGGTGGCCAGGAATTGCAAAAAAAAATGGTAAATCTCTTTGTAAAGCGTGTCATCTTTATGCAAGGACAATGCTAATCTTCTCTGTATTGTTAAAATTGACAAGTGTACCATCCCGAGGGACAGTACGAACAAGTTTGAAAAAAATGCGACCTAGTGGTGACTGCAAATACATATATGCAGGACAATACTAAAAAATGATTGGATTCCACTACAAGTGCTATATTATCTTAGACGACAAGATCCAGCTAGCGCCTAACAATTATTGAGAAGATAGTTTGTATTAAAATTTCCATAAGAGAAATTTGCCTGGCTTTACTCCAGTGAGTAGACACATAATGCTAAACCTAAAAGTGGATGGTGTGCGTCTTATTTTGTTCAGCCATAGCTCCTATTGAAAACTCCTATTTAACATTATTTGCTTCTTAAACGTGCCGTATGTTGCACACCAAGTTGCAAAAAACTATCAAAAGACGAATTTTAAAATTAATTAAATTATGAAGGTTTGACCTAATGGTGAGTTATCCATTGCAATAAATACCCAGTCAGTAGATTATAATATACTTCCCATTAGCAAATAGAAAAAAAGAAGACGATGTACCCTCAATCCTCAGGGATACAGTTGGTACCATTGGGTATGAAATGCTTTTCATTTCAAACAACTGTGTAGAGAAAACTAACGTCTAATTTACGTGCAGCTTCACCGTCTCATATAACTGAATAATTTCTTGAGGGTTTCAGGGGTCCAGACAGAAAAGTCTGCGAGTGTGTTAGTTTCAAATAGAAGACATTCTCAAGAATTGGTAGCCTTTTCAAGAGGGGAGCCCAAATCACACCCGGAGAATAGTAGTAAAGTTTACCTGTGTGCCAATCGATGAAGAACTCCAAACCTAAAGACTTGATGGCTTCCTGGGAATCCAGGCACTGCAAAAGAATGCTTTGAAATGATCTACACCACGATTTGTGGATTCATCAGTTAAAGAATGATCTGAATTAGAACTTACCTGGTATCCAAAGAGACTGACTGAAATAGATTTTTACCATACACAGCAACATATTTGTATTAAAAGATGCAATCCAGTCTACTAACCCATTCTCTTTTTCTTCCTCTAGTTTCAAAAGGTGAGTCTGAGCTCGCTAAGGGTCCCGGTGCAGTTTGTTGTATTTGACGTACAATTCAATGAAAAAAACAGTAAATCTCGAGGCATATCTCTTGCAATCATCTCTAGGGGCGATTCCCTGTCAACTAGGGCCATGTCGCTACTGCAGCATACGGCTGAACTTACACAGTTCATGGATGAATATCGCCCCACCACTAGCGTGCTACGAGCCCGGGGCCAGTTTAGTTGTCGTACATCCTGCATGCATAGAAGACTAAGATGAGCCAAGGGCTATTATCCATGTGTGAAAGCTAGAGGACACCTAACAGTTTGGGTGCTTTGAGTGCTGTGTCGCTCCTCCTTTATGTGGATACATTCTAGTGAATTGGAAATCTTGCAGGTGTTTGTGCACTTCGCGGTTGCCAGTTGCCACGAGATTTCAAGCTACCCTACCTCGGGCATTTAGGGCCAATGTTGCACCTGCTATTTGTGCTGATCCCACTCCAACGCCATTGGGTGTAATTGCGGTGTCTTGTGCTTCCAGCAGGAAGAAAATATCGGGGTGAATGGTGGAAAATATGATCAAGCACCACAAAAAATAGTCACGGTGACGAGCGTGCTCTGTGGTGGGCATCCAGTGGGAACTACACTCACCACACCCACCACACTCACCATCTCCCACAGGAGTATCACCGCACAAGCTTGTTATGGTTTCGCCCCTAGAGGCAATGTAACACCACTGGATGCGCCGTTTGCGTCGGTTGCGTGGCTAGCGGGTACATGGCGCATGCCATCGAAGCGGTAGGCGCCGCACTAAACCGTCGAGTTATTACCCTTTTGGCCCACCGAACTTCGAGCATCAGGCTCCGTGCAGCGCCTTTGTCTGAAGGTAAACAACTAGATATAGCTCGGAAATCTTGCATAGCTTACGCTTGGCAAAAAAATATCCACTGGTGTTCCACCCACTAGCTGGACTGTTACGCAGCCCCACTCTGTGGCCACCTCTCCTCTGGCGATATGGTCTAGGGGTAGGCCCCTGGACAGAACAGTGCGAGGCGCCGGGCAGCATGCACGCGAGGTGCTGCACGTGCGCGGTGCACCTCTTTTTGATCTCACTACCACTTTCGTGAAAAGTATCAAACTATCTTTATCATCACAATCATGGCAAGGGTTCCAGTGCTACGCTTGCTAGGCGTGGCCGTGGCCGTGATGGTGTTGTACTCACTCCTGCTCCTCATGCGACCCGACATCTCCGCCTCCGATATTGCCGCTGCCACAGTGCCAGCCGAGCAACCTCCACCTCCACCAGTAAAGCTTCCACCATTGCCGCCCATCAGGGACCAGGACAAGGAATTGCAACAGGGAAACGCCCAGATTGAGTCCCAGGAGCTGCTCCCTATCGCTTCGCCTGGCAGCGAGCGCGTCAAGGCCACATTCGTGACGTTGGCACGTAACAAGGAGTTGTATGCCCTTATCGAGTCGATGAGAAGCGTGGAGGACCGTTTCAATCACAAGTACAACTACGATTGGGTGTTCTTGAACGACGAGCCGTTCACACAGGAGTTCAAGGACCTCACGTCCGCCATCGTCTCGGGAAAGACCAAGTACGGACTCATTCCCAAGGAGCACTGGAGCTATCCTGAGTGGATCGACCAGGACAAGGCAGCGGAAACGAGAAAGAAAATGAAGGCAGACGGCATTATCTATGGTGATCTAGAGAGCTACCGCCACATGTGCCGTTTTGAGTCGGGATTTTTCTGGAGAAACCCGCTTCTTGACGAATATGACTGGTACTGGAGGGTGGAGCCCGAGACAAAGGTACACTGTGACTTGGACTACGACGTGTTCAAGTGGATGAAGGATAACAACAAGGTGTATGGTTTCACGATCTCCATCCACGAGTTCGACAAGACGATTCCCACCTTGTGGAAGCACACCAAGGACTTCATCCGTGCGCACCCCGAGCACCTCGCGCACAACAACTTGATGGACTTCATCTCCAACGACGGAGGCGACACCTACAACTTGTGTCACTTCTGGTCCAACTTCGAGGTGGCCAACCTCAACTTCTGGCGCTCTCAGGCTTACCGCGAGTACTTTGAGTACTTGGACCGTGCGGGAGGGTTCTTCTACGAGCGGTGGGGCGACGCACCTGTGCATTCTATTGCAGCCGCCTTGTTCTTGCCTAGAGACAAAATACACTACTTCGAAGACGTTGGCTACAACCATGGCGTGTACACGCAGTGTCCGTTGAACAACGAGTTCCGCTACAAGCACAAGTGCCACTGCAACCCAGAAAAGGACTTCACTTTTGACGGGTACTCGTGCACGGGGCGGTATTACGACGTGATGAAGATGCCCAAGCCCAAGGAGGCCAAAGAGTAGCTCAAGAAGTAGCCCATCAGTAGCTCAATACATATGAACATCCCTTAGTGTAGTGCAGCCTTTGCTGCAGTTTACGGGCAGCGCCCGGCGCCCTGATCACTTTGTGCCGGGGGCGTCGCCAGGATATTTTTGCACACGCGTGCTGCACGCGAACCAGCCCAGAAATCCGCCCATCACGTGTACCGGACACCTTGGGATTTTTCGTCGCGCGCTATAAGTACACCTGTTGCTTCCCATTTCTTCCCCCAACCTCCCGCCATGTCGCCCAGATCTAACGCCAGGATTGTCCGGTTCGGAGTGTTTGCCCTCATCCTCATCGGGTGTGGGTACATTCTCTCCCGTGGCTCCACCTACCCTGTGGTGCCCACCACCCCCGTTGTCCCCGTGACTCCTAACGCCAACCAGGTTCCTGCTGCCGGCGCAAACACCCCTGTGGTGCCCGCTGCTGCTGCTGCTCCAGCTGCTGCCGAGCAAGTTCCTGCTGCCGCAAAGCCTAAGGCTGCCGCTGCCGTTCCTGCGGCCCAGGACAAGATCAAGGCCACCTTTGTCTCGTTGGCCCGTAACTCGGACTTGTACTCGCTCTTGGGGTCCATCAGACAGGTCGAGGACCGTTTCAACCGCAAGTTTGAGTACGACTGGGTTTTCTTGAATGACCAGCCATTCAACGAGGAATTCATAGCAGAAACCACCGCGTTGGTCAGTGGTAAGACCAAGTACGGTCTCATTCCCAAGGAACAATGGTCGTACCCTGAGTGGATCGACCAGGAGAAGGCTGCCTTGGCCAGAGAGGCCATGAAGGAAAAGAAGGTCATCTACGGTGATTCCGTACCTTACAGACACATGTGCAGATACGAGTCAGGTTTCTTCTGGAGACACGAATTGATGGCTGAATACGAATACTATTGGAGAGTTGAACCCGACATCAAGATCTACTGTGACATCGACTACGACATTTTCAAGTGGATGAAGGACAACAACAAGGACTACTCGTTCACGATCTCGTTGCCCGAATACGAAGCTACCATCCCTACCCTCTGGAAGACCACCAAGGAGTTCATCGAACAGAACAAGCAGTACGTTGCCGAAAACAACTTGTTGCAGTGGATCTCTAGCGACAACGGTGAAACCTACAACGGATGCCACTTCTGGTCCAACTTCGAAATTGCCAACTTGAACTTCTGGAGAGGAGAGGCCTACACCAAGTACTTCGAGTTCTTGGACAAGGCCGGTGGGTTCTTCTACGAGAGATGGGGAGATGCCCCTGTCCACTCCATTGCAGTTGCCTTGTTCATGAACAAGGACAAAGTGCATTTCTTCGAGGACGTCGGCTACAACCACGTTCCATTCCACAACTGTCCTGTGGACCCCGAAGTCAGAAAGCAAAAGAACTGTGCCTGCAACCCCAACGAGGACTTCACCTGGAAAGGCTACTCGTGTACCAGCAAGTTCTACACTTTGACCGACAAGAAGAGAATGAAGGGATGGGAGAAGTTTGCTGATTGAGCAGTATATAGTAGGAATGTTTGACTACCCGGGCTGGCTTTCGTAGAGTTGCAGCCTGGGTGTTCACTATGTATAGTTAATGAGCATCGACGGGTGCAAATTGGAAGATGTGCCACATATAGAAAAGCGTAGTGTAGATGCAAAATAGCCTAATTATTAGTACACTACGATAGAAGGGCGCAGTGTGAAATCACCAAGAACATTCGTCAATACGATGAATAAGAATAGTGTGCAAGATGTTACCCAACTATTCACAATTGGAAAAGTGAAGTGTGAAATCACCATTTTAGTAGCCACCAGCAGTAGATAAGCTGTAGTGGATCACCTTCACCGTTTAAGCACTGTTGTGTGAATCACTACTAACCATTAGATGAGGGTAGTGTGTAATCACCATAACTTAAATAGTTCATCACATCAGCTGTAGATGCAAAATATCACCCAACTACGCTTACTAAAATTAGAAAGCTGAGTGCAAAACAACCATTTTAGGCCACTAAGATTAGATGAGGGTAGTGAATCACCATGCCCATTTAGAACACTGTAGGATGGATCACCGAGTGGAATCACCATTTAGTCCACCATTAGCTGTAGATGCAAAATTCCTACTCCAACGATTAGATAACTGGTGCAAAATAACCATAACCATAACCATTTAGCCACTACATTAAGGCTGTAGCGTAGATGCAACATATCCATAACCATTGTAGTTCTCCTAGGCAAGCCATACCTGGAGAGGAATGTGCACGTGATCCTCGTGTGCGATGCTGCCCCAAACGACGCAGCTGGTGCATCTGGCACCGGGCTCGCCATACATATGCATATTCGTTTCATCCCTTTTGTGCGCCAGTCTCCGAGCCTGAACTGCCCATCAGCCTGCTCCAGTTGACGACCACGGTAAGTTCCTGGCAGCAGCCAGTCTCGCCAAGGCATCACGGATCCCATGCCTCACCAGCGGCGTTGCTGTGGGGTTTGGGCGCCACTGCTGTCCCCGCCAATGTGGGATGGTGGATGTTTCAAACATGCATCGGTTACGTAAGCGTGCGTCGGGCTCCCGGAATCTTGTGTCTGATCGAGAGCTTGCGAGGGTCTGTTAAGTGAAGGATCGGGGCCAGCAGGTGGGGGATCATGGTGATGGCCTGCTTAAGGAGCCTCCCACCCCTGGTGGTGCGCATGGCGGCTTTCGCGGTCTGGCGATTCGTCAATTGTGCCATTCTCGCAGCGAACGCCAGCGACAGTAAGCGAGCATTATGTCCAAGCTTCTATTGTGCTGGAGGGCCATGACATGTAGTGACAATAGTGTTGGTGGTATGGGGCCGCGGAGCCCGTGGCGACCACCGCCTGTTCCGCACCCCGTCCTCCCCATACCTCTAACACTCGTCTTCCGTGTCCCGCATAATCTGAAACACCCTTTGTGTAACCTCACATTCTACCATGATATATAACACCAGACCGCCATCCCTGTGGATCTGGAGCACTAGACAGGCAACGAACGGATCCATACTGTTGTGGTTCTCCAGCAAGTATCGCCAAGCAGCCACCAGCCGGCCACTCCACGAATAGCCGAGAATAGCGTCGCTTAGCCTAGAATAGATTCGAATAGGTTTGAATACCGACCCGAATAGTGTCAGAATAGGTTCGATTAGCATCAATAGCCCCAGATTAGCTTCCAGATCCGCCTGCCAACGTCAGACCGGCTGTCACGTCAGATCCACGTCACCTGTCACTGCAAGCAGCGCCAACACGCAAGCAGCGCCTATACTCAAGCAGCGCCAACAGCACCAGCACCACCTGCCACTCCCGCTCTCGCCAGCACCAGCACCAGCACCAGCGCCAGGCTATCCACGTCAGTAAGTGCGCCTCAACGCCGGACCACCTGCCCCTGCCACGCAGCCCATTGTCGTCATCCTCAACACAGCGGCTGATCCACTCGCTCGTCTAACCGTGTTTTTGTGCCACCACCAGACTCAGGTACCACACACCATCAACGCCAGCTTCTTCGCGTCAGGAACATCCGTCGTACTGCCGTTGTGCCTGCCATAGTGACCACTGTCCCCAGCACCGTCGTAACTTCTACCGTCGCGTGCGCTGCAACTCCCGCCAGCGACACAACACCACGAGACCCCACCACGAGACCCCACCACGAGCTGCACCACCACTACCACCATCACCAGTGCTGCACCACCAAGAAATACCCAATTTCTCGCTGCACCTCCCGCTAGCTCCCTGTGCCTCGCTATCCCCCGCTAGCCACCCCCCTAGCGACCCATCCCCCCGCTAGCTTTCCTGTGCCTCCCCATCCCATCCATTGTGTTTCCTGCTATTGTTGCCAATTCCAACATTTTCACCACTTCCACCATGTCTCAAGGCCAAGTCGACATGGCTGTTTCTCCCCCTACACATCTTGGCTCTGCTCAAGGTCCTCCCGTGTCGCCACGAGAGTCTCCCGTCCGCACGCTGGCGCCTAATCCTGCCAAGAGACACCGTCCCAAATCGTTGAATTTAAATCCGTCCAGTCCTCAGGACGACTCCCGCAAGAAGCCTAACAAGAACGCCGACTTGGCACTTCGCATCGTCAGTCCAGGTCTTCCCATTCTCAACGAAGAAATGGAGACTACCGTCAAGATCTCCCAGAAGATCGAGTTGCAACAGCGCCACTTGATAGCTGCCCGCCAGCAGGGCGGCTCGTCCTCGGGAATGTCGCCTACTGGCAGCTCGGGAACGCTGCCAGGAAGTGCTCCCACGCCTTCAGGCTCCGCCAACACCTCGATGGACGGCTCCAACAGCCCCAAGAACGTAGCAGTTCTAGACGACAAGCTCTCGGCACCTACTTCTGCCAAAAGGTTGAAAAGAGACAACATCCCCACTCCATTGACCATTGGACCCTCTGCCAGATCTTCCAACTCCCACAGGCCTCTGATCCAGTCGGCTCCAATACGATACACCTCCCGAGTCCCAGTGACAGCGAGACCCTCGGTCCCTCTGCAAGTACGCAGATACCCCCCTCCTCTCGCTTCAGCAGTGCCTCTTGGACCCCATCCATACGCCTACTCGGTCCAGAGAAGATACAGACCCTTTCCCAACACTCATGTGACATATCTGGCGCTTCCTGGTCACCCACACCAGCCAGTCATGCCCACCACGCCTTACAAGCGAATCAGAATGGTCGCTCCGCACACCACCACCTCGCCATACTTCCCCAGAGGAATCAGACGTGCGGTGGTACCCACAGGGCCTGTCAATGCCCAGGCACATTCGTCCCAGCAAGAAGCCAAGCCGTATAACGTCACCGATATCTACCACGGCGACTTGATGAAGGTTGCACCATTACAGTCGCAGCCTCTCTCGGCCCAGCGTGAGTATTTTGAGTCCTCGTCAGCAAAACCTACTCCTACCACCAGCCATAAAATGATTGAGGACGATAGACTTCCAGTATCTGACGAAGAAGTGAGAGAGATGCAAGAAAAGTACAAGCGGAATTCGGAAGAGGCAAAGTCCGAAGAATACAAGCCTGGCCAACCTCGTGCTTATGGATATCCTGGTGAATATCAGCAGGAACAATACGGCTCCCAATATCGCCCTATCAAGTCGGGTGAAATCTTTGGCTCCATCAACTTGATGAATGAAAGCATTTTCAACTTCAAAATATTCGCCCAGGCCCCTGAGTCGGACTCGCGCAAGGATGAAGATGTGGAGGATCGTGCCCTTGAAAAAGATCCGGAGGATAAGGACAATAGTGGCCCTGAAAAAGAGTCGGGTTCGGCCACCCCACCCTCCAGAGAGAAATCGCCTTCACAAGCCTCCAAGGAGGAGGACAGTGATGACTGGTTGGCAAAAGAGAAAGACAAGTTTTTGAAGATTTGTGAAACTAGTTGGGATGAATTTGTTAACAGTAGAAGATTGACCTCCGATTGGTAAGCTTCTATTTCGTGTTGGTTTTTTATTGCTCTGATGGTCCCGCCTCCTTAATTCTACCTTTAATTCTTAATTCCACCACCATGATCGCAGATCTGGATTCATTTCTTGGGGCCTAGAGTCATCGGCTCGATCACTCGTCTTCAACGAGGACTGAGTGTGACCTTTGTACTATTAATTCTCTATTGTTTGACTATTGGTTAGGACCGCATTGTTTCATAAAATACACAGTTCAGCAAGTATACCCACTGTAGACGATGGTATGCCCTGGCAGCACCATAGAATACTGGAATAGTTCGCAGCAATTTTTCTGTAGTCTTGTCCGGTAGCTAGGCACCAATAGTGAGACTTAGGGAGAAAATTTGTCCTCACCCCCACTAAAGTGTGAATTCCCTACCGGCAAACTAGCGAGGTTACGCTTTTGTCTTGCCAGGGCTCACAGAAATATTTCCCTGTGAAATTTCCCCAAAAAACTAGCAAATGCAACCTTTAGGAAATAACTTCATAGATAAAAGCCATTCAAAGAGTATCTCTCAGTCTATTTCGAGTCCATCCACAATTCGTCCTAATTAGCACAAACTATTTTCCACATGTATTGTTGGGCCAGTTCGGTGTCAAGATTACCACGTGACTCACTATTGGGAGGCGAAAATTTCACCATACAACTCTTACTATATACTCCATTAACACCATGTTAGCACGTCTTCTCTTGCGGAGGACTACTGGTCTATCCTGGAGGTTGAACCCCCCAGCTAGACTTGTTGGCCAGCAGCATAGAACGTTTTCCTCGATCAATAACCATTTGGCATTCAGAAACTCCACTGTGTTGAAGAACCAGAAGAAAGACGACAGTGAAGTGAACGACGATAAAAAGAAGGCAGAGAAGCCCACAAAGCCGGAAGAGTCCACCGAAGTCGACCCAGATACCCAAAAGAAGGACAAAAAGAAGGATATGGGCGACGAAGAGAAGGACATACGTGAAGAAATCAAGAAGCGATTACAGAAGAAGAATCCCAACATCAACCTCAACAACATAAAGGTGTATCAGTTCGACCAGAAGTCGATTGCCCGCTTCTTCATCGGAACATCCGTGTTGACCATCCTCTTGACTATGTACATGTTGACCAAAAATAAGGAAAAGAATGAATTGTCATTCCAGGACTTCAAGATCAATTACCTTGAAAAGGGTCTCGTCACCCGCTTGACAGTCATCAACAAGTTTGCTGTGCAAGCTGAATTGATCCGGGGCGCAGTTTCGGACCAAACATTCCAAACTGCAGGCGGTACTCCAGCCGTCGTCTTCACCATTGGCTCAGTCGAATTTTTCGAAGAGGAAATGAAGTTGAGTCAGGACAAGTTGGGAATTCCAATTGAAGAAAGATTGCCCATTTCGTACGAAGAGAGAGGCTCTTGGTTGAATTACATCATCCCCATTTTGCCTACTGTTTTATTGATTGGTGGTTTATGGTATATGACCATGCGTAGAGCAGGACAGGCTGGTGGCGGTGCCGGAGGTGCTGGTGGGCCTGGAGGTATCTTCAAAATTGGTAAGTCCAAGGCCAAGTTATTCAACCAGGAAACCGAAGTCAAAATCAAATTCAAGGACGTTGCTGGATGTGAAGAGTCTAAGGAAGAAATCATGGAATTCGTGAAGTTCTTACAGGACCCAAAGAAGTACGAAAAATTGGGAGCAAAGATCCCTAGAGGAGCTATCTTATCTGGCCCTCCAGGTACTGGTAAAACTTTGTTGGCTAAGGCAACTGCCGGTGAAGCTGGTGTTCCATTCTTGTCTGTTTCTGGTTCCGAATTCGTGGAAATGTTTGTTGGTGTTGGTGCCTCTAGAGTTCGTGACTTGTTCAAGACTGCCCGTGAAATGGCCCCAGCCATCATTTTCGTTGATGAAATCGATGCCATTGGTAAGGAAAGAGGAAACGGAAAAATGGGTGGTAACGATGAAAGAGAAAACACCTTGAACCAATTGTTGGTGGAAATGGATGGGTTTGAAGGCTCTGACCACGTTGTGGTCTTGGCTGGTACCAACCGTCCAGATATTTTAGATAAGGCATTATTGAGACCTGGAAGATTCGACAGACACATTTCTATTGACACTCCCGATGTCGAGGGCCGGAAACAGATTTTCAAGGTCCACTTGTCCAAGTTAACTTTGACAGCCGATGAGGAGATCAAGGCTAGTCAAAAGGATCTTGATTTCAGCAAGTATCAAGAATTGAAAGCAGAAGCCATTGAGAACCTTGCAGGAAGATTGAGTGCTTTGACTCCCGGTTTCGCTGGTGCAGACATTGCTAACTGTTGTAATGAAGGTGCCTTGATCGCAGCCAGAGAGGATGCCACCTCGGTGGACATCTACCATTTCGAACAAGCTATCGAGAGAGTTGTTGCTGGTTTGGAAAAGAAGTCTAGAATCTTGAGTCCTGAAGAGAAGAAAACCGTGGCCTACCACGAGGCTGGACATGCTATCTGTGGCTGGTTTTTGGAGTTTGCCGATCCTTTGGTCAAGGTCTCCATTATTCCAAGAGGTCAAGGAGCTTTGGGCTATGCCCAGTACTTGCCTAAGGACCAATATTTGGTTTCCCAGGAACAATTTAGACATAGAATGATCATGACATTGGGAGGCAGAGTCAGTGAAGAACTTCATTTCGACACTGTGACCAGTGGTGCATCAGATGATTTCAAGAAGATCACCCAGATGGCCCAACAGATGGTGTTAAAATTGGGAATGTCTGATAAGGTTGGACACATCTATTACGATAGTGGAGATGATGGTAGCGGGTTCAAAGTTCACAACAACTACTCTCAAACCACCGCCAAATTGATTGACGACGAAGTCAAGAGACTCATTGATGATGCTTACGATGCCTGTCACACCCTCTTGACTGAAAAGCTTGAATTGGTCGACAAGGTTGCCGAGGAGTTGTTCAAGAAGGAAGTGTTGACTAGAGAAGACATGATCAGATTGGTGGGTCCAAGACCATTCCCTGAACGTAACGACGCATTTGACAAGTATATCAAGGGCAAGGATGCTTTCAAGGGAAAGCCAAAGGACTAGGTGCACGGCCATAAGAGACCGATGCTCATAAAGGGAGTCTCTAGTGCTCCTTGCAAGAAACTGTACATAGTAATCATGTAATGCATGGAATAACGAGCTGATAGGTAGTAAAAGTAGAGGAAGCGTTAGAGATTTTTGAAATGGTAAGGAGAATTGTATTATTAGAGATTGCCTCGTTTGGTTACCGCAACAATGAAATAATTAGGAATCATTAAAGTCTTCTATTAGTTCTTGTATAAATAATGTGCTTAATATTACTATGGTTCGCATGCCTTTCTTATCGGCATTGAACTACCTCATCCCTGGAACAACTCTTCTATTGACTCGTATCCTTGGGCATCGACATCGATCTTGTAATCTACCGGAGACTTTGAAAGATCTGGAACACCCTGTATCGAAATTTTTCTCGGCTCTATTTGGGGATTCATTCGGGTGTAGGAAGAGTCATCCACATACAGACTTTCAGGTTTGGAATTTAGGATGCTGTTATGATCAATTTTCGGGAAATCAAATGGGTCCTCTTTCTCCGAATGCAGTTCTTCTTCCAGTAGTTCAGAATCTTCCAAATCGGATTCTATACCACTGGAATCACTGAAGAGCTCGTTGATATTATCATTAATATCCAGTGGACGCCGTATTAACTCTTGGTTTATGTTGTATCTATCAAAAAACTTCTTTTCAATCGACGAACTTTCTTGAGCTTGATTTACAACCTGCTTAGGATTTATATCATGTCCAAGATCAATAAAATGAGTTCTCCATTCCAAGTAGCCTCCATCAGTCATATACCCACAACCCAACAAAGGACACACCAATACCTGTTTCTTGCAAGAGCAATCAGATAAGCTGTCCATTTGGTGTTTCCTCAAGTCACCCATGGACAAGAAGAATTTCTGGCACAATTTTCCATTTTGCATTTTCCTCATACAGTGGAAGGGCTCGCCAGTCCCGGATAATGCTAAAGGTGGAATGGGGTACATAATAGGAAATTGATCGTGCAATTTTTTGGAGACCTTTTCCGACACGCTTAGAGGTGTTTCGTTTTCATTCAAAGATACTGGGTACCCCAAGGTGTAGAGGACGCCTGAGTGCTTTTCAAGAAGATGATTTTGGTATAATGACTTGTTTCCTGTGCAATAGTAACAATTTTCAATAGCACATTCAAATATTTTGACTTGGGGAGAATTATCCACCAAATATTCCGTTAGGATTGAATACTCCTCTTCGAATTGGTCCAGAGCACATTTCAGGGATTTTTTGGATTTTGGGTGCTCGGATATACTTGACGAATGACTCAAGTCAAAACTGGAGCCTTCAGTAGGGCTATCAAAATTCCCAGACAAGTCGAATAATCTTGTGGGAAGTATATCAGAATTCTGGCTGGCACCCTTCCCGTTCTGCTTGATAGGAGATGTGTCAGAGTCTGACCCTACTGGTGCAGCCTTTGTAGGGGATACATCGAATCTGGCGTCGGCCCTGACTGGGCTGGATGAGAGTCTGGATTTCTTGGTGGGTGAGGGGTTTAGAAGTAGGTTGTCCTCTAGTGGTGCTCTTTTGTGGGTGGGTTCATCGATTGACTCCGTCGACAGCGAGTTATAGAATAGGTTTAGCAGTTTCAACCGGGACTTGAGCTGATGTTTCTGGTCTTTCTGCTTCTTTTGCTTGAGTCGTTTGTCACGTTCCCAGTCGTAGTCCACGGCCCAGATGTTGCCGTCCAGACTGTTCTTATCATGCGCCAATTGGGTATTCAACGATCTCAAATGGCCATTGTCGATGGTGATCCTGCCAGTGACCAAGTCGATCTCGTCACTGGCCTTCTCGTCTTCGATGGTCGAGTACTTCTGGAGGATTTGCTCCCATTTGGACTGGAACTTTCGCGTGCTCTGGGCCTTTAGGCGTTCGAGTTCTCGTTGGAACGCCTGTGAGTCGTGATGGAGTTGTTTGTCTTCGTGGAGCAGGTCGAACTGCGATGGCTCGTCGTCGCTTTCGATGGCGATCAGTTTGGGCTCTGTCTGGCGCCCACTGAACTGTCCCGACGAGTCGTACGAGAGGTTGGGTATGTTATCCATGGACGGGGGGCCAGTTCTTGATGGTGGTGTTTACTGATATCTGCCCATATGCAGTGCGATGGACCCCACCAAACACGCGAAGCGCTGCAAAACGAGTTGTTTTCTCATAAATAACTGATAAATCCATCAATAGGATGGATATTAATGGTAAATCATCGCTGAATATTCTGAATGTTACGAGATACGATACTAGTGTAGCTTCTCAAACAGTAAAAGTGGCGGCAGACTAGGAAAAGTTCCAATCAAAATAGCCCTAAAAACAGTTGAGACAGTTGAGAAAACGGATTTGCAGTCTGGCGGTGCACTTGGCAGCAAACGCCACTACAAATGCAAGACAAGCGTATGTTACTTAGAGAAACGGTTGAAAGAAATGGAAAATAGAGAAATAAACCGAAAGAAATGTGAGGAGTAATTGAAAGAAACGTAAGAAATGTTGCAGATAACAACGGGCCAAAGTCACAAGTGTAATGAATGATTTTCTATAAAATTGTCACTCCCAGCTTTCTACACCGTTTGTTGATTGGCGTTTATGGCAATACTATATACAGATAATGGAGCATTGAAGGCTTTCTGGAGCACGGGCGACTTCCTCGCAACCTCTCTCCCCAGGTATTTTCCATGGTTTAGTCGTTATTGACGGTGCTGGTCCGCTCATTGTTCTTGTTCTTGTCCCAGCACTCTCTGAACGCTTGCATCTCGGGTAAGCACTTCCTCCAGTCGCCGTTGTCAGCATGGCAAAGCTGGAGCTTGAGGTTCTCGTCGTGGCAGCCTGTGTTGATGATCCGTTGGTCCCACTCGTCGGGCTCATCGTCGTCTACTTCCTGATGGTGGTTCTGCAGCATTGTATGGTTGGATGTTGCTAGCAAAGGCGGTGGAGTTACTCGACAGAATTAATGCTGGAAGAATCGAGCCTAGCTGACCTCAAATGGTTCCAGAAATGTGCTCATGATATATTTGGGCACGTGAGCCGGCCTTTGAGTGCCAGACACGGTGATGACCATCACCAGGGGCCCATTATTCTAATTCGGGAGTCCAGTCACTACATGGAGGTTCTTTTTAACATTAAAATAATATACATGGGCCGGTTTACACAGCCGTCTATGGAAATCTCTAGAAGCCAAATCCTCCCTTGGAATAGGCCATTGGCTTAATGTCTGGATGTGGCACGGCACTGAACGTTTCGATTTCCAAGTCCCAGGGACAGTTCTTGTCGTCGACATCCTTGTACCCTTCGCCATTGTCAGCAGCGCTGTCATATTGACTGTTCTCGGTGAAATGGACGACACCACCCAAGTTCCCGGTGGAGTCACAGTAGTTGGGTGCACTAAAGACGGTAATCAAACGGCCATTGTGCTCCTCCTCTACACCGCCCATTCTGACCTCGTGCGACCGCAACACCTTTCTGATTTTGTTGTTCAAGCAGAACTTCTCGGTGATGTCGGGTCCGAATTGCATACCGATTCCTCTCTTGGATGGTGATCTTCCAGGTGTTGGCTGAGGATCGGTCCACAACAACTCCATCGCAATACCTTCCCGTGGAGGCTGTGTAGATCCGGAAACTGGGAATCTGTTGAACTTCTTGATATCTTCCAAGCGGACATTATCGTCAGAGAATAAACCTCCATGCATGCACAAGTATGATCTGTTGATCAATGCAGCCAATGGCAAGGCCCCAAAAGACTCAGCAAACACTTCGAAGATCTTTTTCGAATACTTGTGTTCACATTCGTCGGTGAATCCGTAGGTCTTATTCATATCGTTGGTCTCGTGGTTACCACGGTTGAGGAAGATAGACTTAGGGTACAAGATCTTCAACACATACAAATACAACGCCACTTCACAAGACCACGAGCCACGGTCAACGAAGTCACCATTGAAGATGTAGATATGTTCCTCCGAGACGTGTCCAAATTTGTCGAATAGATTCATCAAGTCATAGAACTGACCATGGGTGTCACCAACTACGGTCAACTTCTTACCGTTTTCTAATAAAATTTCATCTTTCGATCCAGTGGCATCAAGCTTACTGTGTGGCAAGACAAGCTCGACCATTGTGGCCTCTTGACGAAGCAATTGATACACCTTTGCGACAATGGCAAAAACGTGCTTCTTGGGCAACTTTCCGCCATCTTTGAACAATTGGATCATATACTTCAAGTAGTCTTTGTCCAAACCCTCGATGGTGACTGTTACTGGCGAGTCCTGGGCCACTTTTTCGGCATGGATTTCCAAGGATGGTCCCTGCCATGACTTCTCAATCTGCACCCCTTCATAATCGATGGTGCTGATGACGGACACCTTATCGTCTCCAGCAATGGCTTTTTCGAATGCCTGACGCTTCAAGTAGTTGGTGCACTGTTTGAAGTTCTCCAATGTGAGCTTGTCGTTGGGCAACTTCTTCAAAATGATCTTGAAACTCTGCTGGGCCTCCTTGTGCTTCAAAATGGCCATTTGCGATACACCCTTGCGGTAGTACGCCTTGACGAAGTTGGGATCAATGGCCAAGGCCTTGTCACAGTCGATGATGGCCAAACCATAGTTTTCGAGCTTGATATGGACCTGGGCTCTGTTGGAGTAGAACACGGCATTGTTCCCGTCCAACTCGATGGCCTTGGTGTAGGATTCAATGGCCTCGGAGTACTGCTGGGCCTTGAGGTGGGCATTTCCTTCGTCCTTGAGCTTGATGGCCTCGGACGCGTTTGCGGCTTCAGTCATTGCACTGTATGTTGATCACGACGTAAGATGAAGTCTGGCGACGCTTAAATGCAATTTCCCCCGTATGTGGAATAGATATCTCTAAGTGAGAAGTTAAAGGAAGGTTTGGGGTAGATAGCCAGATAGTCAAATTTTCAGTCAAATTGGGCGACATCGCACTGGAGTTGGCGTGCCTTTAGCGGTACCTGCGGGGTGAGGACTATGCCCGGGAAGCAGGATTTCGAGGTACGACATGAGCTCACGCTGACAATAGAACCCTACTAGGCTGGCCCTGTGCTGCCAGATAAGTTCCAGGAAATTTCCGATGGAACTACTGGTGCTCCGATTGATTTACGCCAACATCCTCTGTGGAAGCCGCGAGGTTTCCCCCTAACGAACAATTAGCGGGAATCCTCGCTAGCACACTACCTAGCGTCGCTACAGATCAAAAACAGGAGTTTTTATTCAAAACAATTCATCTACTCACACTATGGAGCCCACTACCCCACAATACGCAAGCCAGAGGCAGGAACACCGATTGCAGTGATACCAGTAACCTTACAAACCTTGCCCTTGTATTCTGGCTTGTACTTTGCACCCACCAATGCTTCGGTGACAAAGGGTGCACCCTTGTAGATTGGGGTGTACGAAGCAGAACAGATGTCAAACTCGGCATATGGATCGAAATCTATCTCCACGGCATCGCTGGAGACAGAGTCTGCCTTGGTCTTTAATTTTTGCGCTTGCTCTGCCCTTGCACCAGTAGAAACAATCTTCAAAAGCTCGCCAGCAAAGTAGGAGGCACTAGCATAGTTTTTGTTCTTGAAGGTTTGAGTCATGGCCACTTGCAAGGCATTCACCTTATGAGGATTTTGAAGCTTAGTTCTGGTGAAATAAGCTGCCAATTCCAAGTTTCTCTTGACATTGGAAGGATCTAAGGAACGACGCTCCAATTCTATCGACAAACCCAAGATGTATTCACGACACAAGATCAAGATGTCCTTACACTTGGCCTCTTGGTCTTCGTCGTCCACGGTTATGACTGTTATAGTATAGATAATATCTTTGAATGTGCTGATGGCTGATTTCAAGTCATTTTCCTTGAACTGCTTGAATCCAGTTTGTAACCTTTCCTCCAAAGTATCGAATCCTGGAATTAAAGGCTTGAATTTAGAAGGATCATCCTCGTCATTCTCTGCTCTCACAAAGTCTCTCATGGCTGGCAAATCATCAATACCTGGTAATTGCAATTTGGAAGCTTGGTAAACCTCAATAAACCTAGAACGTAAAGGTTCGAAATTCACCACACCCAATTGCTTGTTCAATAAGGAAGCAGCTTGCTCAACAGACCCTGCAGCAACATAACTAGCAGGAGTCTTAGCATTACTTAACCAGATGCCTATTTCACCTTCATTGGTGATCAATGTAGGACCTTCAACATCATCTGGAATGTCGTCATCAATGTCCAATTCGTCATCCAAGTCCCAAGCACCTCCATCAGCTTCGTCTTCTTCGCCAAACTCTCCAACGTCTTCGGCGTCTTCAAAGTCGATGGCAAGTGTGTCTTGTGCTTTAACTTCTGGCTTATCTTCGATGCTCAAACCTTCGAGATTACCCGACTTAAGAGCATTTTCAAAGTAAGACAATGAAGATTCCTTCAATGGCCAGTTATCAATTGGAGCATTCAAGGAGCTTGGTAATGAAAGCAGTTGACCTAACTGTGGCAAGCTAACATCTTTCTTATCAACACCGGATTCTTTCAAGATTTCATCTGCTAACTCATCCAAACCGTTGGACTTGGCCAAAGTGTAGGCTAAAGGTAACAATCCAGCTTGAATATACACCTTGACTCTCTTCTCGATGTCGTTGTTGTAAAGAGTGTTTTGAAGCAAACTGGAGAAATCACCACGATGTTCGGCAATGGCAGACATCTTGGCTAATCTATCCGAATCACCTCTAAGCAAGTAAAGGAAGGATAATTTGTCGAAGTGGTGTAATTGTTGGTAGACAAATTCAACGATATCAAGGTTACCTTGGTTCAAGGCTTCTTCGCCCAACTTTTCCCAAATCTTAGGGTTGTTTAAGATCTTGGCTTGTTCAAGAGCGACGACTAAGTTGCTACATTCCAAGGCCAATTCGAATCTGGTTTCTGGGTCTTGAACGAATTGCAAAGCAATTTCTGGATAGCCCTTCTTTTGTAAATAACCAATAATGTTTTGACCAACCAAATTGGAATTCTTAATGATTCTCAACACTTCACCGAAATTCTTGTTCACCAAAGACTTCTTGAATCTGAATTCAGTTGGGTCAATCTGGACGACCTCAACCTGACCTGCCCTATTCAAACAGTAGACCTGGTTATTGGTGATCTTGGTGATGTATAAGGTGTTTTGTAAGGTCTTGATGATTCCATTATCACCGTTCAAAAGGGTATATTTGATGTGGTTCAATGTGGAGTACAATAATACACCAGAGTCGTCCCATGCAGCACTCTTGATTCTAATGGTTTCATGCATTGAGGTGATAAGGTTCAAGTCCTTATCAGCAATGGTAATGGTGTGCTTGGACAAGAAAGCCAAATATTGACCATCCAATGAAGCCGACACGTATTTTGCGTTGTTCACACTCAATTCAGACAATTCCTTTCTTTGTTGGACATCGTAGTTGATGACGGAATGACTCTTCACAAGAAGTACTCTACCTGCACCACCGTATAAGACATCGTTGACGGAAGAATCAAGCTGGACAGTTTTGGTAATGTTATTGGATAAATCCTTGACATACAAGGTCTTAGTGGACTTGATGAAAGTGACAAATCTGTTTCTGGAAATGAAGCAAGCAAATCTGCCTTCACCCTGTCTGATGTCAGTAGGTTCGATGGCACCAGTAACGTGTTTAGGCAAGGAAATTAATGCGTATCCACCGTTGTCACCTTCACCATGGGTGACTAAAATCGAGTGATCGGCTTGATTATAGGAAAGGGTTCTCATGAAGGACCAAGTCTTACCGATCTTTTTCAAACTCAACATAGGCAACGAGCTTTCCTGTTTTTGGAAATCGTAAGATTGGAGTTGTTTTGCGGAGTTGACGTAGAACAAGTTGTTTTGGAACAACGCGTGGGCAGGACGTTCTCTCTCTAACTTGAATACCATAACACCGGAGTCATGACAAGTAGCAAACAAGTTCATGGTAGGATGAGGGGTGATTAACCAGAAACGATCGTGTTCTCTTCTAAACTGCTTAATAGGAACACGCTTGTTGAGGTCCCAGACCCTGATGGTCTTGTCATCAGAAACTGAGAGAATCAAGTCTTGTTGAGGATGGAAAACAGCACTCAACACGTTACCGGTGTGGCCTCTGCAAGTATCCACTTCCCAGGCCTTGGTATCACTCATTCTCCACAACTTGACCAATCTGTCGTCACCAGCAGAGACGATCAATGGCAAGGTAGGGTGGAAGGTGGCCCAGTTGACCCCCTTGTCGTGGCCTTCCAAGACGTACTTGACAATAGCATTAACGTTACCAAAAATGTCTTGTTGAGGCAATTGCTGTCTCTGTAATTGGTCTTCGAATGATCTAGCAGCGGAGGTTGGGGCAGAGTGCTTCTTTCTCAAACCAGAGATGTCCCACACCCTGACAGTTTGATCCAACGAAGCAGAAACAATCAAATCATCGGTAGGGTGGAATTGCGCAGACATCACATAGTGGTTGTGGCCAGTCAAGCAGGCGATCTCCTGCTGATTCTGCCAGTTCCAGATTCTGATGGTTTGATCGTCGGAACACGAGATGATCCATGGCAATTCGTTGTGGAAAGACACAGTTCTAATGTAGTCCAAGTGTCCTTGGAGAGTGAAGATACACAGTCTGTCTTTTAAGGACCACACCTTGATCAGATAGTCGTCACCTCCCGAAACAAACAATGGCTGGGTAGGATGGAAATCAACACATCTGACTGGTCCAGTATGTTCTTCAAACCGGTCAATCAAGGTACCCATACGGTAATCCCATAATTGGATAGTAGACGAGTGGAGGGAGACCAAAACCCAAGGTCTTTTGGGGTGGAATGCCACGCCCTTAGCCCTAGAGGACTTGGACTCGAATTTGGTTAGCATCTTCATGATGGCGGTGGTGATTGATTTATGAGTGTTGTTGGCCTTTTGAAAATATGGACGAGTGTCACGTGGCCAACGCGCGACATCAGCCGGCAGGGTGCGCGCGACACGGTGCAGACGACACGCGATCTGCGACATCAAAATGAGCTGCAGTAGGATTCATACTCCTATCAACTCAGAAGCCGCCGGGTGCTAGGCTGATGCTTGAACATTGCTTCTTGTGTCTGGCTGTGCCAAATTCTATAAGAAGAAATATTGTAGGTTTGCATGTTAAGGGAGTTATACGGAGCTTTTTGCATGATTCCAGGCCAACCGGCCCCAAATGCTCATCATGCGAAGCTCAACCCCTCGTGATGTTGCATGCTTGTCAATGTCGCCGCCTGATTCCACATTTTATGGCACTCCTGCTGCAGATAGACATACTATCTTTAACTGGGATATAGAGAAGTGAACTTGTCACGTGACTTGCGTGTTTTGTTTACAGCCAATATCAACTACACGCCTGCTAAATGCTATAATCCGTGTAAAAGAATATAAATATACTCTGATAACAATTAATATGAAGCATAACTAAATTTATTATACTCAGGGCAATTCAGCCGGAGAAGTCAATATTACAGAGGCGTTGGATATCATTATTACTCTTTAGTCTAAACATTACAATGAGATGATACTGCCAATGACAGCAAGGAATCCGGCCAACAGTTCCCAAGAAACGTTATTGGATCCAGCGGCATTGCTGGAAGAACCAGATGCTGAGGCCGAGTTTTGGGCGAAGTCACCGTTGGCGGAGCTGGTGTTGGTACTAGTGGTTCTAGCACCAGACTGGGTGGAAGAACCGGAAGCACCACTTCTAGAAGCAGTGGTAGAGGCAGAACCAGAGGAAGATCTGGAGCCAGAGGAAGAAGCAGATGAGGAGGCAGAAGCAGATGAGGATTGGAGCTTGTCGAGCTTTCTGTCAAAACCAGTGCCATCTTCGTCACCAAGGATGGTTTCTCTGTTAGAGATCATAATGTTTGATTGGGTACCATGGGTGCTGTTAACGACGTAAGTGTCGAACTTGCTGCTGTTACCACCAGAAGTGTCTCTGCCAATGCCGCTTGGTAAGTCATAAGCCTCGACGGTGACGTTTTTAAGGTAAGCATAGTAGTAACCATTGTCTTGGATGTCCTTGGAGTCCCAGTCGATCTCACCACCGGCCCAAGCTCTGGTACCGATAGGACTGGTGGCATTACCACCTGGCCAAAGAGACATTTGGATTCTGGATGGAGTTTGAGGGAAGGCATAGGTGTTGTCGGTCGAGTTGTGGGTGGAAGCCTTGTCAAGGGTTCTGATCTTGTCACCATCGATGTACCAGTCGATCTTGTCTTCTTGCCAGTCAATGGTGTAAGTGTGCCAGTTGGCCATGGTGTCAGAAGTGGAAGAGTTGTGGCCCTTGGTGTAATCCAAAGCACCTTGAGAGTAGTAGTTGGTTTGGACTTGAGTGGTGTCGTAACCAACGAACTCGAAATCGATTTCATCCTCGAGATCCGAGTAGGTAATGAAGGAAGTGATCACACCTTGCAAGTGAGAACTCTTGATGGTGGCAGAAACCTTACCGTACAACAAGTACTTGGTGGAACTGACAACAGAACCACCGGAATATTGTGGCATTTCCATCAACAAGGCGTCGTCGTGGATGTCGACCCATCCTGAGTACAACCAGTCAACGGCAGACGAGTTACCCAAGTAGTCGATAGACACTTGCAACTTGTCGAGGGAGTCGAACTGGGTCTCGAACGAGCCCATTCTTGGCATTGGAAGACATGAAGTCAAGTTGTAGGAGTTCTTAATGATACAACCGTTGGCACAGAGGTTACCAGTACCACAAATACCGTATTGGGAGCAACATGGAGCGGATTCGGGACAGGGGTTGGTGCTGTTACAAGAGATGGCCAGGGCCAAAGAAGCCAAGAAGAACCCTGAAACCAAAGTTGAAATATGCATCTTGATAAAGTGAGTAAGTTAGTGCCAGAGGGCTGTGGGCTATTTATGTATCTTGGGTCATTTTTGACCTAGTGAATAATAATGCATGGCATTGAGGCCTCGGGCATAGGCGCCAATGCAATAATGGTGGGTTGTGCGACCAAAACAATACGCGCTTTTGGCTCTTAAAAATACGAGATGGTCCACAGCTTGACGATAGGCGATTCAGCGCCTCAGAACAAAGTATCTGGTCGAAGTCTGGAGAAATAGCCAGATGGTGTCTAGCTAGAGGCCTCAGGCTTGGACGGTGGCGATAGCCCGGGCATGTCGCGAGACGATCTCCACCAGCTTGGGATTATTTTTGTTTCCCATCATGCATATTTTTTGTTGATACCACAAAGATCGAACCTATTAGTGTTATTGGAGACAAATCAGCTCCCAGAGTGGTTAAACCCCACCAAATATTTTCTAGCCAGACAAACGGTGACACGTGCCAGCTGGCAGTTCGTGTCGTGTGTGTTCCACCTAGCCGTTCTCCAATAGGTGGTCACCCAACCGGTCTTATGGTTATGGACATATGCAGTTTTCACGAAGATTTTCGACTACCAGGTCACAGTTTTACGATGTGCATAGAGCTAATCGAGGGATTACCGAGCGCAATATTCCTCCAGGGTGAAGGCTCAGCGTGGGAACGGCCGCAGAGTTCCTTTCTGGGGGATCTACGCTCCGATCGGCGGTGTTCTATGGCTCCCTGATAGTATAAGCCCCACATGCTTACGGCTCGCCAATGAACCAAGAGATCATCCCGAAGTGCGGACGGCACGAAATTGGGCGCATTTCTGCTTAGTACACAAAAACAAAAGTATGCATTGGTCCGAATATCTCTTGTTTGGGAGTAATTCCTGGACGTACTGTCACTGGTCTAACTTGACGTGATATTTTCTTTTGGGGCCTACGATCACCACATTGGGCTGCGGATATGCATGCTGGATATGCAAGTAGCACTCTTTTATTAAATTGGTAGAATCAAGCTATCAGTTGTTGGAGAAGAAGTTGTACATATTGGGCTGATAGGTGGACGGATTGTTATAGATGAGATCGGAGCCAGGGGCTGAACCTGCACCCTGGGCCTGTGGGTTTACTTGCCCTGGTTGGTGAAATTGTGGGGGGCCACCGGAGATAGACGGGTTTCGCGACATATTTGACACGCTAGGCGAACCTGTTGCCGAGGGAGTCACGGGAGTTTGTGAATAAAATCCTCCCGCGGGCTGGCTTTGTGACGGTCTCTTGGGGGGAAGAGAAGGTGCTCCCCGATAGTCCTGGCCGTAAAAGGGGGCCTGCGGTTGCCTTTGTGGCTCCCTTCTAGACTCAGAAATAATTCTCTGTTTCAATCCTTCGCTGTAGTTCAACAATTGCTTGTAGAATTCGACCCCACGGCTCAATCCAGTGGAATATTGTTGCCAAATGTCATTGTAGAATCGTTCGATCTTTTGCTGTTGGTCCTCGATCAACTGGGTGCGGAACTTTTTCGACTTTTGTATCTCCTTCACCTCTCCATTCTGAGACAATTGGTCCCATTCGATCCCCAAATCTTTGATGAAAGTCTTCTGTCTTTCGATCAACTTGTCAAGTTCGTTGTTGTATACTTCAAACTTTTTCATCTCCTCAGGGAAAATCGCCTGTTTGATTTCGCTAGAACTCTTGATTCTACTATTGAGGATCAAGATATCCGAAATATCGTCCTCGTGTATCTCTTTCTTCAACGCTTCTATCAACTTATTCTTATTGCTCCTTATCACGTTCAAATCATGTAAGATATCTTCGACTCTCTTGATCTGTTTGCTGATCCCCCCTTGAGGTTTGGTGGGCTTGAAGTCATCGATATCGAGTAAACTAATCTCTTCAACTAACTTGTTCTCTGAAACTGGCCCATTTTTCACCTCGAACAATTGACGGAATTCGGATGAGGCCGACCCCTTTCCCAATATTTGATACAATTGACTGTTAGAATCATTAACAAGGCCAAACAATCTACCGTCCGAATTGGTAGCATCATATAATGCTTTCTTGATCTTGATCATATCATCCTTACACTTGGCTAATCTTTCAGAGTCAACTGCGCCCTGTGCACTGGCCAATATGCTTTCACCTTCCGTGATATTATCATAGATTTGTTTTCTAGTGTACGTGATCTGGTTCCTGTTACCCACATCTGCCGAGTATTTAGATCCAACCTCGTCAGCTATTCTCTTTAAGTTTGGATCAATATCATCAGAGGCACTTGGATCAGAGCCAAGGTCTTCATTGCCTAACAACTCCTTCAAAGTTGCCAATGCCTTCGGTAATTTCAAGTATTCCAAGACAGATGCCAACTCTTCATTAGACACATCAACCATATCCAACTCATTACGCAAGAACTGCGATTTTTCCTCGGAATAGTAGCTCAAGAGCTCATGAATATTGATAGGAACCACGTTTGTCAAGAAATGGCTGTAGTTGTGCTCGTTAATTTCCTGGAATAAGTCTATTTCATTCATAGGAATAATCTTGGTACTATCCATAGGTTTGATATCTGGCAATGTCACCAATGAAGGAATGATATCATGATAAATCAAGTCATTATCTTTGTTGAGGTCACCCAATTTGATTGCAACCGCATCCTTCTGGTATTTGTAATTGTCCAATAACTCATAAGCGTCTCCACCAATCTTTTTGCCGATTATCTTTAAAGTTTCGCTAGGAAGCTCATTCAAAATATCTGAAGACTTAGTCAAATATGCCAAGGCTTGGCCATACTTTCTTCCAGCTTCAAAATTTAACCCATTGAAGTAGTATGCCAACGACTTGTAATAGATTAATTTGAAATGAATAATGGCAATCCAAGATTCATCAAGATTCGAGTCTAGCTGGGACTGAGGTCCTTCTTCCACGTAATCCGCACTAGTTGGATTCTCCCAAATATCATCTGGTGAATCCGACTCACGTTCTTCATCGGTAGTGGAAACACTACCAACGTCAGTATCAAGCTCCCTAATCATCTTGAAGCATTCCTCGTAATGAGAAGCAGTACTTCTGCACAACTTAGAGATCAAAGAGTTTTTCTTCTGTTCCAAGTCTCCACTAATCACCTTCATGACGAAAATCTCCTGGGCCTGTGCCAACATGAGCTTCACCAAGAAACGGATCGTTGGCTGGCTCAAGTCATAGGATGGTGCGTGTAGAAAGTTCTCTTGTATGAATTGAAACACGCCTGCTGTTTGCAGTAGCACCTTGATAGATTCGGTAACCAATTCGTCAGGGTTAGTGCTTCCTTCGGCAGAGCTAGACTTCTGGGCCTCGTCGTATCGGGTCACAGCATACCCGGACAATATGGCACCCAAATTGAACAAGATGTTGGCCTTCTCAAAGGGCAAGGCATGTTGTTTGTGGGTGACGTCTGCTTGAAACACGTCGTGCCACTCAAAGCTGATCTTCTTGTGCTTGTTGACGCTGGAAAAGGGGACACGCAAGTCTAAGAGCTCTATTTGACTGTAGTACTTGCAGTAGAGCTTGATTCCCGTTTTATTCGGAGAGGCCCCTCTGAGGTCTTGTCTCAACTTGTCCAAAGAGGCAAGATCCTCTTGGTATTCTGAGGTGTTTCCATACACGGAAAGAAGGTAGTTGTTGAGAGGTTTAACCCAATTGACCTCTTCCGTCTTCTTAGCAGGCACCTGAAGGAGATACGTTTTCATTGTGGAAAGGAGGTGGTGATAGATGGCAATCAATTAGAGGAGTGTGGTAGGGCCACGCCGGTATATGGAGTGCGATTTCGCAACTATTAGAGTGAAGAACAGATAGGGGAATACTATTGAGAACTAGCCTGTACACTTCGGAATAAGCCCATGGGATATTTCGAGCTGATATTGCTGATAAATTTGGAACTGGAAGGCAAACTTGGCCTGAATCTTACGTGTATATTATTGCTAATTCAGAGACAGTTGTTCCAGGTCGAAATTAGGAAGTTTCCTTGCGTAGGAGATCTTTACGGCATAGCTCACCTAAAGCTCAAAAATGGTAAATGACAGAGCGAAGGTATAAAGATCCATTATAGGAATAACTAGATTAATTTCTCAGTACTATAGAGAGACTGTTTGATTAGGCAGCTTAACCCTGCTCGCAATTCCATAGAACAACCCAATACAGTAGGAAAGCAAGTAAAACAATAATAGTCACTATGTATTCGATTCAATATGGCCAAGGAAAGTCTCTTCTCTAAATAACCCGTAGAGTAATCATCGGTGATTTCGAAACAGATTTCGTGGGGTATATACATTCATTCTCCTGTCTAAAGTTAAAAAGCTTGTCATTTTTAATAATAGCATCCATCTCATGTGAATTCCCAATATATTCTTACTCTCCTAGACTTGTCTAATGATCTTTTCCGGTAGTCGTCAGGATTTAGCAATGTATTTTGGAGTTTTTGTTACTCCGAGGAATCAATTACGTCTGCCCTTGAGGGATTCTGCTTTCTGGTCTACGGTGTATCCAGTTTACTTTCGACTTAGCAAGATATCCCGTTTTCAAATTACTGCCAGCATTCCAAGTGATAGTTTTAATTGATGTATTACGTAATCATGGTGTAATCAATATTAGATAACATTTTAGTTGCACCAAGATCTAAGAACAGATCTATGTCCCAGCCTGGCCAGCCTTTGACTCTCATCCAAAGAATAGCTCTCCTATCCAATGACTTCAACAACCTAGTTCCTGTGGGATCTCTACAAATATGCAATTTGCCATCAGGGATTGAAATTGGTGGAGGGTTACCGATAACAGATGATGTGCCTCTGGAAAGGAACAGCAAGAGTTTGGGGTCATTAACTGCTTCAAGCAAAACTAAAAGCATGAGTACAAGGATGAAGCTAAAGGTTGAAAAGCTGGAAATCATTTCATACTCATCCAAAGATCAAAATGACCAGGTAATAGATCCAAATGATGGTGAATATACATGGAAATGGCTCGATTTGAACTTCATGGACCCCGATACTATCGCCCAGGCGAATCCAATTATAGCAGATCTATTCTATCTCATCAATTTGCGTTTCATTATGGCAACTTATCGCATCATAAATGTTAAAATCGATGTGAAGAATTCCTTTCCAGTCTGCATAGTAAGGGTGTACGTTATCCCTTCTGATATCCTGGGGGCAAGATACTTTGACGAATGGAAACTGTCTAGGCCTGGAAGCCTGAAGCTTGAAGTTAATTATAAAAAAGCATGGACACGTCTATTGTGCTTCTTGGACTACTCAGCAAGCGGCTGGAAATCCACCCAAGAAATTTCATCCTTTAACATAAAATCATTAATTGATTTTAGAGGATTTTGCGAACCTGATTCCCCTAGTTTTCACATTTCCAGATGGAAAAATAACGAAGAGTACCGTAAGAACAATGACCCTGTGAGTGAGAGGAACATCAAAACCCCACTATTGAATGTGATCCAAGATCTTTATGATCAATTGCAATCCCCCGAAATTTCTGAATACACTGATGAAATCGCTAAGCCGGCAAACAGCAACATACCACATGTGCGTGATATCATAATCAAGTTAGTGGGAAACGCAAAAGAAGGTACTTCGTTGGTCAGAGGAATCAAATCAACTCTATACCCTTTTCAAGCAAGGTCCTTGGCAAAAATGTTGGAGAAGGAGTCTGTGCCAACAAGAGCTCTAGTTCCCAATCTAATTGAGTTGGAATCACCAACATCGAAGAAATACTACTATGACTTGATATCTTGCAAGTTTTACAACACTCCAGAAATGTATGATCTTCCCCGTGGTGGCATTCTTGCAGAGAATATGGGTCTTGGTAAGACCCTTATCTGTCTAAGTTTGATATGCTTAACGAACCATGAAGTATCTCAAATTCCTGAGAATATGTTGCTCTATAAGGAGGAAAGCACTTCGCTCAAACAAGTTCCATCTCTAGCGACCTTGTGCAAAACTTCGATTAACCAAAACTCATTACCATGGAGATACTTTAAGAGTGATTTGCCAGACTCAATAATAGCACAATTAAATAATTCATCGGGAACATTCAAAATATCCTTGACTTCTAATGAGTACGAATCTCCCTTCGTACTTCGAACACGAAAATCCTCATCTAGGCAACAGCTATTTCAACAGCATTTACCAGAGGAGGGTAGACTATTCAGATCGCTACTACTATGCAATACCACCCTTGTCATAGTGCCTGATAATCTCTTGAATCAATGGAATGCAGAAATGAAAAAGCATGTACAAAAGGACTTCCTCAATATTCTATTTTTGTCTAACCAATTCAAGAAACCTATTCAGACGTCTAGTCTTCTTTATACGAACCAAATTCCAAGTGATCCAAAAGAGCTTATCAAGCATGATGTCATTTTTTCCACAAACTCATTCATATCCAAACAGATAGATAACGGCACAGAAAATCCCTTGACAAAAGTATACTGGAAAAGGATGATTATAGATGAAGGCCATAGTTTATCTTCAAAAGTCTCAAGGATCAGCTTTTTGTGTAGAACCATGCACTCGGAAAGAAGATGGGCAGTGACTGGAACACCAACATCAGGCCTAACAAGATTACACATGGATGAGCAAGAAGAATCGAACAATAATGATCTGCCTAGAAAGATTTCCAAGTATACAGTCAAGAATAGCTTCAATGAGAAAGATGATTTAAACAAACTAGGCACAATCATTGCAAATTTTCTTAAAATTGAACCATTTCATTCCCAATCGAAGTACTGGACATCTCAAATAATCAAGCCATTGGAGCGAGGACTGTTTGGCTCAAACTTGAACCTTTTGAACCTCCTCAAAGCTATCATAGTGAGACATAATTTGAAAGATGTTGAAAGCGAATTGCAATTGCCACAATTACACCATGAGGCTGTATTTTTGGAGCCTTCGTATCATAACAAATTATCGGTCAATCTATTCACAGCAGTTTTGGCTGTAAATGCCGTCTCCTCGGAAAGAAAAGATATTGATTACATGTTTCATCCTAATAATGCTCAGCAATTAAGAAGATTAATTTTAAATCTTCAAAGAGCTACCTTCCATTGGACTGGTTTTAAGCAAGAGGATGTGGAGCTTCTCATTGAAGTCTGTGAGAAGTCAATGAAAAAGAATGAGGAGCTAGGTGGTACGGTTTACAATGAATATGACTTGCAGTTATTGGTCAAATCTGTTAAGGCATCAAAAGACGCTCTTAGAAATTCACGTTGGAGAACCTCGGCATTGCTACACGAAATGCCATATTTTGTTAAAGGATTAAGCCAAGAGTTTGTTAGGGCTTTTGGAGTGGGCTCTACTAGCAAAGACATAAACATTTTTGGGGCTCCACATTTGCATCAGATTCAGGAGTTTTATTACAAAAACAGGTTTATGAATATGGAGGACAAAGATGACCTTGCAGGTAAATTGGAGGCAGTTTCTAGTCCTTTTTGGAAATCCTATTGGGAAGATAATTTGAAGAGAAACAACGAGAAATTCAACAAACAAGATAAGAATCAACAGTTTGACGGAAATTTGAAGAAATCAATCAAGAACGCAGTTGATATTCCGAGCGTTGTCAAAGTATTGGAGGAGATCAATCCCAAATCTCTGGGTGATGAAGCAAAAAAAATAAATGATGGACAAGGCTTTTTAAAGAATTTAAAGGATACTGAGATATTAGGAACTGCGTCTTCGAAATTGTCGTATCTCTCGTCTCGATTGCTTGAACACCAAAGACAAAATGTCAAATCGTTAGTTTTTTTTGAGTTCGAAGACAGTGCATACTACCTCACGGAATTACTAGATGTGCTTGGAGTGAATTATATTCTTTATGCAACATTTATTAACTCTGCTGAGAGGGCCCGGAATTTAACGGAGTTCAGCTCTTACGACAGTAAAGCGTTAGGTGGAATCAGCCTTATTATGGATCTAAAGTTAGCGTCCCACGGTTTGACCATTATTGCAGCAACGCACGTCTACTTCATAAGTCCTGTCTGGAGAAGATCTGTCGAAGCACAAGCTATTAAAAGAGCACACAGAATCGGCCAAACACAGGAAGTATTTGTTGAAACATTAGTGTTGAAAGGCACCCTTGAGGAGGAAATTTATAAAAGAAGATCAAGAGATGAAGAAGATGGTCTAGACAATGAACGGGATACCCAGAAAAGGTATGTCATTGATGATACTGGAATGCAAAATTATATTTTGAAACATGAGTTTTTACCTCACGACGAAGATGCGGTGGAGTTTGCCACATTCAATGCTCTCTCGCTGAATGGTAACGTGGGAAACTCCGATGTTGATGAATATTCCTTGAAGGAACATAAAGATCAAATCACGCAGACGGACCATGGCATTATGAGAACCTGGAAGGTCTTTCTTTTCAATGAAAATAACTTGGCGAAACTCAATAAAATTAAAGCAGAGAAGGTAAAAAGGGACTTTATGAGGGATTCTAATGGGGAAGACTTGATTGGGGAAGAAGTTCAGATTAGCAGAAAGTTTACACACAAAGAAAATGACCCTAGGCCTCCCAGAAAGAAAGTGAGATTTTGAATGGGACAATAGTGGGAGAGCCCATACAGAAGAGAAACCACAATTGATTTGTGATAGTTACACCTGGGTGCGGGGTTGTTGGCAAGTTTGCAATTCTTTACATTGTACATTTGCCTAGTCATCCAATCTATATTACATTATTATACATACAAACCTGAACTGACAGCTTCGCCGAGTTCAGAACATCCAGCTACACTTCTCTGACGATAACCGTTCCGTCCGTAGATGACGATACCACGATGCGTTCTGTTGGATGGTAATCCACATCTAATACCGTTCCTTCGTGGCCAGTGTATTTGTTAGCCAATTTTCTCGACCCAAAATCCCAGGAAGTCACTGATCTATCTTCGGATCCAGAAAGTATGGAAATGCTGTCGTTACTGAAGCAGGCTCTGATGACTTGATATTCGGAACCAGAAGGTGCACCTTCGTAGCCGTATTGGTTTGCTCTTGGGATTCCTTCGGGTACAAACTCCTTGGCACTGTAAGTTTTGATGTTGCCATTCATGGCACGAGACAATAGAACTGAGTCGTCGGGGTTCAATGCCAAGGAAGTGATCGTATCAGTCTGTCCGCCACTTGTCCATAGCTCTTTATCAAGAGCGCGAACGTCGTATGCTCGAACAGTGGGTTCAATTCCCCCCACATAGATCGTCGTACCTCTATTGTTGAATGTGGTAGCAAGTATAGGGTAATTGGAAGTGATGGTGTTCAACGAATTCTTCTCTCTGGAATCCCACAACTGCAAGCATCCGTCATCGCCAGCACTCGCAATCAAGGATTCCGACGACACAGCAACCTGGTTGACAACTCCTTCGTGTCCCTGAAGCTTCCTGATCCTCTTGCCTGATTCTGAGTCCCAGATGCCCAATGTTGAATCCGCGCTGGAGCTGATGAGCGATTCGTCCCAAAGCCACGCCAAAGATGTAACTGCAGACTTGTGACCACTGAGAACTCCATAATTAGGCAGCTCTTCTTCTTGCTGTGTGGGTAGATGCCATAAGTTGATCGATTTGTCGTATCCACCCGAGGCAATCTTGGTTCCATCTCTGCTGAAACGAGCACTCAAAACAGGCCCCTGGTGGCCCTCTAAAACCACTGCCTCGTCATAAAGAATTGTCCCAGAAGATGTACCTAGCCCCTTCGAGCGAATCAACGACTTTACCTCGCCGGTGTCGGATTTAAACCGCTTCACAGACATGGGGTTTATCATAGTGTGATGAAGTGAGCATTTTTATGTCTTGTCACGTGTGTATCCACACGTGCCTACTGGATCTCTAATTCTTCGAATTATAGATTTCTATATGCTAGTGCTAGTAGTAGTTGTCTCCGTAGCATTTGGCACTACTTCTAGTAGTTGTCCTCATGTCCAAATAATAACGCAGGGCCCAAAATCGTCCTCCTTGCGTGCTTCAACAGTGTCCTAAGAAAGATACTCGTAACTGTTACCCTCCACTCTTTGTATGTACTGCTTCTCGATCAACTGATCAATCACCCTTTTTACGTCAATGATCTTGGCCCTGAATCGAGACAGGGTTTGTGGCAAGACTTCGTTGATCAAGTCGTTATGCTTAACCACCTTTCTAGACTTCATGATTCTGACAATACATGCAGACAAGAAGTTCTTTCTTGTTTCATCAATCTCCTTGGTAGCCTCTTCTTCTTCCTGCTTTGGTTCGGTATTCTTAATTACACTGATGAAATTGACCTTCAACTTCTTCGACTTGTATTCCTCGACAATGGTAAGGGTAATATCATCATTGGAAAGATCACCTGCGGGTGATTGTTCGATTAACTTGTACTTGATAAGTGGTAACAAATGAGATTCAAAAATATGTCTAGATGTCCCAACTATTTCATAAAGATTTCCAAGAGTATAAGTATTGTTCTTATTGAACGCAATTAAGATCATTAATTGGATATTGCTGACCGTGAAAAGGAATGGTGGCTTTCCTTTCTTGGACAAGTTCGCCTTCACCTCCGCTCTCCCGTGGTTCCAGAGCCACTTCAACTGTCTTCCATTATGTTGAGAGTCATATGCCTTAACAATATTGTCAAATGGTTCTATCAATTCAGAAGCGACATTCAAGTTATAATCTTTGGAATGATTAAAGGGCCACATACTTTGAGCCAAGATTAATGGATTGAAATCTTTAACAATCAGGTTGTTCATATTAAGCTTGGATTTCAAGTCCTCAGAGGCCTTCATGTCGGAAAACATTTTGGTCATCTTAGAAGTATACTCAATCGAGTTTTCCTCTTGCAATCTTTGAATTATACTCTCCTCTAATTCTTCGGACTTGCTATTGCTGTTGATCAATCTCTTGGCTAATTGACGACGGTAAAATTCTTCAAAAGAATCCTTATCGTTGATGAATTTGAAAATTATCATCAAATTGTCACCATTCATGTCAATTATATCGGACTCCTTGCTGTTGCTTCTCAAGAATAAATCTGAGTATTTGGCTAAAAGCTCTGGAGTCTTACAAGCAGATTTTGGAGTTGGTAATGCGATTGGGTTGTTGTTGACAAAGTACCGACAAGCGTTGTCTAACGCTTTAATGAATCTTGGATCCTTGTTGAATGCTTTGATGACAATCTCGTTGAATTGCAAATAGATAGTGATCAAGGTGTTGATGTAAGTCTTAGGATCAACTGCGGACAGAGCCCTCTTCGGTTTGGATGCGGTTGTCGTAGAATTATCTTGAGCTGCCTCCATAGAGATTCTCATATCTTCGATTGATAGTAATGCTTGTTGTTTTATGTAGTTTTCCAAAGTGTCTGCCAAAGGATCAATAGTCTTAGGAACCTTGTAAAGTAATTTATACATTCTTTGGATGTGATCAATCTCATTCTGCTCCAACAATGTCAAGAACTGGTTGTACATTTCTTGCGAATGGTCTTCAATCAAAACCTTGTTCAAGGTTTCCAATAAGTACTTCTTGGTGTGATCCTCCAAATAGTTATTAGATCTGGATATTTCTTCAGACAAGCGGCTTTCACACTTCTTCATGTATTCAACCACGTTATTTTCACTCAAAAACTTTGCACTCTCATTGCTATAGTATTGACTGGTCTTCTCTAAAAATGCCTTTTCGAAATTAGTGATGTATACAACCAAGCTGGGTTTCTTGGAATCCTGAGTTTCAAGGCCCAAAAACACCAAGGACTTAATGGCAATTGAAATCAATTGAGTGTTGACGATCTGGTTGTTTCTTTGTTTCTCGATCAAGTCCAAGATCTCTGAGATCAATACCTCAGCGTTGTCATTAAACATCTCGGTCTTCCACTTGTTCAATGCCAAAGTATTCACCTCGTGGATATCCTTTCTTCCGTCCGATCTTTCTTTCTGGACCCAGTAACGGTTCATGTAGTCAAAAACATTGTGGAGGTATCCTGCTCCAATAGTGAAACGGGTCCACTTTCTTACATAGAACTCCAAAAACGTATCCTTAGGATCTTTCTTCAAGTTTCTGATGAATTCCGTCAAGTACTTGTCCAATCGAGAATAGATCTCAGCTCCTGCCAATGAGTACAGGTTAGACTCATTCGCAGTAGAATGGTGGTCGTTGTTGCTTCTTCTGGACTTATTGACGCAAAAGTTGTACACTGCCGTGTAGCAATTCATGTACATCTTGGAGGTCACCCCTTGATCCTCATGGGACCCAAGAATGTACTCAAGGCCGGGTTGGATGAAATTCCACGTTGCGTCCAAATCGTTTGCTATTGGCAAGGACATGGTGGACGGATTGCAAGTACGGAGTAGATACTACGGTAAAGGGAGTTTGTGGAGGAGTTGTTTGTCGCCGCTGGAAAATGACAGCACACGACCGCTTCCCGCGGGAGCTAGCGAGAGCTAGCGAGAGTTGGCGCGGGAGATGGGGAGCTAGTGCGGTGGGTTCAGGGAGTTTTGCGAGGGCGGTGGTGGGTTTGCTGCCAGCGATCAGTACTGAAGCGGGTCTATCATCGCAAGCAAAGTCGCATTTACTAACGATTAATTGACCATGTATAAGTGCATACCACCGTGAAGCTGAAAATCGTCTGATAAGGTCATTTGCAGCTGGCAAACAGCATAAGCGGCTTTTGTTGTGCTCGTACGCAACTCTCCAGTGGTGCGCACTGTAACGAGTAACGAGACCTGATATGGTAAATGGTGGTGAGACAGTCTAAAAGCCTTCGGCTCCTGGTTGACTATATCACACTTGACAATGCGTTAAAACTGCTACGTGCCCATTATAAAAATGGATCGTTTCAGAGTAGAAGACCAGTTTTGGACAGTTCGTGACTTTAGTGTAGTCAAAGCTAATGTAGCTACTAAAAGTTCTCGTAGAGATATACATTCTACCAAGTAATACGAATGGTGATCATCAGATAATATAAATTCCATGTTCAAACAAGTTCGAAGAAGGGGAACTAAACTATATCAGCTGAATTGAATAGGCGTGCGTTTTGTAATCGGAAGGAATGGGGGCTCGAATCCTCAATAAACATTATTTGCCCGTGATCTAATACTAAAACTGAATAAAGTTTGGGTGATTGTCCTAGTTCTATTTGTGATGTCTATCACGTACAGTAATTTCTCAGAAAACGGCTTTTCCTTGCTATCAGATATCTCAAGCCGCAACTCTCCGTGTATCCATTTGGTAAGTTTATTCTGTTAATTTTGTTGCTGGGAATATTACTTGCCTGATTGTTATCACAACGGCCCATAATATACAGCACTTGCATTTATTCCTTGCATCAGCCAGATTTAGACTTAGTTGACCAGTTCTGGCCTTTTATCCTCTTTTAAATTTGTCACAAGTCCAATCTAGGTACCCCGAGTATTTTCCGAAATTTGGAAAATGCTCATGATGTTTCCTGTCAATATAATGTTGTACATTTTGCTTAGTGAATACTCTAGTACAAATTACCAGCACTCCTAACCCTGGAAAGTGTGCAGAGAGTTCAACGAACAGCTACGAGTACTGAAATTTAGTCTAGATACATGCATTATTATGTCTAAGTTCTAGCGCCAGCTAGCACATTTCACTTGTTCCTGGGATCTACCACATTCACCCTGTCCACAACTCTTATTATACTGATAGTGAATGTCAAAACCCACATGCAAAGCACCAAGAACAAGAACGAAGCCAAAGCTCTTTGACGCCGACAAATAGAGCTCACGGTTGGCGAGAAAATCCCCACGCTTATCAACTCGTCGTCTTTCCGGCACACCCATTCGTGGTCATAGAGGGTGTTGAAGGTGAGCGAGAGATTGGCCGATGAAAAGATGATAAAAAGCAAGTCCAACATTATAAGCTTCATCTTTCCCAAGGGGTCACGAAGACCAAGTGGCTTACCACTATATTCATCATATGCAATATAGATGATATATGCAATTGCACAACACTGAACCACCACAGCCATAATTGTACTTGGTTGTTGCTGCACGGTAGAGTCGTCGTACTGCCTTCTCGAAAACACAAAGATGGAGACTGCCAAGGCAAGGGCAGCCACTGAGAACACCAAAATCATTATTCTCATGAACAACGGAACCAAGGGGTTCTGCACGAAGATCCTCTTCAAGGTGGGAAACACATCTGCTCTCTTCTCGTCGGACATCCAATAGCCAGCTTTTGAACGTACTCGCGGGGCATCGTCCTTGAGCTTCTTGGGTTTTTTCTTCCACCACATCCATGAAAACAATCCTCTGCTCTCGTCACCCACGTAGGTGTCCTCGTCCATGGACGAGGTACCCAACAATGCCAATCTGAGCCGGTCATCGCCTTCCCAGGTGCCATTGAGCTTTCTATCGGGGTCAAAATCCTGCTCCACCTTGACTCTGTCGTCTGTGTAGGCGGTGGGCTGCTGGACAGATTTGAGGAACGAGCTCCAGTTGTTGTTGACCGAGCTGACGTAGGGGTCGTTGGCGAAGCTGAGAAACTGTTCCTCATCGTTGATCTTCAGCTGCGACGTCTTGAGCAGAGGGTTTCCGGAACCTTGGACGTTGTTATTGGTGTTGACCAACTGGTCTTTGTAGTGGGCCTGAGAAAGGGTGTCTAGCACGTATGGTGGCACGATGTTGGGACGGTGATTGTATGGGTTGACCTTGACCTCGATTTTGTGCCGTGAGTCCTCGCTGAACTGCCTGCTTCTTGCAGAGTTCGGCACCAGCCCTGCGGTATCTGACATGGTGGCAGCGATGGTGTTGTTGTTGGATGGTTCCGGGATCGGGAAAGGGATGGTGCGGATGAAGGATGGTCCGAGGTGTCAAGATGGGTTCCCGATAGTATGGGACGGGTCGAGCGGTCTATTTGTGTCTGCCCCTATGGAATGCCTCCAACGTATCTGTGTTTGCTCGCTTACTCAGAACTTGTAGTACAGATTTAAACGAATGCGTGCAAAATGTCTGTCGCGCAGTCGATGCGGCTGGATAGTACATCTGACGGGTTAAGATTGCTACAAGGGCCTGGTGGGAAAAGGGATAGATTAGGCCCAGCATTCCCTACTGGAACCATGGAAGGCTGTTCCAGTACATCTAGAGGTTTAACTACTCCCATCAGCGACCCCCAAAAGGGTTGGTCGTTTCAGATCCCCAACCATATCCCAATGCTCCTGTCTTGGCCCTCTGTTTATGTGCTGTGCCTCCAGAAAGGGTAATGCCTGGCACGTGAGGGGATTGCTGTTTTCGGGCACCATTCCTCGAGGCATGTCAACCAGGGAACCAGGCGGAACTCCCAGTATCTGAGAGTGAAACTTGTGGTCCGAAGCCCGCCACAATAGCCTTGTCTGTAGTTCTTTCGTCTGTGGGTTCTCCTCTGCACCACAAGCCCCCACATGCGTTTCTGCCAGTGCGTTTCGCATCCATATCTAACAGCCACCCTATGACATATTACACCAACCACATCGAAAGCCCACAAACTGTCATCGGGTAGTGGATTCGTAGATGCTCCAGTGACTATTTTGGTCCCTCCGCCGCAGCGCTCCGCCCGTGGATCATTGCTGGTGCTGTCATTTTGCGCTTGTTCCCCGACATTGTCGTTTCACTGATAAAGTATCGCACAATTTCACAGTATCAGTCACTTTGCCACCACCGCCATCATGATCAAACGGGTTAGTGCTGGTTCAAGAGCGCCATTTTGGGCCCACAGAGGAGCCATGTTGGCCCTGCCCATCTTCAGAGCCCCTTTGCCGACATTTCTGTTGCGTGCAAACTCCACCAGCAGCGGATCCAACAGCAACGATAACACCATCACGGTCGAAAGCCCCAAGGTTTCAACCACCAAGGAAAAGAACGACACGGTGATTCCAGCAGAAGTCCGTAACCGGTTTGGGGGCCTCTATATTATTTCCATCCCAATCACCCGAGACAAGTCCTACATCTCGTGCCACCACCCTGTGTCAGCAGCTCAGGCCCAAAAGTTCCCATTGGTGCATAAACTCGAATCCAAGGTCACCAGCCTTGCGCTCAAGGGGTGGACCAAGCTCTCCACGTCCAAGAACTCTGTCAACGTCCGCGTCACTAAGTTCGTCCAGAACCTCTTGGATTCCATCCTGTACGAAGAGAACTGTTTGACGTCATTCCCTTCCAAAAGCACCATGGTGCGAGAGATCAAGCAGTCGATCCAGCAGGAGACCAAGTTGATGCAGACCGAAATAGACAACCTCTCCATCCCCTTGGACCAGCTCAAACCCATCACCGTGTACCACCCCGAGTTCCAGTCACCCGAGGAAGTGTTGGCCCAGATGCAGCGGTTCCGTGCCAACTCCTACCAGCACCACAAGAAATGGGCCATTCTAAGCGCCATTGCCGTGCCACTCACCCTTCCCTTTGCATTGGTGCCTGTGCTCCCCAACATCCCAGGCTTCTACGCCGCGTACCGGCTCTACTGCAACGTGAAAGCCTTGCTTGGGGTCAAGCACTTGGACTACTTGTTACAGTCCGATACCCACCACCTCACCTTTAAGGCGGTTCCCGCTTTGGATAAAGCATACTCCCAAACGGAAACGGGAGAGATGCTCCTCACACAAAACACCATCGATGACCTCGGCAGTCTTGGGCTCGACCACTTGAAGAGCGATCTCCAAAAGGCATTGAAACAAGAAGCCGCTAAGCTAGCCAACCCTCTGTAAATATCCCATATACAATTACTGCAAAAACCCTAGGGCCCTAGGGCTGGCGCCCTCACGCGCGAAGGCCAGCGCGTGATACACTAGTCCCGCACTACCGAGCAACCCAGGCCGCCACGACCGCGGAACTGTGTGCAGTCCGCCACGACCGACATCCACTGTCCGGTGGACGATTGCCCTACTGTTATAAATTACCGCATCTTCTCTTTTCCTATTCCTTTTCTACATACACTAATTATCGTTCAATATGAGAAATAAGTGGAGAAAGAAGAGAGTTAGAAGACTTAAAAGAAAGAGACGGAAGGTTAGAGCTAGATCCAAGTAAACGGACGGCTAAATGACGTTGTCAATTCCTCTGATCAATTGAGGGTCTCAAGTATCATCTGACACTCTGCTGCTTTTGGTTGTCCGGATGGGTGATGGCGCTGTTTATCTACATATGCTAGTTCTTCCAATCATCATGAGATGAGTCCGAATAAACGCAATTTACATTGTATCTACTTGTAGGGGATCTCCCAGCGTCTATTTGGTTATAGCCAAAATAGCCAACGTCCAATGTTGGGGTATCGTCACTAGTTTTTCAGTCCTGGCAATTGTCGTGCGACTGCCACAAACAGTTGGCCGAGTGGCTGCAACACAAACCCACCCACAACTGGCACTGTGTACGCCCTCCTGGCTCAATTGACTAGCGCCACTCCCTGGTAAGACTTCCCATGCTTCCTCGCTCCACCCCTATGCTCAAGCGGAAGTATGAAGGCTTTGGTCCCCAGAAATTCCCACCAATTCTGGTGTCTTCGCCCCCACTGGGGCTCAACCGTAGAATTGATGAAATGGCCATGCCTGCCCACGGCCCAGGCCTGACCCACGAAAGTGCTCAAAAGCGCCGCAAGAAGCTTTGCCAGCTCGTATCTCCACAGCTGGGGCTCTCTTTCGTGGATACAGCAATTTCCACTTTACCAACTGGTGCGTTCACTAGACCACAAGAAGTATTCCAACACGTTCTGGAAGAGCACGACGATGCCGGGGCATGCCACAGCATGCCGTTTTCCGGCAGTACAAAACGTCCTTTGGTTCGCCAGTTCATGATGGTGGCAAACAAGGAGCCTCTAAACCTGACCAGTATCTGCTCCCAGAGAGACAGCCATGCCTCGAACTCGTTGGATACCAACTTCCGGGAGAAGAGGAGCATTAACGTCCATAGTTTGGCGCTGCTTCAGCCTCCAAAGGTTCCTATTGAAAACTCTCCTCAAATCCCATCGCTGAAATCATCACCATGTCCCAATTTCGCAGCCACCATACAAACGCCCCATGAGCCTCGTTACCCAATTTCCAAAATGCCTGCCTCCATCAGGCAAGAAATAGCCATCCACAATGAGTTAAATCTCTTCACCTTATCTGATTTCTTTCAGAACCATCTAGAAGAGAGGCTAATGCGGTGGAGACCCAGTGAGTCTCAACAAAATGTGGACGATGCCTTGAGAGGACCCCATCCTTTCCAAACACTCAATGACCAGGAAAATGTCCAGCCAAATTCGTTTCTTGCCCTGTTGAAAGACTGGTTCAGCAAGGATCTCAAAACTACGGCTCAAACGCTTCCCCTGCCTCTTAGCATTGTGCCTCCCCATGATTTGAGGGATACAGATTTAATTCAGGCAATTGGTGCTTTGCGGATGAATCCGAATACCTCGGACTCGATCCTCCAAAGAGTCCTGCCTGCTTATCTTGCGGCTCATTCTGTGGCTCTACAAATGACTCCAACTCCATTAGCGTTTCCATTGGCGGAATTGCAACTGGAAAATGCATTGCACCCATCAGTTGCATTCTATAGATCACTGGCATCAAGAAGTGAATTTAGAGAAATCTACGAAGATGTAGAAGACTTTTTCGTGAGTTGTGCCCGTGATTTTTGGGAGTCTCTAGTAGGGGCGGTCTCTTATTGTCACGGTTCCGCCTAATTATTTAAATACTGTCAGGAAAATTGTCAGGATTGGTTTTAATGAAAAATCTCTTTACTACCCTTTTGGCTAGTATACTAGTAAGCTAATTATGTTCATTAAATAACCACCAGTTTTTGGTTCCATTTTTGTTCAGGTAATTGTATTTATCTGTAGTTATAGAAGGATGGGATAAATGCAGGTACATCTACCCATGAGCTAATCACTTCTCGTATCATAAACTTCGCATTGCTTACATACCGCTTAATCAAATGTATATTATAGTATAAAAAACAATCTGACTCTCTAATCAGACATTAATCAAGATAAAGAATTAAAGCAATATTTATGGAACTTACTCGGAAGCTTCAGCGAAACCTTCAGAAATAGAGGTTAACAAGTCATTGAATTCCTTCTTACCTGCTTCTTCTCCCTTGGATGGTTCGAAGAACTTGGCAGACGAAACCGAGTGCTTGATGTCAGAGGTGGCTTCAGCCAACTTGGACCATTGGGCACCATTAGCAACGGCCTTTTGAGCTTCGTCGTAGTAAGAGATAAATGCTCTCATCATATCAAATGTCTTCCAGATAGGACAGAATGCATCATAGGTGGAGTAACCGTTTTGCTGCAAGAAATCTTCCTTAATCAAAGCAGCAACATCCAAAGTAATCTTGTCGGAGTCAGACAATGCAGATTTACCAACCAATTGAACAACTTGTTCTAATTCTTCAGCATCAGACAAAATTTCTCTGATTTTGTCTCTCAAGGCTGGGAATTCAGGGTAGTTAGAATCGTAGTACTTGTTCAAGATAGTGGTGTACTTGGAGTAAGAAACTGCAGTGTTGATGGATGGGAAATGCTTTCTTTGGGCCAACTTCTTGTCCAAACCCCAGAAAACTTGGGTAATACCTAAAGTAGAAGTAGTGACTGGATCAGAGAAATCACCACCAGCTGGGGAGACAGCAGCAACGATAGAGACGGAACCGACTCTTTCAGGAGAACCTAATGCAATACCCTTACCGGCACGTTCATAGAAGGAAGCCAACTTGGCACCCAAGTAAGCTGGGAAACCTTGATCGGCAGGCATTTCACCTAATCTACCAGAGATTTCTCTTAAAGCTTCGGCCCAACGAGAGGAAGAGTCAGCAATCATGGAGACATTCTTACCTTGATCTCTGAAGTATTCGGCCAAAGTGATACCAGTGTAAATAGAAGCTTCTCTGGCAGCGACAGGCATGTTGGAGGTGTTAGCAACCAAAGTGGTACGCTTCATAATTGGTTCCTTTCTACCGGAGACTTCGGTGAACAATTCAGGGAATTCCATCAAGACTTCGGCCATTTCGTTACCTCTTTCACCACAACCAACGTAGATGATGACATCAGAGTTGGAGAACTTGGACAAAGATTGAGAAATAACGGTCTTACCACAACCGAAGGCACCAGGAATACAGGTAGTACCACCTTGGACACAAGGGAACAAAGAGTCCAAGACTCTTTGACCAGTCAACAATGGGTAGTCGGCAGCCAACTTTTCAGCGACCGGTCTTGGAACTCTAACAGGCCAGGTGTGCATCATGGAGTAGGAGTGTTTCTTGCCATCGAATTCGACTTCCAAAACAGTATCTTCAACGTTGTAAGAGCCGGCTTCAGCGATGGAAGTAATGGTACCTCTAGCTCTTGGAGGCAACAAGATCTTGTGGTCATCCAACAACGAGTTTTCGTAGATGGAACCGAAAATGTCACCACCAGTGATGTGGTCACCTACCTTCAAGCTTCCAGGGGTGAAATCGTAGTTGACGGTTCTGGACAAAGCAGGGGCGTCGATACCTCTTGGAATGTAAATGGACTGGGACTTGTCCTTGATAGCCTTCAAAGGTCTTTGGATACCATCGTAAATGGTTTCCATCAAACCTGGACCCAATTCAACCGACAAGGGCTTACCAGTTCTCAAAACTGGGTCACCAACGGTGACACCGGCGGTTTCTTCGTAGACCTGGATGGTGGCCTTGTCACCGCTGATACGGATGACTTCACCAACCAAGTTGTCGTGACCCACCTTGACCAATTCGTACATGGCACAACCAATCATGTTTTCGGCCACAATGACGGGACCAGACACAGAGAAGATTTGCCCATATTGGGACTCGTCGGCATCTAATGAAAGACGCTTGATTTCTTTACGAGCATTTTCTAAAGCACCAGCCTGGCGGTTAGTAGGAGACGAAGGGGGCCATTCCCGTATCCAATTGGACTAATCCATCAAGGAATTGGACGGCGGGGGCGCTGAGCGTGGCTCGGAGCTGCTGCTATGAAGACATACCATTTTGATGTGTAGATAAGTTTGAGTGGCACACTTGGTGGTGATTATCAACGTTGAGTATGAATGTTGAACGTGGTCGTGCGGGCGCGGGAGGAAATGGAGGAGTTACCCGCCGACGATAAGCGCTAAGCGAAGAGTGAAGAAATGGAGTGTTTAGTATTGCAGTAAGGAGGCGGTATATAGACCAGAGACGGAGATGGGGGATGCTCAAAGAGGCAGGCTGGGATGTGTTGGCGTCCCAACGAGGCCATGGCGCCTGGTGGGTGCCATACCGGCGGTGGGACGAGACTGGAGGCCTGAGCCTGTGTGCAGGCTCAATTATTGAGGAGCCAAAGGGTAACTTCTTATAGGCGTAATAGAGAAAATTAGGTACTACTTAGAGGGCTTCAAGATGGTGGTAAGGGTTCTGATAGGAATTTCCTCTATTTTTTGTAGCTGGAGAGAATTACGATTTCGGGACAATAATGTCAAATTACTGAAAAATTCATAAATTTGCCAAGAGTAGTATAAACAGAGAATGACATGGTTAAATTTCTTCAAGTAAAGTACTTGTTTTCTAGCTGTGTCTATAAGGTTAAGGTAGATAATAAAATCTGGCCTAGCTGTCCTAAGCCAAGATTCAATGACAATTGCGATTATGAAAGGCTCGTAGTACCATTGAAGGTTCTCGGAGAACAGTTTGAAAGGATTTCGACACAACAATTAATTTTCAAGATATTGATAATTCTTTATCAGTTCAATTCTAAGGCCCACAAGCCAGGCTGCAAAGCACCTTCTTTTTCGTCACTATATTTTTGTATGCCTGATAATTGAGAGGAGAAACAGCCATCTTTGCAGCTATATCAATAGTATTAGTATTGCCTGTTAGCTACTAGTGGTTGTTTTAAGATCTGAATTCTTCTACTGCTTTGTATTTAACTTCCTTCAATTACACGTAGAAGCTCCATTCATTGTGACTATTATTCCTTATAAATGCTGTTTGGCCCCCAATTTACCGGCCCTGTCCAAGGCTATATCGCACATGGCCTCAAACGCCTGTCTTCTCTCCTTCTGGATATCGCCTCTATCAATGCGCTCTTGCATGTCCTTCATCACCACCTCTCTGCTGCGTCCATTGACAAACACCACGTATCTCAACCCAGGAAAGGTTTCCTCGTACAAGTCGTTGAGATAGACCAATTTCTTGCTTTCTTCCTCACTTCCTTGCAAGGACTTCTGCTCCTTGGACGAGTGCTCCGACAATTTGCCTGTGGGAGCTTTGGACGACCCTCCCAACCGAGGGTGGGCTGCTATGATCTTGGAAATGCGTGGATCAACACCAGTACCACTTCTATTGGCCTCGGCTTCGGCCTGCTGTAAAAAATGCACCAATTCTATCCTTACGAACTCGATTAAGCGTTGATAGTCTTCAAAAGACTGGTGGGCTATTCTGGAGATGATGAACTCGGAGAGCGTTTCACACGGCTCGAAGAGATGTCCGAGCGCAACGACCTGGTCTTTACGGTCAATTTGGGTAAGGCTGCTGATGGGTGGTAGCTTGTATGCCATGGCGACGTTGCAGTGGGAGATGTGGGGCCTGGGAGCTATATATGATAAGCCGGAGAAGGCCGAGGTGATTCTGCGATAAGGTCCACGTGACTGCCAAACTATTCTTACATGGATTCTACATGGACTCTTACATGGACTACTCTCTTGTTGTATATTATGCAGGTGTGTGATCAGGTGAAGTGTTCGAGTTGACGTAATCTTTCCAATTCTTTCTTGGATGGGGCACCCTTCTGGGCAATCAATGGATGTCTCCAGTGCTTGGTGTAGGTGAATAACACATCAGCCAACTTGTCCATGTCTTCAATACCCAAATCCTTGAAGGTCTTGGCGTTTGGATCGATAGTTTGGTTGATCAAGTGTCTTTCAATTTGGTCGGGGTTAGTCAAGTTCCAGTAGGCCAATTGTTTAAGTTGAGCAACAGCCTTGGCAAGAGGCAATGGGATTTGGTAGTCGGCGAAGTTGTAAGATAATGGACCAGCATATGAGAAGTTTTGAGTGATACCGTGAATCATTTGTCTAATTTCAAGGAAGGACAACTTTTCTTGACCGTGGAGTTCGAAAGTTTGACCCACGGTGGAGTCATCGTAACCAATCTTTTCCAAACCTCTGGCGACGTCAGTGACGTGGATTGGGTAGATTTCCTTGGCGTTCTTGTTTGGAGTCCACATCTTCAACTTTGGTCCCAAGTAGTTCAAGAGGTTGTCTTCTCTACCGAACATTGGGGCTGGTCTGACGATGGTGGCATCGGGGTTGATATCTCTAACAAGCTGTTCACCGATACCCTTAGTGGCGTAGAACACGGAGCTGGAGTTTGGATCAGCATTGTATGAAGAAACATGGACGAATCTTGGAACGCCAGCGTCTTTGGAGGCTTGGGCAATTCTTTCGGTGAGGGCAATGTTGACGTCGGCCATACTGAAGTTCTTGGTGTTGTAGTCAACACCGATACAGTTGAAAACAATGTCAGAGTGGGCAACCGAGTCTTGAATGGACTTCAAGTTTCTGGCGTCAATTTCCACAAAGTTAACCACACCCAAATCACCAGTGACCTTCAAGAATCTCTTCTTCATGTCGTCACGGAATGGGACGATGGTGGTGGTACCATGACGGGCCAATTTGGAGGTCAAGTATCTTCCCAAGAAACCAGTGGCTCCGAAAACGGTAGCAGTGTATCCGGTTCTGGAGGAACGACCACCAGGGCCAACGGAAACGTTGACCTTTCCGTTTCTGGTAATGTTCACATCAGACTCCAACACGGACGTGTAGATGGATCTGGCGAACCTCTTTGATACGTTCGTGGTTCTTAACATGATTAGTGTATTGATGGTGTTGGTAAAGGTTTTTTTGAGACTTCTGGTTGGCTCGATTTTCCCGCCGCGGCACGACCACTTTGCTGGGGTTGGTTAGTTCGGAGGTGAAAAATAGGGCACCCAGAAGCTAGCTAGATATAGGGAGGACCGAAAGCCAGATGGATGGGTGTTGTCTTGGTGAGCATGGGTTGTAGCCCCAAAGGCGCCGTAAACCGTAGCTGGTAGAGAAGTAATTACACGTGCCCCATTCCACGTGACCAAAACTTGGTCCAGTAGAGAAGCCTTTGGGGCAACTTCTCTAGGATTTTAGGAGTACTACTTCGAGATACAGAAAAGAAACTGCAGATAGTCAATCGACTAGCTGAACTCAACCTAATATGGGAGTTTTTTCAAAAAGGTCAATATTCTGCAGCAATTTTTTCCGGCCTACTCGAATTATTCAACTAGATCGTGGAAGTGGCATAGTTGAAGTTGATTTTGGGCAAGTGTAAGGGCATATCATTCAATATTTGGCGTAAACTCTCTCAATCCCCTCAATATTTAAGTATTAAAATATTCTGTTCAGAAATTGACCGAGGTAGATCGATTATGAGGTACGAGCCTGGCAGAACTGAAATGTAATGAATTTGACCAGAATTCCACTTCTTATTATTGCTTGCTAGGAAGTTTCAACTGGTTCACCCCACATTCCGTGTTTAACTAACAGCATAGCTCATTTAATGCATAAGTTAAGCAAGCTGTTGATAATCGTTTATAGCTGAGCTATAGACCCGATTTACAGTCCAGCGTGTTGCCGGCAGTCGTACCCGTTGCAATGGGTGTACTGCACTAAAATATTTCGAATACAGAATATATTATAAAAATGAATAATGTTAACAAGAATAAGAGATCGACAGTATTAAGACAAAAAGACTAACAGTGGCAGCAACATTTTTGATGTGACTGGCACGGCCGGAGCTCAGATCATGATTAAGATATATATCTTAGCGATACAAGAATATACCAAAGATTTCCGTGCCCCAGGTGCATAATCGTAGTATGGGTGGCTTGAGCTCACTGTGCCAGCTGGATAATCGTAGGATGGGAGGCACTTGGTCTTTTGATTCAAACAAGGGCGTGCATCATAAGAAGTAATCAGGTGTCTTTCTAGTAACTGTAGGTTCACCAGGTCTAACCGAAGGATCGTATTGTAAGAATTGTCTATTGTGCTGTTCATCCACTTCCATAATTGCTGCTTGGTTACCACATCTATAACAATAGTTGGGGGCCGAGAATATCGTTACAACCGATTCTTGATGTGACCATGAGAACCCCTCCATTACCAACTGATGCGCTCTTGCAATTAAACTCAAGTCATTTGTATGATTGAACTGTTCTGAAATATCTTGACCAAAAGTGAAACCTGCACCTCTTGGAGAAATACCCCAGCCACCTCTATCATCAGGATCAGACCATAACAAGTCACACATGGGACCTTCGTGAGGCACTTCTTGAATTCTGTTCAACTCTCTTACTTGATCGATGGTTTCGATCATGGGGGATAACCCACCGTGCAAACAAAATACCTTATTGTCTACTAATGCAGTGATTGGGAAATAGTCGAACAAGTCGGTGAACAATTTCCACACGGTGGCTGACCCGTATTTTCTTAAGCACTCATCATAAAACCCGTAAACCTGAGTAATTTGTCTCGATTCGTGATTGCCTCTCAATATGGTGATTCTATTAGGATATCTGACCTTCATGCAAACCAAGTACGACACGGTTTCCACCGAGTAGTAACCTCTGTCGACGTAATCACCCATGAACAAGTAGTTGGTGTCCGGGCAGGGACCACCGATCTTGAAAAGCTCGATAAGGTCGTGGAACTGGCCGTGCACGTCTCCACATATGGTGACGGGAACTTGCACTGGTTGGACGTTTTCTTCGAACTGCAACACGTCGATGGCCATGTCGCACAACCGTTTCACGTCTGCCTCGCTCAATGGCTCACACTTGGACAACTTGTCGATCCACTGGTCCAATTGGTTGACGGAGGTGAGGCTCAAGTCCTGCTTCTTGCCAGAGAACGGTCTGGATGCGGCCGAGGCGTCGGCTCCTGCTGGTTGGCCTGATTGCCTCAATTGGTGTTCCTCGACATCTTCCATGGGAACGTCTGTATCTAAGTCCATTTTGCCGGCGGGTGTGTGTAGTCAGCGACAGTGTCGGGGGACAGTGACGAAATGCTAGGCGAGATTCCAATTGGTGGGATCTCGGATGGTAGGGACGCTGTTCTGGCGGTGTTGTGACCAGTCGTCGGTTGCGGGAGGGCAGGTGGACTCAGGGCTGGTGCTAGTGGGTGGGACTAGCAGTGGTGAGGATGGATGGCGACTAGCGGACTCGGGGCTAGCGGTGGTGATTGATTGGAAATAGAGAGTAAGTATGATCAATTTCGATTGACTGTCGGTTTTTTTCGTGGTCGTCGTTGTCCAATTTTTGTGATGTTTTGGGCGTAGCGAGAGGTGGGGGCCAGTGGCGAGGAGGTGGTGGGAGTGCTAGAGGGAGGGTTAGAGTAGGTAGATGGGGCTATAGGAGGTTAGATGAGGCTACAGGAAGGTGTACTAGAGGTATGGGACGAGGGGCTCCGTCCCAGTGCTGCAATGGTGCCATGGTGCCCAGTGACGGGGGCACTGTGTCGGGGTGCGGTGCGCCTGCCAGGGAGCGTTGACTGGCAGACGACGGTAGTTGCCGACACTGGGAAGCGGACAGCGGCCCTGCAGAGGCAGATAGCGGCAGCCTGCGCTGGCCGGCGCCCACCCAGGCGCCACAGACAGTGCCATTTACGGGAACTGAAGTTATCGACCAGTGGGGGCAATCCGGTGATTTCGGTTGTTTACTGCCAGGCAACGGAAGCGGCGACCCTGGGATGGCGGCTTAGGAAGCACGGCTGCCTGTGTAATGTGTAGTGGGACAGCAACCGTAGAGAGTGTGGCGCACGACCGACTCGCTACCAAGCACGAGGTTATGCCTGTGAGGTACGCCTGTCAGCGTGAGGTACATCTGTCAGCACGAGGTACGTCAGATGTCAGCGCGAAGTACGTCAACCGGTCAGACACAAGTCATCAGCACGTCGTTTGCGGTGGCCGAGTTGGGCTGACTGTCTGAGTAGAAGGACAATGGCAGATAGAATAAGGTAGGCATAAACCAAAATTATTCGTAGCAGACTACGCAACACCGTGCCCATTGAAAATAGAATAAATTGGCACTACTATCAGGAATTCTTTAACCCGAGTGTAGCTTCAACAGTAAAGCACAAACAGAATAAGGTCACCGACAAATATTTCTCAGAGAGCAATTTGCAACTAGTATTTCTATTGCAAGAGATATCAACAGTATTCTATGGCAAACAGAAATTACGTATAGTATTTCTAAAACAAGAGTAATTGAAAGTAATTACATCAATTGCAAGAAATAAGGGAGTATTCGTTCCTAAGCCATTAATCAATTCTCCGGTTCTAGAAATCGATAGCACCCTCTTACATATTCTCGAGCCTACACTACGCTGTTAGTGCTTCTATCTATTCTTCTAATTAGGTGGGTTTCTTGGAGTCCCGTGAGGAGTGAAACCGGCCCCGTGGAATTGAAACAAGTTGGTCATGCTAAGGTGGGAAGTGTCGCCCGTGAAGTCATCACTGATCTGGTTAAAGAGGTTGTACAAGTTCATGGTGCTTTCGCTCATGGAGTTCGAGTTATACTCTTTGTCGTGGGGCTGCTCGGGATGAGCATGCGGCATTAGCTCCACCGGCACCGATTCCTGGTATGGTTCGCCCATCGTTCCGTGGGCATCCATGACTGGTACTGGCACCGGTTGAACTGTGTTTAGCCCAATATGAGCTATGTGGTTCTGGTCATGAGGAGTGGATCCGAACACCATATGCGAATTAACATCTAAGCCCTGGTTGTGGATATGAGGCTCGGCTTCCAAGGAGTTGGAAACCACCGATGAGGCCCCAGAAGACTCGTCCGACTCCGCGGACGAGAGCGACCTCGAAAACGAGCCCTTCGATCCTGTGCGGTCGCTGTAGTTATTGATTCTGGGCCCATGCTGGATCTTGGGAACAATGGCAAAGAACTCATTGTCGTCGTTGTCGTTATCGGGGCTAGGTTGATTAGTTACTACCTGGGAGGAGCCTGTGGAGTTGACGCGAATATTGGGGGCATTAATGCCTGACTCTGTCGATAACAGCTTGTGGATTGTTTGAGTCTGTTTCTTGAATACTTCAGCCTTCAGCCTGTTTTCGTCAAGGTTGACGAACCAGGTGCTGAACACTTTGGTGGCTCTAATTAATTTGTTTATGTTGTTGAAGAACGGGAAATGCTTGATGAGGTTATCAGTATAATCAATTAACAAACTGAATTTAGGGTCGTTGACGGCCCCAGGGTTTGGTTCTCCGTCAATGCCGTTCTCAACTAGTGCGATTCTTAATAAATGCAATAATGGTTGCAAGAGCTGAAAGTTAGACATCTGGACCTTGACCAAGTCACAATCCTTGTTTGCCAAATGTAATGTGAAGTAAGAAATGAGCCAGAAGAGTTCGTCATTGGATTCCTCGAAAGTCATTCTGCTAACGATCGCGAGCTTGAATATTAAAATCCCTTTAATGATGTCGAAGATTGGGTCGGTATTTTCAAGATCAAGTATTCTCTGCTTAACGTTCAAAAACGTACCTAATTGTGAGTTGGGGGAATATTCGGGGTTAATGTTGAAGTTGGTCTGTTTGCTTAACTTCGATAATAAATTTGGATCAACTTCACTCTCTTGATGTAGGATGTGAATTAAATCAAATAGAATGTTGGACTCAAAGGAACTATCTATGTTATTGTCTAGCTTGTTCTGTAGCATTTGCTTTGATGACAATTGAATGATAACATCATTATTTCTGAACATGTTGATATTGTAGTTGTTGGAGGAATATATCAAATAAAATCTTTCGTAGCAAAACAATATCTCATAGAGTTCGTGGAGTTGGACAATGACGGTGTTATCGCTGGTTTTGATGTTGATAAGCTGGTAGTAGGTGATGCTTTTTCGTAAATTGATCAACTTGTGATGCTCCTGAGCCTCATTACCGTAGTTGTTGTCAAGGTTCGAGTTTGAGTTTAATGTGTTTGTCAAGTTAAGGGTGTGGTAGTAATTACACAAGTGCAAACAGCTCAAAGACAAGTTGTAATAGATCTGGTACTGGTTGATGTGGTTCAGATTGATGTTGTTGATATTTTTTGGGTTGTTTTGGGGGATTATAGGAGGAACAATGAAATTCTTTTCGATGAGGGTGTTGATTTCCATGCATTTGAAGTGGCAGAGATTCTTGAAGTTTTTGAAGTTTCTGAACAAAAGGCTTTTCTTGGGGTAGCTGACGAAGTCCTTGTATTTCTGTTTTTTGAGCTTGATCAAGATTTCTGCGATGATCATGTTGATGGTCAACACGATCAATAAGGTGGACAAGAAGATGGAGTCATCGTGGTTGGTCAAGAGGTTGATTTCCGAGTGGAGCCCATTATTGGCTGAGAATTTCAGGGTCAAGAAGTTGATCAACTTGGCGTGGTCGCGGATCAACGACTGCACCGTCAACGGCTTCAACAACGCGTGTACCACCGGCTCTTCTGCGATCAACGAGATGTTCTCGATCATGTTGTACGGAGTGGGTTTGTAGTCGTGGGGCTCGGGCGATGCAGTGGTGGTGTCTGGACGCACCTCGGAGTCCGATGTTTGCAGCAACGATCTTGTCGAGTTCTTATCTTCGGCTGCAGTCGTAGCAGGAGCAGGAGCAGTAGAAGTAGAAGAAGCAGCAGCTTCCGCAGCTTGCGGCAGCGCCTTTGCCGACATGTTGTAGTTGACCTCGATGACCTCGTTGAGGTAGCTGATGCAGTCCAACGTCCTGCGGTGGAGGTTCTTGGGGCCACTCTTCTTGCGCTCGCGCAAGGTGGTACAGGTGATCCTGTTGACCACACAGTGGGTGCAGGGACGCTGGTTTTCACACTTGACCTTGCGGACGGCGCATGCGTCACAGGCCTGGACGCTGGGCTTGTGCTTCTTGTTGGGCTGGCTGCGGCTGTAGGTGGTGTAGCGTGCAGCAGGCTCGCGGGAGGTGTCTCTAGATTGGTCACGCGTAGGAGCCGTGGAGGTGTCTTTGGAGGAGGACGACGAAGGGTTGGAGGGCTGCTGGGGCTGGGGGAGTGGCACGGGCTGGGGAAGGGGTTGGCCCTGGTAGAATGGCGAGTCGCTGGGGCTGTAGTCGGTGGTGTGAGCGTCCAGCTTGACCAGGGCCGCGTTGTAGACGGAAGTCGAGCTGGAGTACAGCGGCAGTTGGATATAGAGGTCGTGGGGCGAGTCTTCGTCCTTCATGGTGGGAGGATGAGTCAAATGGCGGATGGGAATGAGGAGCGATGAATGAGGATGAGAATGAGGATGAGGGGCGTAACGAGGATGAGGAGTGTGAGTGTGCCCGTGACAGGGTCAGTGTCGTGTCTGTCAGTGTCAGATGACGTGGCGTCGAGTCCAGGCCGATATTCCCAGATGGATGGCTAGAGCTCCGGAGAATCACTTCTAACCGCACTGGTGGGCTTAATAAAACGGATGGTGCTATGACAGGCGAGCTGGCCAATCAGTGGGCGGAGCAGATGTGGAGAACAAATGCGGCCTCAATTATCGATCTGAGGCCACAAAGCAGCGGTCTTTGTGCGTCGCACCACCACCAACGTTTGTAGTGTCTGCATCGCCCAGATCTGGGAGGAGGCAGGGCTGACGGGCAGGCTGCGACGCCGGGGCTGGTGGCGGCAGGTGCAGCTGGCGGGACAGCGAGGACGTGGGGACGAGCGTCGTGCTGGAAGTCAGTGGTGCGAGTCTACGGTTGTTATCGACTGTGTACCTGGAGCTGCCGTTGTCGCTAGATGCGATGGCGTTCGCATCCCTGGCCGGCTTAGCGAGTGGCCCTGGCGTGGCGGGGCGCCGAGCGCTCGCCTCCGAACTGTGGCCCCCCCACCGGCACTTCCGGCGTTTAGGCCAGTCTGCGACCTGGGTGGTCGTTATCGGAGGGGAATGGTGGGGCCAAGCTCGCCGACAAATTGTTGGGGTGTCTGTGGCGCTGCAATGTGTCAGTGTAGCGTGCTGTCGATTGGCCGGACTGTACAGATTAGACGTGCGTGCTACAACATACCGAGATGCAGACATCCGGCTATGACATGTTGGTGGTGGGGACCGGTCAGCGATTGGTAATCACTGCCGGGGTCTGGTGCAGCAACGAAGCCGCACATTCGCCACGCTCCAGCCCCATGCTCGTAAGCGTGGACGAAGGTTTAGTAAGCGAGGCATAGTTAGTTCGTATTTACTCACAGTAAGCCTAAAGCCATAGAGAAGTAATAAAAAAACCAAGCCAGGATCTTGATGTCTGGGCAGAAATTAGGAAGTGAATTTCGCAGACTTGGAGGGACAACGTTGAAGAAGATACCCATCACCTGAAGCGGCCTCATCTGTTAGGAGCTGTGCAGATCTCCATCTTCTAGTTATAAATTTTTGTATACATACGTCTCCCTTTAACTGTATTCCACTCCCACGATGATTAAACTACGTGTCCCTCTACAACAACCGACACCTCCTGATCTTCAATTATTCTTGTGTCTGCCTCCATGCTTTCTCGACTTTTTGAAGTCCTGCAGACCCGGGTGCTAAAACCCATCTGACAACAGTTCCACGTCCCGTTCCTGTGGCACCATCTGGTGAGTAATTGTAACCCATAAATAGTCGCAAAATTCTTGATGGATCCAATGGCACCATTCAGATTGTCTGTGCTGAATGATTGTCAAAACCTATAAGTAGTTGCAAAGTTCTTGATACTTGAGTTTGACCAACAAGTTAGTAACTGTGGATAATGTACCAATACATTTATTTCGGGTCCACGATCCATTCAAATGAAGATATTCCCAATTATTTGATAATATCCACCTTTAATACTCTCTATTACTCCATTTTCTACTCTTCTCTAGTTCTGTTCAGCCAGATCGATCTTTTCCCGGTACCGGAGCTGCTGGCTGGCCATGTCGAGAAAGACCTCGAATTTGGCCTGGAGCAACGCTTTGTCGTGGTCCTGAGGCTTGATGATCTCGACCTCCCGTGGCACGTACCCCTCAAGGGTATCCTTCACCACTTCCTGGTAGGCCTTGCACCCATCACCAACATGCAATTGGTGACCCAAGGCTGCGAGGATCGACGCACCTTTCACCACTCTAAACTCATCATATCCGTCATGGATGCGATGCACATCAATGCCCGTAACGCTAGCCAATAACTGTAGAAACCGTGTGTTCTTGCTCTGAGACCCGCAAACAACCAACCCAGTGATGCACGATCCGCTGGCCACCATTTTGTCAATTAATTGTTTTGTTTGAAACGACAAAAATTCAAGAATCAAGTTGAAGTGGATCACCAAGCGGGTCTCGGGGCTAGCCATCTCGTTGGGGTGCTGGAGGTTCGTCCAATTGGCGGCATTACCCCCATCTATGATCATTTCCCCCATTGAAAAGTCGTTGTATGGACTGCGGTTTCCGAACACATCCCCGTAATAAAAATAGTACCGAAGGAGCTGGTGGGTTGAGGTACCTCGTGTGCGTTCGAGCTCGACAGTTTTTGCCTCAAGCTCTTCAAAAATTCCCAGCCTGAGGCCGTTAGCATCGTAGGTTAGGGCTTTGAAATTCAAAAATAACCTCTCAAAAAGCTTTCCTGTTGCAGGCTGGCCAAACTCATACAAGCCTAACTGTGGCAGACTCAAGAACTGGTTGAAAGGGCCCCAAATTCCTGGAACTTGAGGGTGCACATTTCCATATTGCGAGAGCAAAAAGCACGTAGATGTTCCGGCTACCATCGACAAATTGGCCGTGGACGGGCGGGAGCTGAAGAGATCCTCAGGGGCAATGATGGTAGCAAACCACCCGGCATAGCAGTCGATGCACCCATTCACAACTTTGATGGGCTGCTTGCTGAGCGATCCAACAAGATTGTCATGTAAGTTACCAAGCACAGTACCAGCAGACGGGAGAAACTCACCAGCACGTAAGTTGATGCCACTATGGCCCACCAGGATATTTGATCCGATCCCATACCGTGCTAGCATTGACCTGGACCACCCTTTGATCGAGCAATCAAATGCATACGACTGGTCTGAAAATTCGCTGACCACCCTAGAAACATCCACAGCGTCCCCGTTGGTGAGCAATAGGTAGGTAAACCAATCATGAAGCTCGAAACAGATCAATTCACGCTCTGGGCACTTATCCGCAAGCCATTTGAGCTTGGGGAGCCCCAATTCTGGAACTGCCCTATCACCAATTCTCCATGCCTCTTTGAGTGACTTGTCGAGCAGCACAGTCAACTCCTTGGCCTGAACTGCAGCCCTGTGGTCCATCCACATGAGCACATCGTCGGTGTCGGAGAAACCTCCAATGTCTTCGGAACCTAAACTGACCCCCCTGAGCGTCCCGTCTTCAGCCTGCTCCACCACCACCATGGAGCACGTGGCAGTGATGGATATAGCAGACACATTGGAATGATTCACCCTCTTGAAGAGGTCCAATATGGCGGCCCAGATCTCGCCTGTAGACTGGGTGATGCAATTTTGATTGTGATTGATCGAAATGGGTAATGACCATGATTCAAAGATGACAGGATCAACAGTGATGTCATTGTAACAGAGCCGGACCGAGCTGGACCCGATATCTATGCCTATGGTGGCCATTGCAACTACCAGTATTAGGGCCGATATCGGATCACGTGCGAAGTAGCCATGGTTATGGTACGCGCACGACTACCTAAGAAGGTAACGACAGGCTTCGAATGGGGCCCTAGATGGGCATAATCAGAAGCTCAAACTCCCTTGAGTAGGTCTGGGTGCTGGTAGAATTATTCTATGCGCAAAAGTCCCTCAGACTACTAAATTTCTTTCTCATATTTGCTACGGAATGCTATCCAATCAGAGCTCGGAATTGGATAATTGAAAGATGGGCATCTGGTCAGTACCACGGCTTGCTAGACCCTGTGTCTTGACTTCTAGGTATCATCCTGGTACAATTCGTTCACTTGTCGAAGCTTGATGTCAGGTGATCCAAATCAGGTGAGTTTCAGCCAAGAATAGAACAATAGACGGTATGTTTCCAGGCTGCTAACACTTGCCAAACAATAGCCAGTTTCGGGGCCGCGTCTCGTGCATGTCAGTAGAGTCCCCAACCAATGGCGTCTCCCCGGAATGGTCATTTAACCAGTTTAGAGAAGTAGCAACTATTTTGGTTACACTGGGGCTGATTGAATTATTTGCTGTATTCTAGTATTTATTGTAGATTCACATGGACAGTCAGGCATGGTTACAGTGGGGTATTTTGGAAAACATCTATTTTAACTAACAAAATACAAACAACAGGCGACTATTGTGAAGAAAAGTACCGGATTAGGAGGGGTGACCTACCTAAAGGATGGCCTTGGAGCCTGGTTGGGAGATCCAGCCTTGGACGGTTTCTTCCGACAAGGTGGCGGAGAAGTCCTCGTCAACAGACAAGATGTGCACTTCGCTGTCAACAAAGATGACAGCAGCCTTCAAAGAACCGGAGGTTGGTCTCTTGAAGTAGTCGGAAGAACCACCACCACCTTGGGCGGAGCCGTCCTTACCTTGACCGTCGTGCAAGTGGTTGACACACTTGTCAGAACCAGCAGCCAAAACTTCAAACAAGTCCAATTCACCACAGCCAGTAGACCAACAGGAGCATTGAGCGTTACCGTATTGCAAGGTTCTTGGGACCTTGGCGTTCAACATCCAGATGGCTGGCATGTCTTGGTTGAAACCGGAACCCGAGTTGTCGGAAGGCATTTCGAACTCAAACACAAACAACTTGGAGGCACCGCCGAAACCGTGGTAGGCAGGAGTACCTTCTCTGTAGTAACCACAGTCGTTACCAGAACACTTGCTGCCGGAGAAGATGACGTATTCTTGGTTGGACTTGAGGGTGGTGTCTTGCAAGGCGACAGGGGAGGAGGAGCCACCGGAGGCGTCGGAGTTGGCGTAGGACAACGAGTTACCGAAGGCAGCGGACCACACACCAGAGCCAGAACCACCGAAGTAGTTCATGAACACACAGTTGTCGGTGTTTCCTGGGGTGTAGTGGGAGGATCTGGACCAGGCGCCCGAAGGAACAGCTGAGGCGGTAGCTGGGCCCCCGGAGGTGGTGGTTGGGGCAGACAGGGTGGAGAGCGATCTGTAAGCCTTTCCTTGGCCGTCGAGAGGCGAGATGTCGGCAGCTGGCAGGCCGGTGGAGCCCACGGTGTGGGTGGCCTGGGAGGTGACTGTTTGGCCCTCACCGTTGACAAACACCGTCTGGGTGACCTCCACCACTTGGGTGGCTCTCTTGTGCTTGTGGTGCTTGTGGATGACGGCAGAGGTGCATTCTTCTTCGTCTCTCTTGTTGTTTTGCTTGGAGTTTCCAGGGTAGTACACGGCGAACTCCTTCAATCTGAGTGGACCTCTGAAGTGGACTGACAATTCTTCGTCCAAGGGTGCCAAGTTACCTGACACAGCCTTGGATTGCTGGGTACAAGTGCCTGACTTTTCGTCCATGTTGGTGACATCCTGGTAGGAGCCAGAGTATCCAACGCCCTGGTAGATGACCTTGTTGGTCTCGGAACAGTACCAGTTGCCGCCATCGTTGGTGCAACCAGCCTGGACGGTAGCCGCCAATACAGCCATTAAGGCAGTGTAGGTGAACTTCATTGTGGGAGGATTTTTTTAGGGGGACTTGTTTTCGGGTGGGAAGTGACGAGTCGGGGTAAAGGAATGTATAGGGTTAGGGGTGAGTGGTGTGGAACAAGATCTAAGGAACGACTTGGGTAGGATAAGGACACTGTTTTAACAGAAAAAAGGCGGCAGCCGCAAGTTATAAGGGGCGGTTGTAGAACTTGCAAAATTTGTGTAATGTTTGGATTTGCGCGTAGTTCTCGTGAAATAGAAAATATTGGCGGCGTCGAGATGGGTGCATGGCCGAGGGAGGGCCGGAATACCCGGAAGTGGCACAGATGTCCCCGTAACTACTGAGAATTGCTGTCAAGAGGCAATTTTTTCCTGGCTGTGCACGTGCATCGTCCGGAACTAGCTTCTTGGCTGCAGCCGGCTGCAGTCCGAGTTCTGCAAGACGCGCAGACTAGTGTCGGTATTGTTTCACCAGTTCTCGGCTGTACACGACTGGGCTGTATATGTCCCATTTGGGAATGTTTCCGCTGGCTTACCACCGCCAGCACCAGATCAGGCTGGTCTCACGGGACTTCTGGTGCCATCTCGTCCCACCAGGGCCGTCCTCCAGCACCCCGGCCCCCGATCTGGTGCTGGCGCTGTGGTCTCGATCAGGCCTTGATCAGTCCTCGATCACGCTGCGATCAGGTGTCCCATCCTACTGTCAATCCCTGGTTGTGTGCTGCTATTGTTGCAATGCTCATGACAACCCCAGGCCCACCATCTGCCCCTGCGGGCCCCTAGCAGCTTCGCCCTGTTATGCGTGTTGCAGCTCGACTCGGGGCTACTGGTGCGGACGGCAGGTTTTGGCACTGGCCTGGGCAGCGAGTGGTGACTGGGCAGACGCGCTGGTGGATTGCGAGGTGGGCTGGTGCTACCAAAAGTGGAGGCAGGCCGGAATTGGTCACTGGGCGGTGTTGGTGCCAGCCAGGCCATCTTGTAGATGGATTATGGCATGGCTACAGGGCATGGCTACTGAGCATTGCTTCATGGGTAATACCTATATGTCTACATGGCATTCTCTGCGCTGTGTGCGTCGTCAGTCCGATTAGTGCCGAACGGCGATCAGGGAACAAACTTAAATTCCCATTCAGTTTTAAGGAGTAATGTGGGTTGCTAGTTGCAGTTCTGGGGTCTCGTCTAGCGCCCCTGCATTGGGGCGCCGATTGTTTCGAACCTGAATCGGTGCTCGTCAACTGGCAGACGAAGTGTCACGTGATCTATACCCGCTCATTTCTGGATGGCCTAGCACCCGTTCCCGCCCAGTTTCGGCACTTTCCTTCGAGGAGAGCCGCCGCTGCCCCGTGGTCCGTCCCTGGTCACTTTAGTTCTTTGTTCTAGACTTCGGCACCTCCGTAGCACTTGCAGGCTGCATCCCACGCAGAATGCATTTCCAGTCCGTATATGGTCTCCGATGACGCCGTACACTTCCAGCTTCCGTATGCCAGTGAGCTCCTAGCCTCCGCTAGTGTCTGAAGTGCCTCTAGCCACTCCTTGCTGACTGGGGAATTAGTCTAGACTTCAGATCGACCACAAACCCAGACGCACTGCGGTTACGCGGGCTCATGCATGTAATATAAGCATTGGTGACATAAAACGTTCAGAGATGTCGAATAGAAAAGGGAGGTTCGTACCCCCCGAGACAACGTGGAAGCACCACGAAACAGTCTCGGCTGCTCGAGACTCGCTAAACTAACAGTCGTGGCTTTTTCTTTGGCTTCCGATGGCCCACAACTGCTCAACACCAATTTACGTCATTGATCTCTTCGATTTACGGTATGTAACACTCCTCTTCTCTCCTAGTGACGTTCCTGCAAGGTCATGACTTTTAGCGAATATTTTCCCTTCGTTTCACCCTCTCATAATGCTTGTTTGCACATCATACTTTCAACGGTCTGCTCTAGACCACATACGAGATCCGGTCAGATCCATCCTGGTGAGCTTGTAACCTTTGCATCAGCGCAACTAGACTATTTCGGCACCAACTGACCACTGAGAGCTCATCACAGACTCTTGTCTAGTCTAGATTGCCATCGGCAATTTCTTTTGGTATCTGAGATCAGCCTGGGTGTTTTGGTACTTCAGACTCATGAATAGGTCTAGACTACAAGAACCTCGGTTGCTCCTATAAGGAGATGTATTGGAAAAAACTCCTTCCTTCCTGCTGTTCCCGCAGTACAGATAGATCTTTGTACAAGTTTACAAAAGCTACATGAAAGAAGTTTTAATCCAATACAAAAGAAATGAATAGATTGTGTAGTTCTGTCGGGCAGACTCGGATCCCGTGTACTATCCAGAGGATAGAAGCTGCATGTATCTTACCAGTAATACTGTGCCACTCTGGCTTAGATGTGACAGGGAATACTGTGACAAGAGTAACCAGATCAAAGACACAAGTGAGATCTTCTTGTCAAAGAATGTATCAGAGAAGATGTGTTGAATTGCAGTGCCATTTCGGCCTAAATTAGTCAAGCTTCCCAATAATGGATGTAGGTATCGTTGTTCAACAGCTGGTTCAGTTCTCTTCCCAAATTTCGTCATGAATTTTCGCAGCTATTTCTCGATATTCCATAAATATGTATATCTATACTCTCAGTATCTCGAACGACACCTGTATGTATCTCATTCGTTTCAAATGACTTATTGATAATTCCCTATTATTGAGAGTAGTAAATGGTTAGAGCTTGTTAACGAGTGAAAATGCACAGATTGCGAACCATCAAGTTTTAACAAGTTCTGTAAAAAAAAACGATAATTATCATAAAATGGCAATAATCGTACCAGCTCGAGAAAACTTTACTTTCCCTATCAGAAACGCCTTCAACGACTCTAAAGAAGTAATATCAACATTTACGTATCTTATCACTACATTCGTATCTGGGCACGTGACCCAAATACAAGGTTGAACATCCTTGCTACCAACGCTGAAAAGCTGGATAAGACATGCAAATGTGTACCACAATCCTCAATAATGGCCTGCGCCATCCAGACCCAATCCCGTGTGCTCCCATACATAGTTTTACATCATCATTCGCCATGAACTCACTATCGCAGCACCAGACCTCGTCACATGACCTCCATCACTTAAAATTCTGCGATGCCATCTCAAACTCCCCATCATGTCTCCTTCCCACAAAAAACAAAAGGTAGAATCGCCAGATCAAGCCTCCTCCGAGGTGGAGTCTGTTCAGAGTCCAGTGGGCCGTCATGCCACTACCGCTGCTTCTGCCCAATCCCTCGAAAATGGGCCTAACAACACCTTCACCAACAAGCCCTTTTCACAAACATACTTCAAGATCCTTGAAACCCGTCGTAATCTTCCAGTCCACGCTCAGCGTGATGAGTTCCTCAAGATCTTCCAATCCACGCAAATCATGGTGTTTGTCGGTGAAACTGGTTCCGGTAAGACCACCCAGATCCCTCAGTTCGTCCTTTACGACGACATGCCACAACTTACTGGGCATCAAGTGGCTTGTACCCAGCCTAGAAGAGTTGCTGCCATGTCTGTGGCCAAGAGAGTCAGTGAGGAAATGGACGTTGAGCTCGGACAAGAAGTCGGTTACAGCATCAGATTTGAAAACAAGACTTCTCCCAAGACCATCCTCAAGTATATGACCGATGGTATGTTGCTTAGAGAAGCCATGGAAGATCATGACTTGAAGAAGTACTCCTGTATCATCTTGGATGAAGCGCACGAAAGAACGTTGGCCACCGATATTTTGATGGGTTTGCTTAAGCAGGTCAGTTTGAGAAGACCAGACTTGAAAATCATTATTATGTCGGCAACTTTGGACGCGGAAAAGTTCCAGACCTACTTCAACGATGCCCCACTTTTGGCTGTTCCAGGTAGAACCCATCCTGTGGAAATTTACTACACTCCAGAATTCCAGCGTGACTACTTGGACGCTGCTATAAGGACCGTTCTTCAGATCCACGCCACTGAAGACGAGGGTGATATCTTGCTTTTCCTTACAGGTGAAGAAGAAATTGAAGATGCATGCCGTAAGATCTCGTTGGAAGGTGACGAGTTAATTAGAGAGCAAGACTGTGGACCTATCCAGGTTTATCCACTTTATGGTTCTCTTCCTCCCCACCAGCAGCAAAAGATTTTCGACCCAGCCCCAGGCCCTCTCAGAGCCGGAGGACGTCCAGGTAGAAAGGTTATTGTTTCCACCAACATTGCTGAAACCTCGTTGACCATCGATGGTATTGTCTACGTGGTTGATCCCGGTTTCTCCAAGCAAAAGGTGTACAACCCAAGAATCAGAGTGGAGTCGTTACTTGTCAGTCCAATCTCCAAGGCATCTGCCCAACAAAGAGCTGGTCGTGCTGGTAGAACCAGACCAGGTAAGTGTTTCAGACTTTACACCGAAGAAGCATTCAAGAAGGAATTAATCGAGCAAAGTTACCCCGAAATCTTGAGAAGTAACTTGGCTTCCACTGTGTTGGAGCTCAAGAAGCTTGGAATTGACGACTTGGTCCATTTCGATTTCATGGACCCCCCTGCACCAGAAACCATGATGAGAGCTTTGGAGGAATTGAACTATCTCAAGTGTTTGAGTGACGAAGGTGACCTTACTGCTCTTGGAAGATTGGCGTCGCAATTTCCTTTGGATCCAATGTTGGCTGTCATGTTGATCGAATCGCCCAAATTCCAATGTTCTCAAGAGATCTTGACCATCGTGGCCTTACTTTCTGTGCCAAACGTTTTCGTCAGACCTGCTGCCGCTAGAAAGAGAGCTGACGATGCCAAGATGGCGTTTGCCCACCCCGATGGAGACCACTTGACGCTTTTGAACGTCTACGAAGGGTTCCAATCCGACGATGCACACAGCCTTGGGGTCCATCAATGGTGCAGAGACAATTTCCTCTCCTACAGATCGCTCCAGTCTGCCCAGAACGTTCGTTCACAATTGGGTAGAATTATGGAGAGATATGAGTTGGACTTGAACTCCGTCTCTTATGAAGACCCCAACTATTGGATCAACATCAGAAAGGCACTCACTGCTGGTTTCTTCATGCAAGTGGCCAAGAAGAGAAGCGGCAATAAGGGCTTCTTGACCGTCAAGGACAACCAGGACGTGTTGATCCATCCCTCGACGGTGATGGCCAGCGAGAGCGAATGGGTGATCTACAACGAATTTGTGTTGACCAGCAAGAACTACATCAGAACTGTCACCACCATCAAACCCGACTGGTTGGTGGAATTGGCACCCAAGTACTATGATTTGAGTCACTTCAGCAAGGGAGACGTCAAGTTGTCGTTGGAGAGAGTGGTGGAGCGGGTGGAGACCATGCAGAAGTTGGAGAAGAAGAAGAAGAAGAAGTCCAAGAAGGACGAGTAAGATAGATAGAATAGAAGCGATAGAGCACCCGAAGTAGGATGAATCTGCAATTAGTCTGATTCCTAATATTACAAGAATTATTGGCGAGTGTAGCAAAAGGAGCGGGTAATAGACTAGCTGGAGCCAATCATGATACGAGATTATGGCCAAAGCGTTCACATATTAATTCCTAATATTTCAAAAATTAACTGGAGATTAGAAAAAGTGGCAAGTATGTGGCCCGCTTCAGGACATGAAATTTCGGCCAATATGTTCAGATATCACTCAGATAGCACCCCTGCCAAAGGTCAGCCCAATCCATGGAGGCTCAAGAGTCTACAAAATATCTGGAAATTTTAGGTAGGTACAAATTTCACCTCAGGTCACCTAGCTCAGTTCAGGCAGAGGAAGACCAATAAGCACCCGGATGTGGCCCATGGCTGCATATCCAAGGGATGCAGGTACTTCTTGTCTAAAGTCCCACCCTAACCATGGCTAACTTCGGAAATATTATTTGGTGAGTAAAACGGAAACCACCACCGATAATATTATATTATGTAGGGGTAGGTGCCTGGCGTTTCACGTGGATTGAGATCCACGTGACCGCACCCAGGGCCCTGCCGTCAACAACACTACGCCATCGAACAATCACACGCTTCTCCAGTCCCAGCGTAAGGTCACGGGACGGTTCCCGGCTGGCTCCCCGCTACCACGATTTATCCGTTCGTTTGGGTTCACGTGTCGCCTCGTCACCCAACTGGTGCTTTGTGGCGCTTACGCTCGTCTAATTGAAAAATGACGCGTGTACAATGCTATCCAATTAGGCACCAAACTGGCCAATTGAGTCTAAAACTGGCCACGAAAAAGGCATTCCGCACTGAACCACGACAGGCATCCACCACCAGCATCCACCTACATGCTTGCCTCCCCCACACTCCACGCTCCACTTCTACTTCCTCCCCCCACCACCATCCCCGTCCTCTAACCATTTAGCGATGCGCCCTGGCCTCTGCCGAAGCAGGCGGTCGCCAACATTTAGGCAACGGCAACGCTCTCGGGGTCGGCGCGCATCGTGAAATGTTCGCTCACGCGGTCGTATAGCCGGCGTGCGCGACCCGGTCTTTGTAGCATTGTTATGTAGTTAATCAATTATATATATTGGGCGGCGTATCGTCAGTTAAGTGAGCGGCATTGACTTGGACAGACCACCTTAGGACCCCAACCTTCACCACCAGCACCTAATATACCATACAGACATCATGGGTGGCATAGTGTCCAAACTCTTCAAGAACAAGGAGATGAGAATCTTGATGCTTGGGCTCGACAACGCCGGTAAGACGACGATCTTGTACAAGCTCAAGCTCGGAAAGACCTCCAAGACCGTGCCCACCGTCGGGTTTAACGTGGAAACCGTCAAGCACAAGAATATCTCGTTCGCCGTGTGGGACTGTGGTGGGCAAGAGAGAATCAGACCGTTGTGGAGACATTACTTCACGGGCACCAACGCCCTCATCTACGTGGTCGACTCCTCGGACATCGACCGTTTGGAGGAGTCCAAGAAGGAGTTGCTGAGAGTCATCAACGACAAGGAGTTGGCCAACTGCTTGTTGATCGTGTTGGCTAACAAGCAGGACGTCAGTGGCGCTATCAAGCCCAAGGAATTGATCGAACGTTTCGAGTTGAACAAGTTGACCGGCCAGCACACCTGGTCGGTCATTCCAACCATTGCTCTTGATGGGACTGGATTGGTTGAGACATTGAACTGGATTTCTAGTCATAGCAAATAAACAGGTAAGCGTGAACGAGTAGTAGATCAAAGAAATCGTTACTTGCGTGTAGTCGTACGTGGAAGGGGCTACAGGTTGATGGATACCCTCCGATTCGAGTGGGCCATTTCTGATTCTTGAGCTAATGAAGGTACGATAATTCCAACGTGGAGATCTAGCCACTTTTGCTAGCTCAGCGAGCAATGGGTTCCATTCGTGGTCCCAGCCTAATGTTTTCCCACAGTAATGAACTTTTGATATCGATATACCCCCAAATGTTGCCCCTCGTATATGTATCTACCCCTGCGTGGTAAACGCTCGTATCTGGAAGAAGAAACGAGAAGGGAGCCCGTGTGTTCCAAGGATACACGCACCACTGAACAAGAGCGACTACGCTATAACAAAATACATACGTTCTGTCATACTTTGAAACTATTACCGAAAGATGTTGATATGAGTTTTCTTGGAACATAATTCCTGAAAATAGTACAGAAACCTCAAGCATTTGGTCATATACATGCAGAAGAATATTTGAAGCACGTCATTGAGAGACTATTGTGCTCAAGCAATCGCAAGGCGAGGTTTCAGCATGCTTCTACACGTTTTATCGGTTGAGCCCATTTCGCAGCCACTTCCATTTCAAGTACTTTACCAGCAAAGTAATAGAATGTGAATACCAATTGCTTTTGACTACTTCACTTATCACCCTCAACTCTAATTCCGAGTGGTGTTTCTGAAGTAGACCGCAGATGGACTATCCATAATTTAGATCTAGTGGCTGCGATGGGTAAAAAGCCTGTTACCACAAAATTACCATCGCATATACTAGCAAATAGGTCCATACGAGTAACAATTTGACCAGTGGACCCACCCAAAGCCTCAAAAATCCAGGGATTAGAGCAGTACGTTTGTAGTGTTTGCAGTAGGATTCTAAAGTACTTTTATGTATCCAAAATTCCAGTAGGAAGTGTTTCTCAGAGTGGATGTTTTCGTAGTATTTCAAGTACGGAACAGAGACACATATTTAGCATAGTCAAGCATGTGTGCTGGCACACAGACTCCGTCTAAGCACCCCACACCAGCACTTCTCCAGACTCCTCTCCGAAGTAGGCCTTCTTGGCCATTCCCACAAACAAACCGGTCTCGACAACACCCACCAAGGCCTTGATCTGTTGGTGCAACTGGGCCACATTCTCGATGGCACCGAAATCGGCATCGATTAAAAAGTTGTTGTTATCAGTGATGATGGGACCAGCCTTGGCACTTCCTCCCTGTCTCAATTGGGCGTTCTTGGCCCCAAGAGCGTACAACGACTTCAACACGGTAGCATAGGAGTTTGGCACGATCTCAATGGGCACACCTTGAGTCCACTGGATTCCCAAGTTAGAGGGAGACTTCTTACGGTAGTCTGCCACCACCACGAACTCCTTGGCCACAGAAGCAACCAATTTCTCCTGGAAAAGGCATGCTCCCCCACCCTTGATCAAGTTCAACTGGGAGTCGACTTCGTCCGCACCATCAAAGGCAATGTCGAGCGAAGGATACTGCTCAATGGTGCCTAACTTCAAGCCGTTGTCAATGATGAGCTGCTTGGACTGGAATCCGGTTGGAATGCACACAAACGACTCCTTGTTGGCAAGTTGGCCAATTCTTTCAGCAACATACACCACGGTGGAACCGGAGCCGATGCCGACTACTTTGGCGTTGGCGGGGAAGTTTTCGTCGACGGCGTTGTAGGCAGCGGCCTTTTTTGCTTTTTCAACTAGGGACATGGTGTGGAATCGGGTGAAGCGTCTGGTGGTAGTACGGAGTGGTTGAAGCATGGTGCATCACGTGGGGGAGCGTGCAGTGGGGATGAGGACCGGTGGATGGGTGGCATCACATGACGGGGGCTCTGCACACGTGATGCGATACTCGAGAAAAAACAGTCACAGCACCATCACGTGTCGCACATCTGGCCTGCCAGAAAATTTTCCATCCCTCACACACCCTACTCGCACTGCAACCAGTTTTTCATTCACTATCAAAAAAACACTGTTCAAATCTCTTTCCGTGTCTAACAGTAATCAGTATCCAATATGTCTGCTGCCCACAAGATCTTGTCTGACAAGCCAACTGAATTAGAATTAAAGGTTGCCCAAGCCTTCGTTGACTTGGAATCCCAAGCCGACCTCAAGGCCGAATTAAGACCATTACAATTCAAGTCCATCAAGGAAATTGATGTCACTGGTGGTAAGAAGGCCTTGGCTGTTTTTGTTCCATGCCCATCCCTCCCAGCCTACCACAAGGTTCAAATCAGATTAACCAGAGAATTGGAGAAGAAGTTCCCAGACCGTCATGTTGTTTTCTTAGCTGAAAGAAGAATCTTGCCAAAGCCAGCCAGAGGTTCTAGACAACTCCAAAAGAGACCAAGATCCAGAACTTTGACTGCCGTCCACGACAAGATCTTGGAAGACTTGGTTTTCCCAACTGAAATCGTCGGTAAGAGAGTTAGATACTTGGTTGGTGGTAACAAGATCCACAAGGTCTTGTTGGACTCCAAGGACTCCACCTCCGTTGACTACAAGTTGGAATCTTTCCAACAATTATACTCCAAATTGACTGGTAAGCAAGTCGTTTTTGAAATCCCAGGTGAAACTCATTAAACGGGTCTGAATATTCATATTCATTGTAATGATATAGTCATAATAATATAATTACAAGTTTGTAATATAGATAAAGTGAAGTAACCTAGCGTATGCTAGTGTAGTTCTGACAAACTGAGTGGTTTGATTGGCTTTACGTCATTAAGTGGGGTCACCAGCATTTTGACTAGGCGCAACTGTGTCTAGGTCTTTCTCCAAATTTACAAAAGTTTACTACAAGGATTCAGCCATTATTATAATTAGTTTTCTAATCTTTGATCTACAAGAGTCCCAACCAGGCACCAACATTTTTCTGTCCTACTGTTTGATTTATAAACGATGTTCTATTGATTCGCTATGCATTCATGATAATTCTAATTTAGCTACTCTTAAGCTTGTTAATAGCTTTGCTGTAGTCAACTTCGTGTTCTCCAAAGACAACTCCAAGCCCAATTGCTAACCAGGCAGGGAACCATCCTAAGATGACCACAAACCAGGTCCAGCATTGAAGCTCATGCCAAGAAGTAAGTAAACCTCTCATCAAGCTAACTGCCCCACTCTCGGCATCCAAGTAACTGCCTGCAATAAATAAGACAAAAAATGGGTTGGAGACGAAAAGACACAAGCTAATTTTAATTTGGGCTTTGTTCTCGTTAACGTAACGCAAAAGTCTAGAAATTGGGTCATTCTTGACAACGGCTTCCTTTTTTTGATTTAATTCTCTGAAAGCCTTTTCCTCCAAAGCCGTTAACGTCAATGGCTGAATAAAAGTTAAAGGAACTGCTAAAATTCCAATAATCAAGGCTAATGCAAAATGAACAATTAAAAGGGTCATAATTAACATGGAAATGAAAAACAATGACAATGCAATTAAACCATATTTGACTGCCTTGTTGAATTTGTATTTTGATTTGATGTTGAAAAGTGGTGAAAATGAAACTGCAACATTGATCAAGACGAACTGACACAAGATTTGAAACACAGTCACATCTTCAAATTCCTTTGGGGCGTTGATAGTTATGTATGGCAATGAAAAGGCCATAACGACCCCACACAATTCGATTCCAAAGAACGTTGAAAGAATAGTGGTGAGGCCACCAATATACTCGTCAAATTTGACACCACTGTTCAACACCGCACCCAAGGAGCTTAATGCAAACGCAATGGATACAAGAACTGCAGCTGGTAAGTATGTTCCGATGGAAACAAAGTTTCTGGTCGACAACAACAAATAGAAGAAGAACGATTGATGGAACTTTTCAAGTAAGTTGTTCACTGATCTGAAGGTAGAATCCACAACTCTGCCCAACTGGGTAACGTCTGCAGGTCCATTCGAACCCTTAGCCTTGATGGTGAACGCCTGGATTTGCCAGCCAGAGAATGCCTCACATCCAGGGGTGTTTCTGCTCAAGCCAGACAAGGTCAAGCTGCCGATTCCCCTTAACAAAGTTCTCAACCGGGTGAAGTAGGTATTCTTTGAAATTTCGTGGGATGGGGTTCCTTGGATTGAGGAGGGTAAACTCTCGTGGAAACCAATCATGTTGGCGGTGTTGAGCAAGTCCAAGTTTGGCAATTGGCCATTCAAGCCTTCATAGAACATTTCGTAGTAGTCGAAATGGTCACCGTTCTTCCCGTATTCAAGCACAATGGCCGCTTCGATGGAGCCAGCCGTTTGGTCCAACGAGGTGTGGTAGGCCTCCACCCACGATCTTAATGGATAATGGGAGGTCTCGGGGAAGACCAAAATGATGTTTTTGGACCAAATGGACATTTTGCTGAAATATCTGGCCAACGCTGCTGCCAATGCAATGCCTCCTTCATTGTGTTCCTTGTCACTGGTGTACCAAGGAACTGCCAACACCATGGCCTCGGTGTCGTCTCCTCTTGGCGCATGCAAAATGGCGTAGAGGGTGTCATTGGTGACACCATTGTGGTGATAGGTAGTGATGTAACCGAAGCTGTTGAGCCATTTTTCAACAACTTCAGCTTTGGAGGAGATTGGATCGTATTCGAACTTCTTGACCTCTTCACGATATCCTCTTACGATATTCCACTCACTCTCTCTGAAGTAGGAGTTGACCTGGAACGGCATCAACGCGTTCTCGGAAATATATGTGTTTCTGTATTGGCCATCCAACGGTAATACCAAAAGCCATCCGATACTGGCAATTGCCATTACAAAGGAGATGACAGGCAAGAGCTTGATGGCTTTGGGAATCAAGCCCAACTTGTGGACCTTTCTCAATACAGTCTCAGCCAACGCCATTTTGGAGAACAACAGTAGTGTAGGTAGGATGCTACAATAACGTGTCTTGTTGATGGATAAAGGTCACGTGCGAAAAATCACGCGCCTAGCCATCTATGATCTCCAATGGCACCAGAAATCTGACCAAGCTCTACCATGCCCAAACCAGCATGGAGAGTTCTTGAGAGCTATAAGCAGTTGTGCAGACAAGCAAACAGGCTTCCTTTAGACAGAGGCACGATATCGCGCTTTCTAGCTCTTGTAAAACTGGAGTTTCGAACCGGTTCCCCGCTGAAGTCTTCCCAGATTCCGGTCTCTAGAAAGAAATACAATCTTCTTAGTCAACAATTGGATAGTATCCTCATCGAAGAGAAATATGACGAGGTGCAAGATCTTCTTGATGTCATTTACAAACGGGAACCTCCTCCCTCATGGTTGAGAGAATTCAATGAGTTGAACTATACCCAGATGAAGGGGATCTGGCCCCAAGTCCATTTGATCAGAGAGTTGACCAAAGATGCCGAAGTTATTTCGAAGTACAACAAGAGCCTCGAACTCGAGAAGAATGAAGACTTTTCCATGATGCGCCATTTCAGCTTGACCAGTGCCAAAGAGGGATTATCACTAGTACGATCATACTCGCAAAGTCCAGACTTGAAACCGATGATGAAAAGCGTCTCCAGTTTGTACAATTTGCTTCTTGACAACCAATCTAAGCTTTCCCGCTCCAAAATTCAATCTTTGGAAGTGGTTTACCCCACAAATAGATTTGCATTACCAATTAGTCCCCACAAAAGAGATCGAATGTTGAGAGACAAGATTGCCAGCGTGCGCAATCTTCTCCACCAATACAAGCCCATTCCCAAGCATGACCTACAAAGGCTAATTGACGTTTCTCTAGGCAAAGAGGGTGCCCAGTACGAGATTAATCCCAATTTTTACAAATACATGATAAAGAAGCATCGAATTGAGAAGCAAGAAATGAATATTGCTGTTTTACGAAAGCTTCGCCAGAAACATCTTGTGCCAAATGAGAATAACATTCGAAAATGGTTTAGAGCATATGTGGTGAAACAATTTTATTTGGATGATGATGGCCAGCACAAGATGAGCTGGATGCAAAATTACTATGACATCGGGCCCAGTAGCACAAGATAAGCTGGATGCAAATGGAGCACATGCTATCTACTCCAGAATGTGGTAGATACATGTAATTTTTGGAGTTACTCACAAGATGGAAGTATGAAATTTTGATGCTTCAAAATGTTTTGGATTCACTCCTTTGCTGAACTTAAGGAAGCAAGAGGTTGATAGTTATAAGCTGAAGACCACATAGTCTCGTTTATTCACATCTAGGAGGCACCCATAAGATTTGGAATCATTCCTGCTGATAGCTAATGTGTTCGGGTTACTCAATTGAATCTGGTCTTGGGTAAGTTGACCCTTTTTGGGAATGGAATCGCACTCAGTTACATGCTCGTCGGACTCAAAGAGAGCGATAAAATCAAACACAACCACTTGAAAAGCAGAACTGTGTATAAGAACGACTAGTTCCCGATTGTTTTTGAACTCAAAAGATGATATTTTTCCTTCGAAACGAATTTTCTTCGACTGGCAGTCAAAGTTGTTCTGAGACGTATTGAACTTGATCATAGTCATTTCTTCCTTCAGCTTGTTCAAACCGCAAACTACTGCACAACTATCATCAATGTTCTTGAGGGTTAAATCGGTAGACTCTCCAAGTTCAAGTTCATATTGCAAATGTTTAAACAGCAAGCTGCTCTTGATGAGATCTTTGAAGGATTGTATTACAGCTGAGTCCATCTTGGTATTCAATAATTCAAAAGCACGCGACAAGTCGTTTTTACACGCTTCAGGCAGGTTCAAGATATCATTCGAAGCTAGGTCTAGGTGAAAATAATCCAATAATTTACTTTTGAACAACGAATCATTAATGTAGTTGATAATCTCGCCATGGTCAAAGTTGACTTGCTGAGGTTGATTCAAAAATGAAGTCATATCATCTTCCTTTGATATCTTGTCTATTATTTCTCGCTTTATCCAAGTCATAAAGTGATTGAATGCCTTTTGTTCCTCATTAGAATCCCAAATTGCCTTGTAAAATAACTTCAATAAAGACTTCGCTTGACTGATGAGATCATTGATCACATTGATATTCAATCCCGGGCTTAATTCGTTATCAGAATCTTTGAACCACTGCGATAAACCTCGCAATTGATTCATAATGACGAGTAACCTCTCTATGGATGCAATCAATGTTGTGAAAGTGACATTTCTTGTGAGGTCGTACACTGAATTACCTAACTTGTTTAAGCGCTTGAACCCTCTCTCACCAAATTGGTTGAGCCAAAAATCCTTTAGATTCTCAGGTATGAGATCAGTCAATAAAATGTCGTAAAGGCACTTAGATATTCTTAATGAAGGCTCGATGTTTTCTGAGGCGCCTAATGACTCAGTCATATTGGACAAGTACCTGTCATAAATTGTGAAAAATGGTTTAATTTCCGTTTGTAGTATTTTCAAGTTTTCGTTGACATAATTCATTATTGCTACCACCTTACAGATTTTAAGAATGACGTCTACCAAATGCTCTTTGTTTGATGGAACCTTGAGGTTGTCAGTCAACTGCACTAGTTTCAAGCCGGTGGATTCTCTGATGAGGTAAAACTGGCTGAACATATCACAGTTATCCAAGTAACATATGACCTCAGAGTTTGCTTCAGGAAATTCGATATTGCTGATGGTGAGGAGATTGTTGACGTTCATTGAGAGGGAATTGGCGTCTACTATCACCAAGTAATTCAAGGTGCTCTCGTTGTTCAATTCGTGAATGTCTTGCGAGGAGGAGTCATTGGTCATTTTTGGAAGCCTTCGTAGCACGTCCACTTTGAATAAGTTGCTAAACCGGTTCGCCTGTGTATGGCGTGTATCATGATAGTTCCACAGGATCAAATTCACTTTATCGAATGTCTTTTCGATCACCTTGATCAAATTGCCGTTGTTTGAATCGTAGATTTTAATGAGGCCATCGACACCTGCCAAACAGAAGTACGACCCATCACTTATCGTGCTGATGGCAGTGATGGCTGACTTGTTGTTGACTGAGTAGATCCGTTCTCCATCGAGCCGATACACCCAGAGTGACGTCTTGTTCATGGTGATGGTGAGTAGATTGAGAGTAGGGCACCAATGGAGGATGTTGCCGTCGGAGAGTCCAACGAACTTGTTGGTAGAGATGACCGAGAGGGCACTCATGGAGAGGTGTTGTTAGGACGGTGGTGTGGTGATAATGAGATCGATGCGCGTCTTTATCGTATAATTGAATTTAAAAACTGATGGTGCATAGGTTTATATCTGAAGTTTTGTGAAATTGTTTACAGACCATATTATAATTAGACACACGATATGTAAATGGGCTCTGTTCAATGCAAAAAAAAAATGAAATACCATCCGAACCAAGATATGAATTCATTTTTAGAGTAAATTCCAATTCAATTAATGTCTCTGTGAAAAGGTTCTTTTGACGGGCAATGGATTATAAACTGCCATAACAATCCCAGGAAATATATTGTGTTTTTCATTTACTCTCTGGAGATTGTATCAATTCTAAATGAAAGATAGTTACAGATTGGACGATCCCTATGGAAGCTGAATTTCCTTTTGTTTTGACAAATTCGAAAACAGTTCTCGTTTTCTCAAAGTCCAATATTGTAAAATCATTAGTCTGCTACTTCAAATCAAAACTACGATAATATTCCCTTTCAATTGAAATTGGAAAACACGAAGTCATTTTTACAAAGATGACATAAGAGTAACCGAATCTGTCTTAATTGATAAGTAAACGGCTCCTTTCCACTGGAGGCCCACCACAGAAAGTGCTGTTAAATTAACCATGGCAATAGGCCTGGTATGAAATGCGGCTGGAAGGGATACTTGTCCCCCAAAATTACTTGCAATACACCGTTCCACTTGTTCTACGGCCTGTACTTCGGCTAGCATTGCTAGCTCATTTTTATTTGTTCTATGATGACGTTATCTATGTACAAGTCAAAAGTTTCTGAAATTAATCACGAGGGAAGGACCCATGGTGGAACTCAAACAAGTTTGTCCGATAATGTTGGGCTTTCTGGTGCCTGGTGGCTGTGAATCGTAAATGGCTTTAGATGCTACTCTCAAGTTCTCGATGATTTCCACATCGCTGAAGTCGCATCTTCCTATTGGGATCGATAAGTGCTGATCCTTTTGCTTGAATGGTAACGCACCCACAGACTGCTTCATCAAGGTGGGGATATCCTCCGACACAGTACCCTTCTTGGCACTGGGCATCAAACCCTTGGGACCGATCTGTCTGGCAATCACCTTCAAGTCCTTGACAATATCAGGGGTTGCAAATGCATGAGTAAGGTTGTCCAACTTGGCCTTTCCTTCCTTGATTTCCTCGATTAATTCCAATCCTCCGGCGTAGGTGGCACCGAGGGCCTTGGCCTGCTCGACGACCTCTGGTTGTAAACTGAAAATCATCACGTGGTTATCTTTGATTGGCTTTGGTAAGTATACCGAGCCTTGTAAGGGCTTGGAACCCTTCTCAGGTAACACGGTCATAAGGATGGACACGGTGGTCTTCTTTGCGGGCTGTCCGACTTCAGCAGCCCTCAAGTATCTCATGGCACCTGGGACGTCCATGTAGAGGGGATGCAACTCTGGGGCTTGCTTGTTCTTGGCCTTGATCGCCTGTTGCTTTCTGAGCTTTCTTTTGCTGTCTTTCTGGGTGTCTTTGGTATTTGGTTTGAGAGCAATGTGGGATTGGGAGAAGAGACGGCTGGGCGTGAGGAACGCCTGAGGGGTGGCCGGCCTGACCAACTTGAACATGGGTCTCAACATGCTTGGTGATGGTTTTGGTGTGGCCATGAATTTTTGGAAAGTTTTTCAGTAGGCGCGTGACTCGCGGTCACGCACTTGACACATGACGTTACACGTGCGTTCACGTGTCAGATCGGGTGCGTGCCAGTCATGCCGGCCAAGAACAATTTCCGGGAATGGTCTGATTATCGCAGAAATGGATACGCACAAATTTGCGCTTTTAGTGTCGCACCTGGATCGATTCCTGGATCCCGCCTGCGACAGGCAACCGACAGGAGTCATAGAAAATACGTTCCATGACGCCCCTAGAGAAGGTTGTCGTTTTGCGTCATTCCATCGTGTTTCTGCACCGAACAATCGATGCATGGAGATGCGCCAGCACACCTCGCTATGAGAAGGCAATTTCATTATGGTGGCCACAGTGCCGGAACCGGAGGTAAATCCACCCTATGGGTGGCTTATTGCCAGCAGCCGCTCGGTTCGGAACAGAACCCTGGCATGTACCGAAGGGTTGTGTGCAGAACCGAGTGTCGGGCGGAGGGCATGCGACGGGGAAGAGAACAATACCTAGACGATGAGAGAACAATATTAGCCTCAGGGGCGCAACCAAACGGCGTTGGGGCTGCCGAGCGCCAAAGCATGCGCCCAACATCGGAGTCGGCACGTCGTATTTTCGTGCCCAGCACTTCGGCATGCCCCGATGTCACCAGCATGCCCCGATGTCACCAGCATGTCAGTGACACTATCAGTCCACTGCGCATGGCCCACATGGGGATGACGGCTGCATAGAATGCTTCTCACCCTTCTGGGAGTTCCATGGCACCCTATTCCTTCCCTGCAGCATCCCCAGCTCCGGCACATGCGTCGGCGTGATCTACCACTAAACTAGATTCTCACGTCATCTGCGCCGGGCCTACATTTCCTGTTGCATTGCTAATGTACGCACGCTCGTCTCATCTAGCGCACCGATCGCCGATTTCACTCCCCATATAAGGCATGTCGTTCGCAGTGAGAACAATTCACTCGCTCTTATTAATACTATTATTGTTGAAGCTCCCGCCACAAGCTACCCGTCTACCATCCGTACTCCACCCGCCACACCCGGGACATACCTCACACGAGTGCATCTCCTCTCCACGGCCTCTCCCAGGCGCCTGTTCCTCGTAAACACCCGCCACTGCAGTGCCTCCCACCCATCGCCATGAAGGCTAAAAACGGGCCCTGGAACCCCAAGTTCGTGCCTGCGGACCCTTCACCGCTCTCCACCCCCGTGGCTAAGGACAAGGCCTCCCGCCAGGACCCAGCAAGCGCCCCTCCGCGGCCCAACCCTCCTCAGCACCCGCCCAAGCCTAGCGCCAGTGCCAGCAATGCCAACCAGCAAAATAACGACCTTTCTAATGACCCCAGCAACGACAACGACAACGACACCTACGACTACGACCACGACCACCACGATGCCCACGACGACCCCGACGACCCTGACGACCCCACCAGCCACACATACAAGAACGTGCCGCCCCAGTTCCTCAACCGCTTGGCCACCTTCCCGTTATTCAACAAGGCGCCCAAGTCGTTCCACTCGCGGGTGGCGTCCAAGTTGACGCTCGTGCAGTTCCATCCCCAGGAGTTCATCATCAAGCGGGGCGACCCCTCCAAGTCCATGTACTGGATTCTCAAGGGCACCGTCAGTGTAGCCTCCACCGACGGAGAGTCGGTGTACGCCGAGTTGGCTGCAGGAAGCTTCTTTGGCGAGATCGGCATTTTGTTCAACCGGCCCAGAACCGCCACCGTGGTGGCCAGAACAAAGGTGTTGGTCGGGGTGTTGACCAGCGAGGCCTTGAACACAGTGTTGAAACATTATCCTTCCATCGAGAGACGGATCAGAGATGAGGCCCAGGAACGCTTGGCTATGCAAGACAAGAAAAAGAAGTACGACTTGCCCAACCTCATAGCCAAGACCAACAACAACAACAACCAGCATCTCATCGATCTTCCTTCCCCCCAGGAATCGTTCACAGGCTTTTCTCCCACTGCCCACAACGCCATCAACGCCAGTGTGCTAGCTAACCAAGCATCTCGTTTGCCTGGCCCCTCACTACCTCCAATCACGCATGTTCCGTCCCCCTTGTCTTCATCGGCCACCACCACGAGCTTGTCTACCGCAGACAACGTCGATGCATCTGTATCCATCCAGGACTTCATCAAGAGCTTGCCCGTTTTCCAGAAGATGCCTGCAAGCATTATCCATCAGGTGGCATTAGATGTTGAACCGTTCAATGTTAAGCCTTTTGAATATATATTCCACAAAGGTGATACCGATTCGGATATCTATTTCATCATTAACGGGGAAGTGGAGGTCATCGACCATATCACAGACTCCAAGTCCGGAAAACTATCAGAAATAGTCCTCGCTAGATTACAAGCCGGCTCATACTTCGGAGAAATGTCGTTCTTATCCTTCTTGGATGAAAGTCAGACCGTCACTAGAAGCAAAAGCATCAGATCAGTTTCTTCAGTTGAGTTAATGGTCGTCAGGACTGACAATCTCAAAAGAATATGCAGCAAATACCCCTACTTTGTCGAGGAAATGAAAGAAACTGCTAGAGAGAGAAATCGACTGAACCACCAAAAGGAAGCCAAGGAAATGGAAGACTCCAGATTGTCTATTAACTATTTGATAAACACCGATAGAAGGACAGATTCCAACATCAAGCAACCACAACCAAAGTCGAGGTTATCTCCTTTGATTCTTGATACCGTTGTGCCACACCCAGCATCACTGCCTTCATTGTTTTCCCCAAATTGGGAGTTCAAAATGAGTGGTGAAGTTCCAGGAAGATTATCCAGATCAATCTCTCCTATAAGCAACATTGACCCCCCAGCATCATCTATTTCGTCGGCTGAGTCGCGGATGGACATGCATAAGACAAGGAACAATTCCAGCGAGTATCTGCTGAATCGAAGATCAAGTATTGACAGCAGCATCCAAAAGAAGAGAAAAGCATCCATTGTATCATCTAAGGGTCAAATTGATGAACACCTTCCCCAGCTTACCATTCCTTCTTTAAACCCAGTTGTGCCATCACTCAATAACTTTCAAAACTTTCAATTCAATTACAATCCATCGGCTTCCTCTAATAGAAGCATGTTCCAATACTTGCCCCACAACAAGAGAATGAGATTAGCTAGTGTTTCTAATGGGAGAAGACGGTCATCAATCTTGAGCCACAATGGACGTCTTCCAGATAGAATCTTGCTCAAAATTTTTGAGTTTTTGCCGTTGCCAACCTTGATGAAACTACGCATTTTAAACAAGAGATGGAGACAATTGCTATATGCTGCACCCAACATTTTTCAGACTTTAGACTTGACACCTTGGAATACTTCAATTGATGACGAGGCATTGATCCGTATCTGCGATTTTGTTGGATCGAGACCTCAAGTGGTTGACATTTCCAACTGTTTCCATATCACCGATGAAGGTTTCAGTTACATGGTGAATGAAATAGGAATTGCTGGAAAAATCAAAGTATTACGCATGAAGAGTAACTGGGAGGTCAGTGCCATGTCCATAATGGATTTGACAGTGCCCAGTGTTGGTCAACATTTGGAAGAGATCGACTTGTCTAACTGTCGTAAAGTGAGGGACAATGTATTGGAAAGATTGATAGGATGGGATTCTGAGAATAACCTCGAAGAGGTTGTGCAAAACCACCCTGGAGATTTTGATACTGATCAGATAGGCTGCAAGAATTTGAAGATTTTGAATGTTGGCTATTGCAAACATCTCACTGATAATTTCATGTACCATATTGCAAATCATGCTAATCGGAGATTAGAGAGCTTGGACCTTACCAGATGCACTACTATTACTGATACAGGATTTCAATACTGGACCTACAGATCATTCCCTACTTTAAAGAAACTTTCATTAAAGGATTGTACCTTCTTAACCGATAAGGCAATCATCTCCATTGCCAATGCAGCAACTAACTTGGAAATTTTAGACTTGAATTTCTGTTGTGCATTGTCAAATATTGCTATTGAAGTCTTATGTTTGGGATGTCCGAATATTCGTGAGCTCGATTTGTCATTCTGTGGTTCGGCTGTCAGTGATTCGTCGTTGGTGGCCATTTCCTTAAACTTGAGAAAACTCGAAAAATTGATTTTGACAGGATGTATCAGAGTTACTCGTGCCGGTGTTGATGCATTATTAAGTGGATGTTCCTCACTTAATTATTTGAACATCAGCCAATGCAAGAATGCACACATATACCCAGGTCGTATTCCAGCCCAAAAATTAAATGTCAACCATCAAACAAAGTCTGCATTTGTTACCGCAGGGCCATTTCAGAATGTCATTGAGATTGTTATCTAAGAGATAAAGATCCCATTCTCATTCATTATTTATTGCATAGACTTTAAAGTCTGTTTCAACTATGTATTATTAATATCATTTTAAAACAATCATTATTTCATTGAGCTTCTTCGTTTCATTATGTAGGATCTACACTTATTACGAATGTGAACCTCAAATCTCTATGTAGCTCACTCACTATTACATCAATTCAGGAGTTACGAGGGGAAGTTAAAAGACCATGAGTTGTTGTTCACTATGTACTGCTTCTATGTAACTCTTCAACAAATCAGTCTATTGACTAAATATTAAGTACCTCAGGCCCTCTTCTTCTTGGACTTCGCCTTATTTTCGAATTCAATGAACGTAGTCGGAACACCTTTTTCCTTCAACAAGTCCATTATTAACTTGCCATGGGGACCCTGGACAGTGACTTCGGTTATCTTGGGATTTTGGACCATTTGTCCAATCGTTGACGAGCCTGAACACTTGATTCTCAATTCTTCAGCTAAAACATGTGGCTTGATATGATAGTTTTCGAAATTAGAAACCCGGGTAATAACCTTTCTACCAATCTTAGTTTCTGTTATAATAGATATTTTCGGAGGCTCTCCCTTGTATACCTCTCCTTTGGTCTCTCCTGGTTTAACAACCAGGAAATGTGGGGAGCAATTGGTCAAAAATGCTTTGAAAACTTTATCCCGAGGAGTTGCCTGAGGTCCGAGATTGGTACATGACTTCAAATCATCATCAATACGAATTGTCTTCTTATCGTTGGGGTTGACCAAGTCTTTCAATTTAACGTATTTCTCAAATAAAGATCTCAATTCGACTGTGGTGTACAAGTCTGAAAAGGGAGCATCCACCTTATTGAAGAACATTCTTGATTTATTACCAGGTTTGTACAATTGCACAATGGATAACTCATTTGCCTTCTTGGATGGCGTTGGATCTTTGTTTCCCTTGGAGGTTTTTGATCCCATTGTTCTATGGGTCACGAAATTTTCGAGTATGGGCAACTTGTTGTCCATCAATTTGATAATACTCAAATCTTCATCCTTCCCTTTTACTTGTATGTACTTCTGCTTGTCCATTGCTTTCAAGAATTTGGCAGTTTTCTTCCAGGAGGTCTTCTTGATGTTACAATAGCTTGGGTCAAGAACTGGCAAGTTCTTGTAGATGTAAGAGGCCATGAAGTTGGATGCAGTTATTGGTAATTCTATGGTTTCGGTTTTGATAGTTTGAAGGAGGGAACGCGTGAAGAAGTTGTCAATTTCCTCGACAGTGAGTTCGGCAATTTCGGAGGCGAGCGAGTCCACATCATCCTCTCCTTCTTCCTTGTCTATCGATTGAGCATCGGTCTGCTCTTGTGTATCAGCACCATCCTCATCGTCTTGTGGCTCTTCTGGAATGATTGGCGTGGCTAAGTCGACCTCTTCAGGAATATCAATGTCAACGAGCTTGTTGAGCTTGTACAATTGGTCGTTAATGGTATGCAAGAGTTCAACTGCCACACCGGTGGTGCCTATGACTCGGTCGAAAGAGCTGATGTCCATTTTGCAGATACCTACACCCTTGATGACAGTTGGATGAGCAGTGTCAACCACACCTACGATGGCGCCCTTGACCAACCTGGGGTTGAAAGGGGGAATTGTGCCAGGCAACATCAAGTCGGCACCTCCCTCGAGAATTTCAATCACATGGGGATGGGTCTTGATCAATGGCAACACATAGGGGTTTCTCCATACCGTGAACAACGAGGGATATACCTGGGAGTCCCTAGTCTTGAACCAGATGGGAGTTTCGTTTTCGTCGTAGTAGATGCTGCCGCTGAATCCCTGGATGCTCTTAAAGCTCGCCAATTTTGTTTCTGAAGGCACGAGCTTGTTGATGGCCTCTTTGTCGAGCTTGTCCTGAGGGATGCCATATAATTTGCACACGTTCTCCACGAGCTTTCTGCGCTCGGAGTTCTTGATGTTGGCCGAGGCCTTGGGTTGGGGGTCCTTTTTGAACATGGGGTATGACAGTTATGGCGTGTGACAGTTCTTGTGCTTGGTACTTATCAACCGGGAATTTCTGTAGAGTCTAACTTGCGAAGTCAGGTGTGTGATTTTCAGCGGGTGTTCTATTCTATGCGATGAGCAGCCACGTCACAGAGCACTATCTTCAACTAGATCAACTGTCCAGTCGCCTTCAGACCAGTTCTGGTTGCGAGAGTTGCGATGTCTGGGACCGCGCGACATTTCGGGTGTCGCGTCGCCCGCGCCAATGTATACCACTGATTTGTTGTCTACAGGCCAGCTAACATATACAGCGCCGTTTACCAATGACTAGCCCTGCCACCACCACGGATAGCGCCAGGTCCAACGTCACCTTCATCAGAAGGACCATTGTGGCCATCGTGTTCGTGATGTTGGTCTCGCTAGGATATCCTTTGGTGATGTCTACCACTACTGTGTACCGGGCGGAATTACCAACACAAGAAGTCACGACGTTGGCTAACAATTTCAAGCACGAGCTTCACTTTAGGATCCCTGTGTTCCTCGACATACCGAATGGATTGGAGCATTTTATCTCCAGTGCCCAAAGCTCGGTGGACGAGTACTTGTACGCAAAGCATCCAGAGTTGAAGGGTTTCTGGGGGTTGGACCTCCAAAGGCTTCAGGGAGAAAAGAACGAGGAGGAAGACTACATTCTTAGGTTTGATATCATAGACAAAGATGCCAACGAAGACGCCAGCGAGTCGTTTTTCATCTCTCCATTCAGCAGGGCTACCACGTTGGGTTTGACCACCTCCCTCATTAATGCCAACAAGGTTGACGAGTTCTTGCGCATCATTCTCCTCGACGAGATCTTTGGCCAAGAGATCCAACAATTGAGCAACTTGGTGCTCGAAGCGCCCCATCCATCTCTGCAAACAGACGTGGTCATACCCTATTCTCCAAAGTACAACGTTGTTTTTACCCTTTTGACAGAAAACGGCAAAACAATCGAGTGGGATATAGAAAAAGCAATTGACTTGTTCCAACCAGCTTTCCACAAGCTTCAGCATTTCACCAACTTTTCCATCAATACTCAGATCCAATACTACTCAAAACCATCTACTGAGATCGCTTTCAACGAGGAACAAAACTCGTATATTATCACCCCAGAAAGTTTGTCTACATTCATAAATTTTGGAGACTGGAACTTAATCACTCATGACATTTTGCCCACCATCAACTTTTTGGTGTTCTTCCCAGAATCAAATTACGATGGAATCAAGACAATTATCGACAAGTCTTCCACTAACTCATTCTTGGTTCCTCAATGGGGAGGTGTGAAGATTTTGAATAAAGATATGCCCATCTTGAAAGACTCTACCGTTTCCATTCATGAGGACGAGTTATTGCCCATAATGGAAATCTTCACATCTCAGCTCTATCAATTGTTAGGAGCGCCAGAGGCACCCAAATCTCCTAATATCAGAGTTGACATTTTGTCAAGAATTGCATTTGTGAAGAACATTGGCAAATCGTTAGAGACCCTCAAGTCCTTGATCAAATTAACCGAATCGTTGAATGAAATCTCTGTCCCGGAAACAACTAAAAATTATGTCAATTTATCGCTTGATGCAATCAAGAAGTCATTTGCATACTTGAATAATGAGCAAAACTACGGATTAGCAATGTCTTTGTCTGCAGATGCACTTAAGTTCTCAGACAAAGCATTTTTTGAAAAGGAAATGGTGCAACAAGCATATTTCCCTAGTGAGCATAAGTTGGCTGTGTTTTTGCCATTGCTTGGTCCCGTAGGATCAATAGTTTTCTTGGGGTTCTTGAAGGTGCTTCTGGATAGAAGGAAAGAAAAGAGGGACGCGGTTAAGAGAGAGAAAACCGAATGATTGATACATCAATTGTGCGTTTGTGGTTTAATCAGGCCAAACATGCTAGAATCCTGTATTTAAAAGTTACATAGCAATTCCATTTTACAACAATATTCCAGTTCCGTTGCGGATATTCGATTTAATTGCTAAGTCTTTCGTGTCTACTAAACTTGAGACTTTCGGTTGTAGATGTAGTGATTCGGTAATGCGAGGGACAATCTCAGCAAGATGAGTCAAGTACGGCTAATCACTCCAAAAGATGGCAGAATGTAGGAATAGGTCAGAGGTTGTAAATTTGCAATATGTTAACAAGACTTGTGTAACGAATCACAATAATATCTTACTCAAGCAATTGTCTTCACTGCCAAGATGGTAAAATTTCAAGAATTTAGAAATTCTATAAAGTTCACAATATCTGTGGAATTTTTGGACAAAAGTTGAAAAATTGAGTATTTGCACCATTTTTTAAAAAACAAAAGAATCAAAGCGACCCCTCATCACTACTCACCCTCTTCGTGGAAACTAGTGGCATTTATCCAATTCATCAGGGGTGAATTTCGCAATAATGTTTATTTATTATTTATCTGGTACAATACCACTGGGTTGTGCCATACCACTTCACGTACTCCGTAGCCCAAATTCAAGCCTCAAAATACTACCAAAGTGGCACGTAATCTTCTTCTTCGATCACTAAGTCATAACATCATTACTCGTAGTGCCATACCCACCAAGCTGACATTTTGCAACTCAGTCCATTGGCCAGTAATTTCGCAGTAACTCTCGCGATGCCCCAAAACGTGCAACGCTCACTGACATCGTAAACTACCAGAAACACTATTCTAGACATAGCCATGGGCAAATTATTAGTCAACTCGCTAGGTTTAGGTACCGTGGGTATCGCCTCATACTTCTGGGGCCGGTCCTCAGCCCCAGCCACGACTGTCACCGCTGACAAGATGGTTCCTGTGCCAGTAAACGGTGGACCAAATGGCGTGTCATCGTTTGATCCATCGACAATCAGACCACAAGATTTCTTTAAGTACGGGTTCCCAGGCCCTATCCATGACTTGGAAACCCGTCTGGAATTCGTCAGCTGCTACGATCGTTCGACACGTAACCCATACTGGGTTGTGGAACATGTTACTAAAGACTCGATTAAGTCCAACAAGTCTGTGGACAGAAAGAACTCCGTGTTCAAGGAAGATGAGGGAATTCCAGCCAAGTTCAGAAGCAGATTGAGAGACTACTTCCGTAGTGGGTACGACAGGGGCCACAACGCTCCCGCTGCCGATGCCAAGTACACCCAGCAGGCCATGAATGAAACCTTCTACTTGAGCAATATCGCCCCTCAGGTGGGTGACGGGTTCAACAGAGACTACTGGGCCCACTTCGAGGACTTTGCAAGAAGATTGACCCAGAAGTACGACAGTGTGCGTATCATGACTGGTCCATTATACTTACCCAAGAAATGCGCTGACGATAAGTACAGAGTGACCTACGAAGTCATTGGATCACCTCCAAACATCGCTGTTCCTACCCACTTCTTCAAGTTGATTGTGGGAGAGAAGAACGGCCAAGAGGACATCAGTGTGGGTGCCTTCGTGTTACCCAACGACGTGATCGACAATTCGACTCCATTGACCCAGTTCCAAGTTCCTGTGGAGGCCTTGGAAAGATCGAGTGGGTTGGACTTGTTGGCTAAGGTGCCATACTTTAGAAAGAAGGATTTGTGCAGAGAAGTCAAGTGTGACATTATCGTGAGGGAGTTCCCAAAGAACCCACAACCACCAAAGGGCTTACCATCGCCAAAGTGATGGTTTGTAAATAGCATAGATGAAGAAATAGAGCTCATCAATATTCCTCAATGTAGAGAAGATCCAAAGTATTGCATTATTGGTGCGTATAGATGATTTCATTTGCCAGAATGGTAAATACGGGGTATGCATTGCACTCGAAACATTATTGAGATAAATTATTGAGATACACTTGGTGCTTTTAGAGGCCCAAGAGCTGAAGACCCATACATGTGGAAATGGCTACTCTGTATACGGAGAAATCACCAGCTTTTACTGTAATTGAGTGAATGAGAGATGTAAACCCGAAAGCCTTAATTCTGTGTAAACGAACTTTGTACAGATTGTGTATCATAATGTAGAACTACTAGAGGTTTATGCTAAGGCTTGAGAAGAAAGATTACTGTTTCTGAGAGCACTACAAAAGAAGATGAAGAGGAAGAAGAATACAACACGAAAATACCTGAAGATGGAAAGACTATCAAGAAAGCAGCAGAATTAGGAGGTATCAGCAACTTGATGGCCTTCGACGTCTTCAAGGTCTCTGATATTTGTGGTTCTTACATTGCTTTGTGAGTTCCATTCGTATGATCTTTGTTTGGGTATCGGTATTGTACAGCTTACTTAGATGGGGTGCTTTGTTGGTTAGCCGTTGTTGCATTCTTCACATTGATCTACACCATCGGTAAATTTGTCCATGAGAAACAAATAAAAATGTTGGCTGTTACCGATAGATAAATCCCAAAAGCTTAGCGAATTAATCCCTATCACCAGAATTCTTAATTTTAGGGTAGCTTAGAGAATAGCTATGAAGATTTGGTAAATTGCATTTGGAGCACCTTTCTCCTTCTCCTGGTTGTACGGCATTCAAAGGAAGTCGTGTTTCCAGACAGTCTGGGGAAACAAAAAAGAGTTTACGTTGTTCAATACGTGTAGTATCTATCACTGCTATTACGATTATGGAGCTGGTCCGTCTGAAAATGTGCCTCACATTACTAATGTCTACCTGACCACCAGGATGAATCACAGGAAATTGGCTACCTTGAGAGCATTTCTGTCCTTAATTCTGTAGTTTCAACACACAACCATATACAGTAGGAGTATACATGCTGACCAGGTAAAGATGTGTCTAAGTGAGTATTCTTAAGCTAAAATGTTTCACTAAGCTAGTACTGGTTCGGTTTCGGCTCTTTTTCAACAGTCAGAAATCGTTTTTGATCTATTTCACCAGTAATTGGCCTTAGCATAGGAAGATCTATCTGATCCATGCACCAGGGGTGATTCATCTGGCTTATCATGGCTGCAGAACCGTCTCAGCCGCACCACCGGTTGGATGATCTGGCCGTGGTTCGGAGAAGTTTCCGGCTCCGAAGCTCCGACTCAACCGCCCACAATAGGCTACCGCCCACAATAACCGCCCACAATAGGCAGGGTCCAGTGACTGTTCGGGAAGGACCCACACGTGACCTATTGTCGCGTCCGCCAGCGGCCGCCCAGATCAGGCCATCCCAACGAGCCAACGGCCTAATTGGGACACGTGACCTCGCTAAAAAGGGCTGTAGCCAAAGAGGCTGGGCGGGACTCCCACAGCCACGAAACAGCCCACGCCACCCACAAACCCCTACGGCATCCACGGCACCCACAGAAGCCCCACGAACAAGCAACGTTTGGGCCGCCCACATCCTTACCACCACCAGTGTCGCCCTCCTCCCTGTTCTCGTATCCTCCACATTTGCACCCGCAGTAGCCCAAAATCAAGAGGCCAACAAAACGCAGGCGCGGGCTCCGAACCGCGCATATCGACACCGTCGACACCATCTCCAGAATGTTGGGAGTACTGCACCCAGCCGGACCAACACAATAGTGGTCACATGGTCGCCGCCGGCGTCCCGCCTGGACACCCACATCTTGGTGTGGAACCGCCAATGGCACCTCCTGAAAGCACACCTGGGGAGGATGCCTCCTGCACACAGCCATTTTGCAACAATTGACCCGTTGGGTACTCCGGGATCCGCGACCGTTGGGACTGGTCTCGTTGTCTCTGCGCCAACTCCCAGGCCTGGCACCACCAGTAGTACCCCAGCAGCACCACCACGCCCACCTCACCTGGCATCTCTGCCCCTTGCCCTTTCCCCGGACTCCCCAGACCCACCCAACCACGCATTCCCCTTATCCAACAAACTAAGAAAAATTGCACAAAAATTTGTGCGTGTCAACCCATCAATTTTATACATAGAGGATATATAACGGGCGTAGATCGGGGCCTCCACTTCCGTGAAGAGTGTTTTTTTTCATAGCTGTATTCTCGTACCACATTTTGAATACACTTGAACCAGATAGGATTGTCATTTGGCTGTCAATTCCCATACCCACCCGGAAGATAATAGAAAGTCGTCACCCAGCGCACCCCCACACAGCATAATAATAGACCATGTCCAATACCTCGTCCCATCGTCCGTTTTCCCTTAACCACGGCACCATCGAACACACCTTCTTGGTGCCAAACGACTTGTTCTTCAACTACTCCCAGTTGAAGGACCAGTTCATCAGAACCTTGCCTGCCGTCACCGAGGGCTTTGCCGACGATGACGAACCTGCCTCCCCTGCCGAGTTGTTCGGTAAGTTCTTGGGGTTCATCGCCTCGCTTGTCGACCCAAAGAAACCAGGCCAATTTGACCAAATACTCAAATTGTCCTTGCAAGACTTTGACTCCACCTTCTTGACTGGCTCAACCGATATCCACTCCTTTGCAGTTCTGTTGTTATCGGAAGAAAAATCCGCTTACCCAACCACCCCCGCCAAAATCAAAGAAAATGTGGTCAAGCACTACTACACCGCCTTAATCAACTCTAATACCAAAATCGAAAAAATCGAGTCCAACTTGTTGTACCACACCAAGACCGATGCTAAGATGGTGGCTATTTTCGGTGGTCAAGGTAACACCGACGACTATTTCGAGGAATTGAGAGAAACTTACAAGTTATACAGAGGCCTCATCCACGACGACTTAGTTGCTCCAATCGCCAACAGATTGACCCAGTTGATCAAGAAGAACTCTTCGGATCTCGACAAGGTCTACACCCAAGGTTTGGACATCCTTTCTTGGTTGTCCAACCCCGACAAGACCCCAGATCAAGACTACTTGCTCTCTGTTCCAGTCTCTTGTCCTATGATCTGTACCATCCAATTATGTCACTACGCCATCACCTGTAAGGTTTTGGGCTTAACTCCTGGTGAATTCAGAGATTACTTGGCTGGTGGCGGTTCAACCGGTCACTCTCAAGGTCTTGTCACCGCCGTGGCAATCGCTTCATCTGACTCTTGGGAATCTTTCTTGGAAAACGCATTGAAGGCGGTTTCTCTTTTATTCTTCATTGGTGCCAGATGTTTGACCACTTACCCAAGAACCACCTTGCCACCAACTATGTTACAAGACTCTCTTAACAACGGTGAAGGTAGACCTTCCCCAATGTTGTCAGTCAGAGATTTGTCCATTGACCAAGTCAACAACTTCATCGAGCAAACTAACAAGCACTTGCCTCAAGACAAGCATATTGCCATCTCTTTGATTAACGGTGCAAGAAACTTGGTTGTCAGCGGTCCTCCAGAATCTCTCTACGGTTTCAACTTGAACTTGAGAAACAACAAGGCTCCTAATGGTTTGGACCAATCTAGAATTCCTCACTCCCAAAGAAAGTTGAAGTTTTCTAACAGATTCTTGCCAATCTTCGCTCCATTCCACTCTCACCTTTTGAGTGATGCCACTGACTTGATTTTGGAAGATATTGCCAATGAAAACTTGAGCTTCGCTAAGGCTGCAATCAAGATTCCAGTTTTCGACACTTACAACGGTCAAAACTTCCAATCATTTGATGAATCCGAAGAAAAGATCACCGATAGAGTTGTTAAGTGTATCACCCAATTGCCAGTTCACTGGGAAGATGCTACTAACTTTGAATCCACTCATATCTTGGATTTCGGTCCAGGTGGTGTCTCTGGTTTAGGTGTCCTTACTCACAGAAACAAGGAAGGTACTGGTGCCAGAGTTATCATTGCTGGAACTCTTGACTTGGTTGCCATTGATGATGAATATGGATTCAAGCATGAAATCTTCCAAACTACCGCTTCTAAGGCCATCAAGTTTGCTCCAAACTGGTTAAACGAGTTCCAACCAAAGTTGGTCAAGACCAAAGAAGGTAAAACCTACGTTGACACCAAGTTCTCCAAATTATTAGGTAGAGCTCCTCTCATGGTTCCAGGTATGACTCCAACTACTGTCAACCCTGACATTATCATTGCATCTATTAATGCAGGTTACCACATCGAATTAGCTGGTGGTGGTTACTTCAGTGGCCCTGGTTTCGAAGCTGCCATTCAAAAGATTGTTAACAACATCAAGCCAGGTTTCGGTATCAGTGTTAACCTTATTTACGTTAACCCAAGAATGTTACAATGGGCTATTCCATTAATCAAAGATTTGAGAGAAAGAGGATTCCCAATCCAAGCTTTGACCATTGGTGCTGGTGTTCCATCGATTGAAGTTGCTTCTGAATACATTACTGACTTAGGTTTGACCCATTTGGGCTTGAAGCCAGGATCTGTTGAAGCCATCAGTCAATGTATTGCAATTGCCAAAGCTCACCCAACCTTCCCAATTGTTTTGCAATGGACCGGTGGTAGAGGTGGTGGTCACCATTCCTTCGAAGATTTCCACCAACCTATCTTGCAAATGTACTCCAAGATCAGAAGATGTTCTAACATTATCTTGGTTGCTGGTTCTGGTTTCGGTTCTCACGAAGACACTTACCCATACTTGACAGGTTCCTGGTCTAAGAAGTTCAACTACCCACCAATGCCATACGATGGTGTTCTTTTCGGATCTAGAGTTATGACCGCCAAGGAAGCCCACACTTCATTGGACGCTAAGAAGTTGATCGCTCAATGTGCTGGTGTTCCTGATGACAAGTGGGAACAAACCTACAAGAAGCCAACTGGTGGTATTATTACCGTTTTATCTGAAATGGGTGAACCAATCCACAAGATTGCAACCAGAGGTGTTATGTTCTGGAAGGAATTGGACGACACTATTTTCAACTTGCCAAAGAACAAGCGTGTTGAAGCCTTGACCAAGAAGAAGGACTACATCATTGAAAAGTTGAACAAGGACTCCCAAAAGCCATGGTTCGGTAAGAACGCAAGTGGAGTCTGTGACTTACAAGATATGACTTACCAAGAAGTTGCTCTCAGAATGGTCGAATTGTTGTATGTCAAGAAGTCTCAAAGATGGATTGATGTTTCTTTGAGAAACTTTTACGGAGATATCTTGAGAAGAATCGAAGAAAGATTCACTACTGTTGCCGACTCTGTTTCTTTGATCCAAAACTTCTCCCAATTGCAAGAAAACCCAGCTCAATTCACTACTGCCTTCTTCAACAAGTTTGAATTGGCCAAGGAACAATTGATTTCTGAGGAAGATTGTGACTACTTCTTGACTTGTGCTTCCAGACCAACCCAAAAGCCAGTTCCTTTTGTCCCAGTCTTAGATGACAGATTCGAATTCTTCTTCAAGAAAGATTCTTTATGGCAATCTGAAGACTTGGAAACTGTCATTGATGCTGATGTTCAAAGAACCTGTATCTTACACGGTCCAGTTGCTGCTCAATACACCAACAAGGTTGACGAGCCAATTGGTGAAATTTTGGACAACATCCACGAAGGTCACATTGCTGCTTTGATCAAGGATGTCTACAATGGTGACGAATCCAAGGTTCCAGTTGTTGAATACTTTGGTAGCAAAGAGCCAGTCAAGTTTGACTCTGCTATCTCTGGTGTTAAGATCACCGAATCCTCTAAGGACAAGGTTGTTTATGAGATTGGCTCAGTTGTTCCTGACGCCAATGAATGGTTGCAATTCTTGGCTGGTGACAAACTTAACTGGTTACAAGCCTTCATTTCTACTGACAGAGTTGTCCAGGGATCCAAGCACGTTTCCAACCCAGTTCACGATATCTTGAAGCCAGCTGCCAACTCTGTTGTTGAAATTGCCCACCCAGGTGACGAAACTAAGACTGAAGTTACTGTCTTTGAAGGAATCAAGGGTGACTTGAAGCCAGTTGTTGAAATCAAATTAATTAAGCAAAACACCATTCAATGTTCTTTAATCGAACACAGAACTTACGACTCTAAGCCAATCGCTTTACCATTCTTGTTCACCTACAACCCTACCGATGGTTTCGCTCCAATCTTGGAAGTTATGGGTGACAGAAATGATAGAATCAAGGAATTTTACTGGAAATTATGGTATGGTTCTGAAGTTCCATTTGACTTGGACTTTGACGCTCGTGAAACTATCATCGGTGATGAGGTTGCCATTACTGGACAAGACATTTCTGAATTCACTCATGCTATCGGTAACAAGTGTGAAGCCTTTGTTTCTAGACCAGGTAAGCAAAGTTTGGCTCCAATGGATTTCGCGATTGTTGTTGGATGGAAGGCTATCATCAAGGCCATTTTCCCTAAGAGTATCGATGGTGATTTATTGAAGTTGGTTCATTTGTCTAACGGTTACAAGATGGTTCCTGGTGCTTCTCCATTAAAGCAGGGCGAAGTTATTACTTCCAAGGCTGAAATCAAGGCTGTTCTTAACCAAGCTTCTGGTAAGATGGTCGAAGTTGTCGGCACTCTTTACAGAGAAGGTGAGCCAGTAATGGAAGTTACTTCCCAATTCTTGTACCGTGGTGAATACAGTGACTACGAAAACACTTTCCAAAAGGTCGCTGAGACTCCTGCTCAAATCTCTTTGAACTCCTCCAAGGATTTGGCTATCTTGAAGTCCAAGGAATGGTTCCACTTGGAAGAGGATGTTGAATTACTCAATACCGTTTTGACTTTCAGATGTGAATCCACTTACCATTTCCAATCTGCTGAAATTTATTCCTCCATTGAGACTACCGGTCAAGTCTACTTAGAATTGCCAACAAAGGAAGTTATTCAAGTTGGTGTTGTTGAATACGAAGCTGGCAAGTCATATGGTAACCCAGTCACTGACTACTTGACTAGACACGGTAAGACTATTGAAGAAGCTGTCACCTTTGAAAATGCTATTCCAATTTCTTTCGGTGAGGAATTAACTTCTAAGGCCCCAGGTACCAACGAGCCATATGCCAAGGTTTCTGGTGACTACAACCCTATTCACGTTTCCAGAGTGTTTGCTGAATACGCCAAGTTACCAGGTACTATCACACATGGTATGTACTCTTCTGGTTCCATCAGATCTTTAGTTGAAGAATGGGCTGCCAACAACATTGCCTCCAGAGTTAGAGCTTTCAAGTGTGATTTTGTTGGAATGGTTTTGCCTAACGATACCTTGCAAACTACTTTAGAACACGTTGGTATGATCAACGGTCGTAAGATCATCAAGGTTGAAACCAGAAACGTGGAAACTGACGCTCCAGTTTTGGTTGGTGAAGCCGAAATTGATCAACCAATCACTACTTACGTTTTCACTGGTCAAGGTTCCCAGGAACAAGGTATGGGTATGGACTTGTACAAGACTTCTGAAGTTGCTCGTGATGTTTGGGACAGAGCTGATCGCCACTTTGTTGACAACTATGGTTTCTCCATTCTTGACATCGTTCAAAACAATCCAAATGAATTGACCATTCACTTTGGTGGTGCCAAGGGTAGAAAGATCAGAGACAACTACATTGGTATGATGTTCGAAACTATCGGTGATGATGGTGAAGTCAAGTCTGAGAAGATTTTCAAGGAAATTGACCACACCACAACTTCTTTCTCTTTTGTTTCTCCAACTGGTTTATTGTCTGCTACCCAATTCACTCAACCTGCTTTGACCTTGATGGAAAAGGCTGCGTACGAAGACATCAAATCTAAGGGATTGGTCCCATCTGATGTTATGTTCGCTGGTCACTCTTTAGGTGAATATTCTGCTTTGTCCTCCATTGCCAATGTTATGCCTATTGAATCTTTGGTTGACATTGTTTTCTACAGAGGTATGACCATGCAGGTTGCAGTCCCAAGAGATGAGTTAGGAAGATCTAACTATGGTATGGTTGCCGTTAACCCAAGCAGGGTCAACCCAACCTTTAGTGAACCAGCTTTGAAATTTGTTATTGAAGAAATTTCTGGAAAGACTGGTTGGTTATTGGAAATTGTCAACTACAATGTTGAGAACCAACAATATGTCGCTGCCGGTGACTTGAGAGGATTGGACACTTTAACTAATGTCTTGAACGTTATCAAGTTGAACAAGATTGATATTGTCAAGTTGCAAGCTACTTTGTCCTTGGATGAAGTCAGAGGTCACTTGAAGGAAATCATCACCGAAGTGGCTGCCCAATCTGTTGCTAAGCCACAACCAATTGATTTGCAAAGAGGTTTTGCAGTCATCCCATTGAAGGGTATTTCTGTTCCATTCCACTCTTCTTACTTAATGTCTGGTGTCAAGCCTTTCCAAAGATTCTTATGCAAGAAGATTCCACAATCATCCGTTAAGCCAAACGACTTGATTGGTAGATACATTCCAAACTTGACTGCCAAGCCATTCGAAATTACCAAAGAGTACTTCCAAGAAGTTTATGATTTGACTAAGTCCGAAAAGATTTTGTCCATCATTAACAACTGGGAATCTTACGAGTCAGCATAGTTACTTAATTCCGTGGTACGAATTAATCCTTATTGCTTCCTCCTTGTACATATTTTGATTGGACTTATTTTTGTTTTGGTATTTTACAAGCTATGAAATTTGTTAGATTTACTTCGCTTCATTGACCTGGTCAATGTCGCTAATGATTAAGAGGGAATGCGGGTACGTGGTACTACCTTCATTCTCTTCAAATGTTTTCCTTAAAGGATATTTATATAATTAGGATACAATAATAATATTTATAAGTGTGAACTTGAGTAGCTTACATTCGTCTATCATTCGATCTTAACTTGATGCTGGTTTTCTAGGATTCAAAAGTTCCATTAAAGAATTTAAATGTCAACTGGGGAGTGAAACCAATTCCGAATTACTTCGAACCGCTCAGTGAAACCTTATAAAGTATTATTTGGTAACGTGTATTGTTTGATGTAATGACAGAAGGATAAAAATCGACAATCTTGTCGCTTACAAACCTGTTGCTAGAGGACTAGAAATATTCACTGGAGTAAATTTCTTAGGTAAGGATACCCTGGAGAATCTTGACTTTAATCTTTGTGTTACAAGGTCCATGTCCAAGTGCCTTGTTAAACTAATTCTTGGAATACAACCAATGTAATGGTCATCATCCAATTGAACATCTAATGGATCTTGGGTATGACAACCTGGTGATAATGACAATCTAATGGAGTGTTTCTTTCCACTAGGGCTTGTTGGATCACCGGCTTCGTACAATTCAAATACAATTTGGGATAAGTAGTCCAACTCAGGCAAGGCATTCCTAGCGATTTTCATTGGGAACTTAGACCCATAGATCACATTCAACAATGTGTAGATATGCGATTCCTTGGTGAAGTAATTGACCACAGCAGCAGTATCATGTTTCTTCATATCTTGGATATCAGACAAGATCTGCTTTGCTAAGGGCAACGATGTCAATAACCCGATATCCAATTTTTCTTCGTCCTTAATACCATATTCTTGAGGACAGATGAAATCAAACAAAACCTTAGATAATCTGTATAATTCTCTCAATCTAGCAAAAGTAGGGTGATCGAACGGATTCTCGTGCGACTTGGAGTTAGTAGACTTCTTAGAATTGGCATCGTTGTTGTTGGAAGAATCCTTGACTGTTGATGTAGCACCCTTCAAAACCCAACCCAAAGAACCAGCAGATGCTGGAGTGCTTGATGAAGTAATGTTAGCAAGATTACTATGTGAATTGCTCTGTGTTGAGGTTGGACTTGAGTTATTTGTAGGTACATTAATTGGCGCAGAAGCGTTGTCAGGAATCTTAAAGTTGTTCATGGCCAAAATGTTAATTGGATACTCGCTAACCAAACCCGAGGAGTTGATGGTATCGCCACAAGTTTCACCCAAAATCTTCAAGAGTTCTTCATCATTTGGATCGAAAGAAAAAATCTTCTCCAAAAAGTGCCTGTTATGTAAGGCATCATACTTCATGGTGTCATACAATTCTGAAATCTTAGAAGGATGGGTTTTTTCAACACTGAGGAATTCCAGGAACAATTTATCCCATCTTTCCCTGAATAAGAATGGGTCTTCGCCACAACACCAGTTTTGTTGGAATTCTTGGACGTTCTTCTTCTTGAAGTTATATTCCATGATTTGACGATGGAAATTCATCAATTGGCAAACACGCTTGATGACTTCAAAAGGCTGGGGCATTTTGGGAGGCCAAGTGAAGTGCGCAGGGGCTTCGGCACCTTGTCTCAATAAAGGCTTCAACTTCTTTTTCACTTTATCCATCAAGTCCTTGGCAGCATTTGAGTCGTCCAACAAATCTTTTCTGACAATCAAGAAGTCATCAGGCAAACTTTCTTCATCATAACCTAATAAAGCTTGAGTGGAAAGTCTTGCACTAGCAATTACTCTTCTTTCAGATGAAGTGAAGACCTTGACATCCTTCAAAGCATCACGATTAAGCAATTTGATGTATTGTCTCAATTGTTCACCAACATCGGTTGCTTGATGCTTGGCAGAATGAGTAGGTTCTCCACCCCATTTCAAAATCAATTGAACCTTGTCAACAATTTCAGGGTTCTCACTATTAAGGGCTGGCTTTAATTGAATTTTAGTTCCTGGGAAGTTCATCTTCTTTTCCAACGCACCTCTTAATTGTTTCAACTTTTTCAAGTCTTCTAATTTCTTCTCTTCAGCAATTTTGACAGTTTCTAATACAACTTGTAAATCAGCAACAGCTCTAATGATGACCTCCTCTCTATGACCTTTAAGCAATGAAATGAAAAGTGGGGATCTGAATGAGTATTTGAATTTTTGCTTTGGTGTACGATCGGCATGTCTGATAACTGAAACCATTCCTTTGAAAACCCATTTCTGTTCTTTTTCTTCGAATTGACTCTTGTTGAGCAACTTTGACAGGTGAGGAATAGTCGTTTTCAATAAGTCACGGCTCTTCTTCGCTTGAATGAAGAGATCTCTCAATATACTAGCACAAGAATCATAGTATTCATTGTTGTCCTTCACAAACGAGAACCCATTGACATCGATAACATATGATTCGCCATTCACTCTTAACAAATCAAAACCACAGATAGTTTGCTTGAAAATTTCGGAGACGTTTCTGGCCATCGTCTTTTCCTTGTCACTCAATTCCGTGATAAATCTGATTTCCTTACCATGGGTGTTACGTCTGACAATACCGTCAACGACAGGAGACTTACGGGTTTCAGCATGGCAGAACTTGGGCCCCACAGTGTAAGCCTTCACATCTTCAAAATTGTCGGTGTCCATGAACTTTTCATAGATGTAGGAACCTTCAGTTCTTGGAGTACTTAAGTCAGGATCAAACTCAGACGATTTGTTACCTATTTTTCTGAACAATCTTCTACCACCTCCACCGGTTGATTTGGGGTAGTATATATAGACATTGTGATCTTCACCGTCGACTGGCTTCTCAACGTATGGTTTGTGCAAGATCTTGTCACCAACTCTGAGGGTATCTTCGTCAACCATCTCCCAGTCTGGTTCGTCTTGGTCGGTTAAACTGGTCAATTGTTGTTCTGACATACCAGCTGCTCTCAACTTTTCTCTTAATTCATCTTCAATATGGGGACCACCATCTCTGCTGATTTCCAATCTGTCTGGGGTAGGAACGCTAGCGTGGTTCAAGATGTTCAACACCAATCTTCTGTCCCAAAGGGCTTTCTGGAAAACCAAATCGTTGATGATGTAAGGCTTACGGTAGTTGACGTAAGAGATAGCCTTGTCAAGGGGAAACCCAGTGGAAAAGAAACTGACCAAGAAGTCACAGGTGGGCCAGTTTTCAATGGCTTCATCCAAAATGACCTTGTCACCGAAAATGATAGTTTCGAACTCGCCATTTTCGATCAAACGATTAAGGATTCTTCTGCACGGCTTGGACATGACCTTGGCGTCCATGGCACAGACTCCGATCTTGCCGATCTTGGGAAGTCTGGGCCCGTAGGGCTCCTTGATGCCCGACTTTCTGGAGGTGTTGGAGGAGTTGGACACCGTTTTCAGCAATCGGTGGTGCTCGTGGAGGGCGCTACTGGAGGACGACGAGTCAGATCTGGCCTTGGAGTCGTTGAACTCCAAGTTGTCTGCGGTCAACTTGTCGCCACTGTCGGAGGGCAACGACTCGTGCTCCAAAATAGCGAGGTTGACTGGGGAGGCATCGTGGGGATCGAGACCGCCAGAGTCTTCGGCCGAGGTTTTGGGAGCAAAGCTTTCAAGCATGGGAGCAATGGAAGCGATGGCCTTTTCTGTTGCGGGAGACGCCAACGGCTGGTGGATACTCAAAAGAGAAGGCTTTCTCTTGGAAGAGATGTCGGAGTCAGAGTCACCAGGAAATTGGGTGGTGTCGGAAAGCGACAAAGGAGACATTGGCTGGTTGATTTTCTGCTGAAGCTGGTGAGTGAGGTGAGACTTGGAGGCGCCCGGCCCAGACGAGGGGGCGTCGGACTCTCTTTCAGACATGGTGGGTGCAGAAGAAAACGTGTGCTAATAGATGCTGAAATTTGATGTGTGCGGCGGAAAACGTTTTGATAACGCCTGGAGAACAAAAGTGAACAGAAAATTGGAAAATAGAACATATTAAGTTGGGCCAGCTGGATTGGGCTGATATGGAGATGGAGTTTTACTGGTTGCGTTTCGCTGGTAGAGACTCGGGCGAGGACTCTAGTAGAGGCTCTGGTGGAGGCTCTGGTGGAGTGCCGTCCGGGTCCTTTTGGGCTGGAATCGCTATCTATGGGCCATCTGTGGAGTCAGCCTCGCACCAACAAAATGGCCAACAAATGAAGCCATGACTCTGAGTCGAGGAATGTGACTATTGGAGTCACGTAACAGTGGACTCAATGGTGGGTTGGGTTGAGAGACTGGAAGTTATGATTGGTAGACTCAATGGTTTGACTATGAGTACTTAATGGGCGATATCCACAGTTTCAATGCAAAGTCAGTATTGGATTAGGTGAATTGGTAATGCATTGGTAAATTGGCCCCACCCACTCCAGTCACATAATGAATTATATACTTGTAACTGCGATTGTATGGTCGTAGGATCTACTAGGAGCCACAACACTCCGGTCGACTGTGAAGTCCTGCTCGCTCTCCATATCCCTCCAAAACGGCTACACTAATAATTCCTCCTGTCAATAACTTCCCCAGAATGGTGACTAAAAAGATGTTTACCTCTTTAAATCCCAGTCAACATTCGTCACATACCATTTAGGCACACACCTTTCGTACCTGTTACTCAAAAATGGACACCTACTCTATTTATGGGATAAGTAATAATCATACCTCTTACTTAAAACTCTCCTACACTTATCATAGACTACGTCTATTAGGCTATATAGTAAGCTAGCCCGCTAGCTGTTGCTGTCTCCTGATTCACCGAGCTAACACCCGCTAAACCAGGCTACAGACTTTGATATACCAACGCTCCGTTAGTCCCATAATCCTATATTCTCGAAACGAGGGATTAAAGTCCTGCGACCCGGTGGTCGCATCGTTGGATGTTTACAATCACCTTCCGGTGATGCCAGTCAAACGTTTATTGGAATTATTCAATGGCAGCAAGTGAGTCAAACAACACCGAAATAGACTCTCCGAAGTGGTCCCTTCTGATGCACTCGGCGAAAATTGGGGACACATCGATCACCGTAAGCTTGTCGGCGTACTTTTCGATCCTCTCTTTGCCAATAGGATAGGTGTTCGTGACCACGATCTTGTCGATACACGAACTTTCGGTCAAGGACTCCAAGCACAAGTCGCTAAAGACACCGTGGGTCCCCACGACGTAGACAGCCTTGGCTCCACAGTTCAATCTCAAGTGTTCTGCCGCAGCGATGAACGAGCTGGGCTTGTCGATCATGTCGTCCAAGATGATAGCCACCTTGTTCTTGACGTCACCAACCAAGGTGATCAACTTCTCTTGGCTCAAGGAGGTGGGCTCGTCTTCGTCGTCGGAGTTGCCGGCGTCGTAGGAGCCTCCCAACACGTCACTGTCCAAGATAGCTTGGCGTTCCAAGTGGCTGGCGTCTTGCTTGACAGCCTGTTCCTTGGCAGGGTAATCGTCGTCCACAACGTGACCCTGGACAATTCTGGCGGTCTGAATTTCTGACACGATGTTGTCGTCCTCGTCGTCCTCATTGACCGACTGCTTCAAGGCCTTCTTCTTGGAGTACTGGTCCTGGGTACGACGTCTGTCAGTGTGTATCATGGCGAAGTTGATCTTTAAAGAATCAGCCAATGCAGTGACTCTTTTAGTACCACCGGGGTTTTTGGAAACCACCACTGCATTTTCCCAGTCGGAGATGTTATGACGGATCCATCTGGCCAAGGTGGGGGCGCCAAACAAGTTGTCGACGGGCTTGGTGAAGAAGCCTTGCATCTGTGACGCGTGCAAGTCCATGGAGACCACATGGTCGGCACCAGCCATCACCAACAAGTTGGCCAACATTCTGGCGGTAATGGCGCCTCTGTGCTTCTTCATCTTCGACTGCTTGGAGTATGGGAACTGGGGAATCACCGCAGTGATCTTGGAGGCAGAACCACCACGACAAGCAGATATCAAGATCAACAACTCCATGATATGATCGTTGATTTGCGGCGACCCTGATTGGATGATATACACATCCTCATCTCTGATGGATACACCAATCTGCACCGACGTTTCTCCGTTGGAGAACTTCTTCAAGGTGCAAGGCGCTGGTTCCACACCAAGCCTGTCACACACCAATTTACCCAATTCTGGGTGGGAGGAGCCCACGAAGACCTTACACTTCCGCATGGTATTGTTTGTAGTAGCACACACCTTGGAGGAGAGAGTTGTAGATAGGTTCCAGTGAGAGCAGGAACTTGTGTTGATTAGGTGAGTAAGCGAACCCAGTTGCCCCACAGTAGTGATATAGTGTCGAATATGGACTCTCTCTTGAAAGAAAAGTAAAGAGTAATTACTGCAACGGTAAAATTTTTGGCGATGAGTCTGTGTGCAGTTGCGGGTTGGGCCGCGGAACGGTGCCTAGTGGAGCTGGCTGCGAATTGGCTGAAAGGGGCAGGTTTGAGTGGTGTTTGGACGGTGGAGNTGCTGAAGGGAAAGATAACGACCAGTACACTCTTTTGAAGCTGTGCTTGGGGCCGTATTGGTGGTATTAGTGGGATGCCCCCCGTGCGGCTGTATGCAGGTCCAATAATCAACGTGCAACTTGCCAACAGTAGTGCCATGTGGTGGGTCGTTCCGTTCTACCTATTAGAGCCATTGGCCATTACAAAGACTACAAGTTCAATAACGGGTCCTGTGCCAAAATCGGTGCCTCGGTGCTATTTCTCTACTTCAAAGACTGAGTGCTGACTTAGCAGGCACGGTGCAGTATCGTCTGATAACCATCTCTATAGTTACCTTAACATTAAAATCGGGTGATTCTATAAATTAAAAACGATAATACTTAATTATTACAATTGTTACCACTGGTAATGCCGAATTATCCCATACCCTGGAATAACTGTAGTCATGGAGATATCTATGATGACTGAAAATGCTTGTAGTAATTGCAAAAATAAAGTCACGACCAATGCAAGGGCAAGGCAACCGGATTGTCAATCATATCTATGGTATGCTGTCCTATAATTTTATAAAACTATAGTTTTGTGTCTTGTCTTCATATTATGGTTGTCCTCTGACTTTCTACGACGCTAGCTCATGGCTACTGCCCAATAATGCTACATTGGGATTCTCCCTGGTCAAACAATTAAGGACGCTTTTAAACAAGATGTGTATAAGTAATACATCCCGAGATAGCCAACTGGTAAGATGTCAGTCCTTTGTCATCTAGGCATATATTTCCTTTGTCGCATTTTACTACGATTTTTGTGATGTTGTAGTGCTCACATAACCAAACCTATCTCATCTGAGCTCCTGCATACACCCTTGACCATCAGGATGTCAGAATACGTGGAGAACTATGAGCTTGAGAGGCCATCTGCTGCAGAGATCGAGACATTGGCCTGCGATGAGAACGTCATAAAGACCATAACCAAACTACAAGCTTTTCAGTCCCAGCTCCATGCCTCCAAATTCATCACAGAATGCCACCAGTCGTTACATCCCATCAAGCCCAAAGTATCCAGAATACGATGCCTTGCATTGGGATCGCCAGTGGGTAGCAAGAACGCATTGTATCAGCTTGCATTCTTAGCGGAACTTGCCAGTTTCTTGGGAATAAACGAAGTCTCGGTCTACGATCCTGTATTCACGAAGACTGACATATATCTCCTCGAGAACCACTTGAAGTATTCCGTGACCAAGGGTGGATTTGGCAAAGTACAGGACCTGGAAACGTTGTACTTCATGCCCCATGCTCCGCTTGAATTGACCCAGGTTTTGCTAGACTCGGAAAAACCGCTCTACTTCTTGGGCAATGATATTCTTGCTCACACTGATCGATACACCAAGGCAAAATTGCATGACAAATACGAGACAATCAGCTTGCTTGTGCACTTGAGCGAGGATAAGCCTAAGGAGAAGTCAGCCGACGATTTCACTCCTGTTTCGAGAAGGAAAAAGAAGAAGAATGTATTTGTCGAACCGGAGATCAATTACGATTACACCAACAGTTACTTGGGAAAATTACAAATGACAAGATACAAGGAGAGCTTTAAGAAAGACTCAGACTGGGGAAACTCGTTCTCTGACTTGGCACTCCATGTGATTGAGCCAAGGTTAGAGTCTAATAGGAAGGATGACGTGGACGCTGATAAGAAGGATGAAGAGACTAAAAAGTCTACGCCAGAGCTCTAAAATGAGTCTTTCGTAAAACAAGATATGACTTAATACCACACTTAAATAACTTCATGCTGCAGAGATCTGACTTTGATATTGTCCAATAATTCATAGTAGAACCGCATCAGGTTGCAGAACAAAGCCAATTGTTGAGGCTTGTTTCCAGCTGTCGCCCTATTTGACTTGAACTTACAGAATAAAAGTTGTTACTCCAATTATACATTTAATAATACAAACCGAAATCAAGATGTCTAACCATAGAATATTTGTTACATTGCCATTTACAGTAGTCGTTGTTTTTTGGCAACGACTTCCGGGTCCTGTTTTATAGGCTGGGTTAAAATAATATCCTGCTGACCAGGTTGAAGGGTATTAAGTCCTGGTGAAGGGTTAGCTTTGCTGTTAGCGGTATCGGAGATATTGGTTGTTGGTTCGGCAGACCCATTGTTGTTTGCTGCCTTCATTTCATCAGTCAATAAATGTTTAGCCAAGATAGAGTATAAGTCATCCTTAGTGAATGGTTTGGCCAAAATATCAGACATTCCGTTTTGCAAGTAGTTGACCAAATCGTTATCTTCGATATTTCCTGTCATAGCGATTATCGGGGTCTTCGTATCAAACGACCGGATGACGCTTGTTGCAGTTGCACCATCAAGATTAGGCATCACGATATCCATCAATACCAAATCGTACTTGGTGTGCTCAACCGTAGATATAGCATTAAGTCCATCTGTAGCAACAGTGACTTGACAACCATATTTGACCAAGAATTTTCGACACAATTGGATACAAACATTGTCATCTTCCACCAATAAAACGTGGAATTTTGGATTGACCAAATTGGTAGTAAAAACCTGAGGCAATTGGCCAGACAAACCTGCCATAGGAGAGCCAGAGGTAGAGTTAGCTAATGGGGAATGAGGCTTTGGAGTCATGTTATCATTCGAGGGCGGGGTGGGTTTTATGTAACCTGGGGCAGCAAGTTGGCCTGCGGTCGCACTGGGAGGAGCAGCAGTTTGAGTTTGGTTGGTTGCTTGCGGAAGGGCTATCCTGTTTGGTGGACTTGGAACAGAATTGATATGGCCCACTGAACCCGTATTAGAATGAAGGGATTGCTGTTGACTCAATGGTGCACCTCCAGTACTAGGCAGTAAGTTATGTTGAGGAACTTGAAGACTCACCAAAGATGGATTGGGGAAATCCAATGGAGGTAATTTTATTCCTGCTTGAACAAGACAGTTTATCAAGATGTTCATGGACCGGTGATATCTTTCATCAACAGTGTTTAATGCCACTATGCTTTCTATGATTGTTTTATACTTGGTTTGCAAAACACTGATTTCTTTCTGTAACGCCTTGTTATCTGCCTGCAAATATTCTATTTGTTCTTTCATGTACTGCTGGTTTGCAGAGATATGGCTGATACTCTGGCCAGAATTGAGGGGTGCCAGACTGGCCTCTGCACCATTCACCGAGGGCCCCTTTTTGTTGCTGGGGCCCTTACGCTTGATGTTCTCCAACGAGTCGAGGTCGTTGATTCTGAAGTCGGGATGTTTGAACTCCCATGCATCTTCTCCATACGGATAGTTTTGTTTTTCCTCCGTGGACACCTTGACCTTGTGGAAGTCGTACTTGTTCAACTGCCTGACGAAACTGGCAAAGTTGCTGTGCTTGAAATGGCGGGGCAAAATCTCCTTGGTGAACTCGTTGGTGTTTAGCACCACAAAGCTGTCACCATTGTGAGTCCATCGGACGACATCCTTGTAGCCGTCTTCCTGTAGCATCTGGAATAGTTTCTTGACGAAATCGTTGGATCCGCTGAAGTTGGAGCTGGCAGTCAGCCCCAGTGAGAAAGGTAGACCCGACATGGTGGCAGGCTGTGGGTTGCGGTGTCGATAGTCGGCAAAGGATGTGCAGCGGCTGATGGCGGTGAAAAGGTTCCCTCAACACACACGTCTTCGTCTCCAATCACCGGGATTTATACAGGACAATGGCGGGGTGGAAGTGGGGAGGCTGTGTGGGATGTAGAGAAGGACGCTCGTGAGGACAAAGTGGGTGTGGCAGGAGCGTGAATGTGCTAGGACTTGCCGGATGGATATGTGGGCTAGTGACTGGTAGGACAGTTTGACTATCATGAGACAGCCTGCATGTGGGCACGACAGCGGGTCGTGCGCGGCAGCCGCCTTGCCAGTGGGCATTTTTCTGGTGCACAACGCCTCCCTGGTGGGGGGTCATGTGACGCGCAACGCCTTGCCTACGCCTGGTCAGCCAGACGGTGACGAGGGCGAGGATGTCTCACAATGGAGGGCAATGGCGCCAGCACAGCATCAGCAGTATGGATGTTGTGCCACCGTCGGTGCCCAGTGGAGCCAAGGTACACGTGATCCCCCGGTTCTATGCAGTCTACCTTCTCCAGTCCATTCCCAGGCCCCAGTCGTTCTATGTGGGGTCCACCCCCAATCCCGTCCGCCGTTTGCGACAGCACAACGGCGAGTTAGCAGCCGGCGCATTCCGGACCAAAAGGAACGGCGCCAGGCCGTGGCGGATGGCGGCAGTGGTGCACAGCTTTCCGTCTAAAGTGGCTGCCCTCCAGTTCGAGCACGCATTGCAACATCCTCACCAGACCCGCCACATAGCGCCAGGGAAGAGAGTGACCACCTCGCGGCTGGCAGGAGGTTCGCTCCACCACCGCCTCGCCAACATCCGCTTGCTCGTGGCAGCGCCGTTCTTCCGCCGCATGAGCCTCCTGGTGGCGGTGTTGCACCCACCGGTGTTTGACGCCTGGCAGCTAAATAAGTTTGCATCGCCTGAGGTGGCCGGCTATAGTGGCGAGTTCTCCAGTTTTTTTGGTCGCGACTGCAAAAGCAATCTGGCCCCAGCTGACGACAGCAACCAACAATGGGGACCTAAACAAGCAGGAGACGCCGACAAATCATCCCCTGCCGAGGCATCCGAGTCCACCTGGGGCTTGTTTGTCCAGGCGCAAGACTGCCGGTTGCAGGCAGCCAAGTCGGTGATTTTGGCGCTGTCGCCCTCATGTGCGGTTTGTGCCAGATTGATCGACTACATTCCCGATCATGTCCCAAATCTAGACACTCGCGATCGGTTAAACGCCTATTTGGCGAGGAACATGCCGCTTATCGCAGTGTGCCGCCTGGACGCATGCCGGCTGACGAGCCACTTGTCTTGCTTAGCCAAACAGCAGTTGGAGGGCTCCAGTGACGGCCAAATAATCCCTGTGACTGTCGATTGTGCCAGCTGCAAAACGCCGATGAGGTGGACGGAGCTAGTCCACACTGCCACCCACTTGCGGTACTACGCGCTATGGGACCATCTTAGCATGCCCTCGCAGGCAGAGTAGGGTGGAATTCTCGGGAGCCCATCCTTGCGATAATGCGTAGGATGCTTGAACAGGGAGCAGTATGAAGGTTGGACTGAATCAGCCAAAAAAGAAGAATCAGGCTTCCACAAGAAGTGTGATTTTTTGGGTCTGCTTATCAGCTTCGTACCCCACCTACCCTACAAACTATATATCCGTGGGGTCAAAATAATATGTAAGTACGGATTTTACGAAGTATTTGATTAGTTTCGTCTCTAATCCTAGGTATTTTGATAGGTTTTCATTTGACGAGTTAATGTCGGGTATTCTGTGTCTCTTGTATGCGTTCACAAATTGCATCTTGTATCTTGCGTAATTCATCATGTGGCTTGCAAATTCCATTTCAAATTTCTACGTCACTCATCTAGTGAATTTTGATATGTACAAAGTAGTTCATGAGTTTACGCCTCATATCTTGTTTATTTCAAACTATTTCGTGATTGCGTCTAGTGTTTTGCGTATTTCGATGGCAACCTTCACAATTCATCATGCTCGATCTCCCTATCGTCACTGATACGAATTTCCCACTTGGTGTTGATCTTGAGCTGTGGCTTATGAATAACAGCCTTATGACCTGAGACCTCGATCCTACCAGTCCATTCCTCGCCATTTTGGGCTATCTTGATGGCAGTGGCTTGAATGGGGGTTGGGGACAACAATGTGATTTTCTCAATTTCAAGACCACTCAAGGAGTCAAGATACTTGGCACTGGCCAGAACAGAAGTTCCTGAAATGAGATTTGAGGTCGAAGTGAAGGCAACGTTGGCGTACTCATCATTGGAATACAGGAAAGATTCTCCATCATCAATGTACAAGCTTCCTGACGCCTTTCCCTGCGAATCCAAGGCGATCACCAAGGAGTATGGATCGTTTTTCATCAATTTGGTTGATCTTCTGTATCTATTCTTGAGTGCAAGAATTGATCCTCCTGTAAGTAACATTGGAATGTCATTCAAGGATACAGCCTTGGTGATGTAGTGTGCTGCCTTGGCACGGTAGATCTTCACTTCATCCAATTGGCCATTGGTGTAGTCGTAATGGACTTCATCGTTAGGAATATAGATGCTCACTTCTGTAGCACCTTCATCAGTAACAGGTTTCACCAAAATTCCAGATCCTTCAACTGCCGAGCCACCAATATAGAACTGGTCATCAATGGAATAACTGTCCAAGTTATCAAGGTGGTCATAGAAGATAGGTCTCATGACTGGTGTTCCAATTGTGGAAGACTCGTAGAAGCTGGTGTAAATAACAGGAAGCAAAGAATATCTCAACTTGATTGCATCCCTCATGATTGAGGTGTATGGCTCACCAGCAACCCAAGGCTCACGTCTTCTGGAATCGATATGAGCATGCGCTCTGAAGAAGGGGTACCAAATACCGGTTTGGTACCATCTGGTCAACAACTCCTTGGATGGATTTCCGAAGAAACCACCAACATCGGCACCAGCAAATGGCATTCCCGAAACACCAGAGGTCAACACCATAGGAATCGAGATTTTCAAGTATTCCCACTTAGACATATTGTCACCAGTCCACATGGCAGCTGTTCTTTGAGAGCCCGCATAATACGCTCTAGTCAACACAAAGGGTCTCTCTCTGTTGGTGTTTCCGATCTGACGCTTAGCCAATGCATTATAGGTGGCTTCATGGAAGGTCAAACCGTACACATTATGGACAGAACGGTGCTCCCAGCCTCCATAATGAATATTATCCCTTGGTGACGAATCTTCTGGACCATTAAAAACCGAGGGTTCATTCATATCGTTCCAAAGATGTATGTTGTCCGATTCACCACCCATGAAGTGATTTTTGGGACTCCATTCAAATTTGGAATCCCAGTAGCTTTGTGAATTAGGATTCATTGAATCTACCCAAACAGACTCACCAGGCCAACAATGACCGTGGTAGGAAGAATTGGTCTTATCATTGATTGTGATCTTCTTCGAAATCAAGTCCTTGCTCACAGAGTAGCCAGTTTTGATGTGTGGGTCAACAATAAATACCAAGTTTCTACCAGTATGATCCAATTCTGACAACATCCTCTTGGGATCAGGGAACTTTTCATTTTGCCAGGTGAAATATTTCTTTTGATCAGCGTACTCGATGTCTAGCCAAATCGTGTCGTAAGGAATTTGATGCTCATCAAACTTGGCATTGATGTCCAAGACGTCTGTCTCATCGTTGTAGTTCCATCTACATTGATGGTAACCTAACGAGAACATTGGGGGCAATTGAGTATTACCTGTGATGGAGCCGTACTTCTCATTGACCTGCGCTGGGGTGTCACCAACAATAATCAAGAAGTCCAAAAGACCGTTTTCAGAAATCCAGTGCGAGCTAGAGTCCTCAATGTTACTGTTTTTGTCTATATCGATGAAGGTATCAGCGCTGTTAATCCAGAACAATGCAGCTGTGGTGTCTGGTTTGACTGCCATCAAAAATGGGATAGTTCCATACATGGACATCCTAGAGTCTGTCTCGTACTCAAAAATATCCACATTGAATAGTCTGTATGGCAGGCTGCCTGTGGTGTCTTTCAAATCTAAAGAGTCCGCGTGTTCTGGGATCCCATACAAATGGGTAAATCCTTTGAAAGCGAAATCCAAACCAACAGCTTCTGGTCCAAATGGCAACGAGTCCTCCTTGGAGCTGTGAAAACTGTCCTCAAACATATCGTAATCGCTTTCTTCCGGTGAAAGATGATTTTCAGAGTCATCTGACCTGGATCTCCAGTGTTCAACATTCAAGAGATTCTGGTCGTTAACCACAACAACCGGTTCTCCCTTCTTCAGCACAGTAATTTTCACCGGATAGAAATCAATTTGCACTGACAAATCTTGACCGTACTCGAGACTAACTCTGTTCTTTTCGATGGTGTTCTTGACATCTTTCTGGTATGGTAAGTCGGCTAAAAATGCCCACTTCGAAGTCTCACTATATCTCTTGGTAGAGTATACGTTGGGCACGTTTATGCCTTTTCTGTTTTCGTCCACAGTCACCCTAACGGTGTTGTCCAAAACCGAAATTTCAAAGGGCAACTCAACCGTGGCATCATTGGGAAGCTTCTTCAAAATGGTTCCAATGACGCTGAACTTGCCAGGATCGGTTCCTAAACCCACACTGGAGCCCTCGATGTGATACTGTGGAATATAGTTTGCGTTTTGGCGGACTTGGCTTGCAAAGTGCCTGTTTCTATGGCAGAACCCAGCCTGGTCACAAGTCTTGAATGTGTGGTCCTTTACGGCAGTGACAAAAGACAACAAGCACAACAAGACCCACCAATTGGTCCAGCCGACACAATTGGTTCGGTGGATGTGCATTTTGGACTGGTGGTACGTTTGCCTAAAACCTTTTTGTCGTTAGACCTGAATATTTAGCGGTTGGAAGACAAGATCGTTGATCCTAACGGGGTGGGATGATCAGTTGGAAGCGATGCTAAAGAATGAATTGGGGTCGTCTGAGCTATCAGTCCGAATCGAGCTATCTCTGCTTGCGAAGATTAAACTTACGATAGCCAATAAATCATCTGGGTATGTACTTGCCAGGAATCAGCTTTGGAACCGGTCGTGCGCAGCAGTCAGCTAGTTACTCAAAAGCAAAGTAAAAATCTCCTTCACCGACGACAAACTGAATCCGAAGAAGAATGAATCACTTGAGGTCGAATCACACCCCTGGCTAGTTCTGGACGTGAAATGTCATCCACCACCCCTATTGCGGCTGTTTCTGACAGCGCAGAGACTGGATCCAACCAGGACTACAGGTTAAGTCAGCCTAGTATCGAAACAAAAAATCTATCTAGGGGTCTACCACCAGTATATTCACCGCCTCGTGTTTCTTACACCCCTAGACACCCACTTTTGCCCGGTTTTGCCATAGGGCTTCAGGGTGCCAGGGTGTAGATACGGTCGTGTGCAGATTACAAAACATAGTCTGGAGAATTTTTTTTGTTCGAAACTACAACCCACAACTTACGCCTTAAGGAGACCATCAGTCGAACGCCACAGACTTACAGCCCCAGAGCATCGACTTCGACCCTCCACATCCCTGCAGTCTAAAAGTTGACGCGTTCTTTCAAGCGCAATTAGGTGCCACAGTTCAAACACGCTCCACGGCCATAGTCACATTTCACCCACACAACTGCAACAACGGTCCTTGGCGACAGTTGTGCTAGTCCGAGAGACCAAGTTATCATGGCAGCCATAGAGGATAGGAAGCGGTCGCTTCCCGACGCGGATACACACGAAACAAAGAAGCAGAAGCCTTTGAACGTGTTGAGCGAAGACGGTCCCTTGACGCAACAAGACGTGGTATACTTCCAGAAAGAAGCTATATGGCGCCAAATGGAGATCTACAAGCAAAAGGCCAAGTTGATGGCACGCGATCTCCAGAAGTACAAGCGCCAATACGAAGCTAACGAATTGAAACTCAACATCCTTGACTTGTGGTATGAACAGATTATCACCTTGTTCAACGGAAAGATAGATACCGAGAACTCCGAACTCAACGAGAGCTTGTTGATCAGAGTCACCAATAATGATGAATCGTCGTCCATTGATGATGTCTTAGAAAGAAGAAGAGTTCATTTGTTGAAAGTGCTAAGTCCCATCATTGACAGCTTGAAATCGTCTGCTCTGGAGGAGTCTCGGGAATTAATTAATAAGTTAGAGAAGTTGAATTCAGAGTTGACCTCGGCTAAGGCTTCCAACGAATCATTAACCAAGACTAAGTTGGGATTGGAAGAAAAGGTAGAGACCCTACAACAAGACATATTGAACTTGATAAAAGAAAAGGAGAGGGTCAACTCCAAGACACTTCAAAGACTTGATGGCAACAGCAATAATGATGCTAATGGTACCGACGAAAAAGAGGATGCCCCCAATGGCCAAACAGAAGTGAAACAAGAGGTCAAGCTTGAAAAAGATGCCTCACCAGACGCCAAGCCAGTCGATAACGAGGAATATGAACAGTTGACCAGTCAGCTCGAGGAATTAAAGTCAACAAATGCTTTGCTCACCTCTCAAATCCAGGAAATAACCGATAAGAACAGCAAGTCACAACTCGAAATTCTCCTGTTAGACACCAAGCTTCACAACTTGCAGGAGGCCGACTTATCAGATAACATGTACTATAAAAACGTTGTGAAAAATAATAGAAGTTTACAAGATCAAATCATGAAATTAACCAAGATTAATGATGCTAATATAACCAGATTGAGTGATTTGGAGAGCAAACAAAATGACTTGAAGCAACTGATTTCCAAGCAATTGGTTGAAGAAAACGAATCATTGAAGGAGCAGCTCCATAAAAGTGAAGGTGATTTGGTCCGGATCAGAACTACCAGAGATGAGTTAATATCGAAGCAATCCATATTGAAATCGCAATTGGAAAACCAGAAGACCAATGCAGAACTAAGCAAATTAAACCAAGTGTTAAGCTCTCGGATTGAACAGTTAGAAGCCGAGCATTTGAGTAAATTGACCGAGGATAATAGTAAATTGAGTGAATTATCCAAGGAAGACTTGATCAACCGAGTGAACATCTTGAGCAATGAGATGAAGGAAATCGAGGCGGCGTTCAAGGAAACCAGAGAAGTATCATTGAAGAAGTTGACCGGTGCCATCGACCAAGAGAACCTTGTGAAGAAGCTCACTATTGAGAAGACCAAGGCCGACCAAAAGTACTTTGCGTCGATGCGGTTGAAGGATTCGATCCAGAGCGAAAACAAGGTGTTGAAAGCCCAGGTCAACAAGTCGCAGGACTTGATCAAGAACTTGAACGAGTTGGAAAAGAACTACCTCAACAAGGTGGATATTTTGACCAAGTCCATCAATGACTACAAGACCATCAAGGAGAACTCGCTCCAAGAAAATGCCCAGCTACAGGACAGCGTCAAGGGGTTGAGGACCAGCAAAGAGTCGTTGGAGAACGAGGTGAAGAAGCTCACCAAATCGCTTGAGGCGCGCACTGACGAGAACAGCCAGCTCCAAGCGGAGGTGGCCCACAGCAAAATCACCATCAACAAGTTGGAGAAGACGTTGAAGAGCACCGAGAGCTTGCTCAAGAAATACAAGCAGAACAACACCTCGTTGATTCTCCAGGAGGACGAGCAGCAGCTTGAAGCGTTGCGGTCCATCGCCAAGTGCTCGGTGTGCTCCAAGAACTGGAAGGATACCGTCATCAGCGTGTGCGGGCACGTCTTCTGTCACAAGTGCACGCAGGAGAGATTGGCAGCGCGTCTCAGGCGGTGTCCATCGTGCAATAAGGGCTTCTCAGCCAACGATTTATTGACCATCCATTTGTGAGGAGGCGTGAGAAAGGCGCCAAAAGCTTGGTGGGGATCTCGTCACCGGGATCCTTGTGAGCTGATATGTGTTATAATGTACAATAGTTGCTGGTAGACATGCCATACCATGTGTAGGTGCTGGCAGCGCTAGCCAGCAGGGAGCGGTGCCGGTGGTGTAACCTGTAAACTGACCTTACGCGGGTGGTCATCGCCAGCCCCCGGTGCTGGTTGAAAAAATCACGCACACGCGTCCCGTACCCGTTACCCGGCCACATTCGGTGGCAACGGCACAAAACGACACGTCGCCTGCGAGCATGCCGGGCCAGCCAGCATCCCCTATTCTTTTTGAACATCACTTCTTTTGGACAGGCGTCGCCACCAGCAAGCCCAGACAGTTGAGAATGACTGCTGGGGCCGGTGTTCCCATCACCGCCACCATCACCGTGCTCCACCTGAAATGAAATTGTAGCCCAGCAACCTCCGTTGGTGCTGACCTGGCCTGGCCCCGTCCTGGGGGCAAGTCGTGCTCGACTCAACGTATCGGGATTGCCTGGGAGTGTATGCGACCAGTATAAATTAAGAGAAATTCCCAATCGATTTTTGGGAGTTGAAAGCCTGTAAAAATTCTGGAAAAAAACCGGTTTAGGCGATGCGATTGGTCATTTGTGTGGTCTAAAATTTCTTTTTCTCCTCATACTATTATTGCCGCCGCAGAACGCTGATTACAGGTTAAAATCCCACCGCCGCCGCACTGCCCTTACAGGTTATCCCCCAACTTACACCTTGACCTCAATCTCAATTTTTTTTACGGTTTAGATCGTGCGACCGACGCGATTTATATATAAAAAACATTTTTGCACTTTTGACAACCCATAAATTGATAAAGTTTGTTTGCGCGCCCCTGCCACCCCTCCTGCATACACTCCTGGTCCCCATCCTATTTAACCGGTTGAATTGGCTGCAAACTTGCTACCTCCATCATCATGTCTGAAGTACTCCCTGATACTAATACTCCGGTCCAGACTCCATCCTCCGACAATAACTTCTTCCACAAGTCTGACGACGATTCTACCGTGATTCACAAGTCTCACCCCACCAAGGGCGCGGAGCCTGACAAACCACTTTCGCCTCCCAACCCATCCCCCAGCCCTGAGAAACACAAGTTGGACGATGATGACGACCACGAAGTCAAGAGAGTAAAAATCGACGAAGACCCCGCGCCTCTCCTGCAGCCAGACCCCGAACCCCAACATGACCCCTCCATCCACGGCCAGCCCCCAGCTGCCAGCTCCATCCAATTTTCTGAACCAGCACCAAGACCTCCCCAAGAGCCTGACATGGACAACCTCCCCGAGAACCCCATTCCTCCCCATCAGACCAAGTTTGCCCTCAACACCATAAAAGCAATCAAGAGACTCAGGGATGCTAACCCTTTCTTGCATCCCGTGGACATCGTCAAGCTCAACATCCCCTTCTACTACAACCACATCCCAAGACCTATGGACTTGTCCACCATCGAGAGAAAGATCAACTTGAATGCTTACGAAGATGCTCACCAAATCGTTGAAGACTTCAACTTAATGGTGGCGAACTGTAAGAAGTTCAATGGTGAGGCGGCTGGTATTTCGAAGATGGCCGACAATATACAGGCCCATTTCGAAAAGCACATGCTCAACTTCCCCCCTAAGGTTCTTCCTTCTAATGCAACCATCAAGAAGGGTGGCAACAAAGCTGCAGGCGGCTCTCCACTGTCAGCCTCATCAGTACCTGTGACTTCCAAAAGAAAGGCTGCTGTAGATTCTGAGTTTTCCAAGCGTGATTCAGTGGCTGCCCAAAGGCCAAAAAGAACCATTCATCCACCAAAGTCCAAGGAGTTGCCTTACGATGTCAGGCCCCGCAAGAAAAAGTATGCCACCGAATTGAGATTCTGTAGTCAGACTGTGAAAGAACTTATGTCAAAGAAGCATATCAATTATAACTTTCCTTTCTTGGCACCTGTGGACACGGTAGCCTTGAACATCCCTAACTATGGTGAAATTGTCAAAGAACCAATGGATTTAGGCACAATTCATACCAAGCTTGCTAACAACCAATATGAGAATGGTGACGAATTTGCTAGAGATGTTCGTTTGGTATTCCACAACTGTTATGCATTCAACCCGGAAGGAACAGATGTCAATATGATGGGTCATCGTTTGGAAGCCATTTTCGAAAAGAAATGGGCAAACAGACCAATCCCAGAGCCAACCCCAGCAAACTCTGATTATGATTCTAGTGAAGGTGAATATGATGACGATGATAATGAGCCAGAAATTAATGAAGCTATGTTATCGGAAGTTCCAGCTATCCAGTTTTTGGAAAACCAATTGATAAGAATGAAAAAAGAATTAGATGAGTTGAAGAAGGAACACTTGAAGAAATTGCGGGAGCAACAAGCTGCAAGAAAGAAGAAGAAGAGAGCTAAGAAGGTTTCCAGAAGAAAGAACTCGGTGGTCAGTGGTAGTATCGGCACCAGTGGACCCGTTGTGACTTATGAAATGAAGAAACAGGTCAGTGAAATGGTTCCAAATCTTTCAGACAAGAAATTGCAATCGCTCATCAAGATCATCAAGGATGATGTTGAGATCAACAATGAAGATGAAGTCGAATTGGACATGGATATGTTGGAAGACAGAACCGTGTTGAAGTTGCACAACTTCCTCTTTGGTAAGAAAGCAGCAGCCAGTATGGCCAAGAAAAAGAAGAAGCCAATCTTGGGAACTGCCGACGACGAATTGGCTCACTTGAGAAGTCAGCTTGCGTTGTTTGACGAAGACCAAGGTGGAAGTGCCAGTGCTGCTTTCATGAATATTGGCAACGATCAGGAGTCCTCGGAAGATGATGTTTCATCTGAAAGTTCCGAGGAGGAATGATTGGTCCCCGCCAACCCTGTAAAAAGAACCAGCTTTTTGGTTTTCATTTAATGTTCTTTTAATGTCATTTTCCTGGCCCAGGTTTCTATGTACTATAGCAGTTTAAGCGACTGACTCTTTCTTTCACCACTAATGTATAATTAAAAGAATGTCAATGCTGATCATTGCCTGTAGATAGGTTCACCATCCTGCTGAAATCCATACTAGAACACTGCCCTGTGTATCTTCCTGGTCTGCGGATACCCCTTCCCAATTAGGAAATGCTATCCCATTTTTTTCATCTTATCAAGAGTTGTCCGTTAGCCAGACCCATCCTTTGTACCATAGACTTATATAAAGGGCATTCTATTTCCAGCAGGTTAGCCGCTTTATACACGTGTTAGCCCAGCAGACCACCCAAAGCCCATCTCGTATTACTTAAACTGGTTCCATAACCTCACATGTCACTCACATCAAAGCTCGATGAGCTCTCCATCAACACTGCCACACCAGCACCTACGTTACCAGCAAGGAACCCTGAGCACCGGCCCATTCACATCATCAAGAACGCCAAACGTGTGCTCGGACGGCCTGCTTTTATTGCTGGTCCTATGGTAAGATACTCCAAGCTTCCATTCCGTGAACTTGTCAGAAACTACAACACAGACATAGTATACACGCCCATGATCTTGGCCAGAGAGTTTGTACGGAACGACATCGCACGGATCTCTGACTTCACCACCAACGACAGGGACCGTCCAGTCATCGTGCAAGTTGGGTGCAATAACGTAGAAGATTTGCTCAAGTTTGTGGAGATGATCCATCCATATGTGGATGGTATAGGCATCAACTGTGGGTGTCCCATCAAGGAACAGGTCCGTGAGGGTATCGGAGCTGCGCTCATGACGGAACCAGACTTGGTTGCAGCCATGGTTAAGGCTGTCAAGGACAAGTATGGCGACCGTGTTTGTCTCGAAACTAAAATCCGTATTCACGCAGACATCAACCAAACGGTGGAATTTGTCAAGAAAGTAGAGGCCAGTGGTGTCGACTACATCACCGTGCACGGCAGAACCAAGAATACCCGATCGTCAGTCCCAGTGAATTTGGAAGCCATCAAAATTGTCAAACAAACGGTTCAAGTGCCAGTGGTGGCTAATGGCGACTGCTTCTCGCTCCAGGACGCCTACGACATTGCCGAATACACGGGAGTGGATGGTATTATGGCTGTGAGGGGAATATTGGCCAACCCAGCACTTTTTGCCGGCTTTGACAAGACTCCCTGGGGAGCTGTCGAGTTGTTCTGGGACTTGGCCACCAGCTACGGGTTGCCATTCCGTATTACCCAGCATCACTTGTCCGAAATGATGGACAAGGTGGTTCCCAGAAAATTTGTCAAAGAAATGAACGAAACCAGTTGTCTCATGGACATGATCGACTGGTTTGACAAGAACTTCGTATTGCGGAGAAGAGGCGAAAAAGATTTTGCTACTAGAGTGGATCCGGAATGGAGGGCCAATAGGGAGCAGGCTGCACATATCTAAGAGAAGGATTTTTAACAAGTTGTTCGATTTTAAGATTTGCTTATTTCCACTTCATGGCTGATCATTTTATAACAGTGTCTACAGAAGAGTGATGGCCAAATTAGCGAGCGATACTCCTAGGTGCCACACAAATGGAAAGATAACCACCCCACCAATTCCCCATAGCATCGAAGGATCCACTTCAAAAGTATGCTTGCTTTCATCCCAAATTGCATTGACAGGACTATTTATAGATCGATCACCAGACCGGACCAGCTACTATGGTGATTTGCACCATGACTAGCTTGGTAGTTACTACTGTTAAATATTTATTACACATAATACATCACGACTCATTACCCTAAAAGTCTCCTCTGTAGCGACATACTTGACATATATAACACATTACGCTTCGTTACCCAAAAAGTCCCGGTTTTGAAGCGAGATACTCTTGGTCTTGTTGTTAACTTTGTAGATACCGACCAACTGTTGTGCCAACTCAAACATATTGTTACGCAACGAGATCACAATGAACTGGGCATTTTTAGTTCTCTCTTTGATATAGTTGGCCACAATCGAGACATTTCTGAAATCCAAGGCAGCATCAATCTCGTCCATTACATATAATGGAGTGGGTTTGTATTGATGGAGAGCGAAAACCAATGCCAAAGAACTAAGAGTCTTCTCACCACCAGACAAATTAGAAATATTCTTCCAGGATTTCTTTGGGGGCATAACACTGAACAAGATACCTTCAGAGAATGGGTCCAATGAATCAACCAACTCAAGTTCGGCATTTCCTCCCATTGTGATCATACGATACATATCTTTCAACGTCATCGAAATAATATTGAAACCTTCCATAAACTCATCCAATCTCTTTCTCTTTAACTCTTCACAGTAATTTTTGATCTCGTCTCTCTGTTCAACAGAAGTGTTCAAGTCACTACGCCGTGTTTCGAACTCGATCTTTTTGGTTCCATACTCCTTAAGCACTTCAATATCCACTTTAATGTTATTCAAAACATTCTGCAATCCTTCGATTTCCGTATTGATCTCATCAATATCAACTTCATCGATTTTGGATTCATCTAATTCTTCAATAACGGCTGCATTGTAACGCACTTGTTCATCCTCTTCCATCCAAGAAATGTATTCAGTTGGATCACGGACAACCAAAGCTTCTAGGCTCTCTCTATCGGATTCAATATAGCGGCGACATTTCTTGAGAATAGCATTGTATTTCTCCAACTTGTTATTTATCTCGATTTCAATTGATTTGAACTTATTGATCTGTTCATTCTTCTCCTCCAACTCAGTGTGGATTCTCTCTAATTCACTTTCGTGCTCATTACGTGTTTCCTCTAAGGTGGACAAGTTTGAGTCAACCTCTTTCAAGGCTTCGCTTTTCTCGGCGAATTGGCCCTGTATCAACTTCAATTCTTGTTGGGCAGACACTAGTTCTTCTGCCGACTGCTCAATGGTTTTGGTGTACCGCTTGATGTCATTCTCCAACTTCTTAATAGCCATTCGATCACCGGCAGTTTTCTCGGTAATGATTTCAATTTTCTGTTTAATTGAGTCAACCTTAGAGTTTTGAACTTTCAATTCAACACCTCCAGCATCCATAATTTTCTCTTCTAATGCTTTTATTTGTCCTTCTAGGTCACTCATTTGGGACTTCAAATTTGACTTCTCTGCCTGTAATTGTTCAATCTCTTCAGACTTCATTTGAATTTTATCATCATACTCTTGGTTAGAGTTGTTACTCTCGTTTTCAGCGATTAAGGTCTTGCAGACAATCAGGACTTCGCGCTTCTCTGAACTCAAAGCCTCTATATCTAGTTTCAATCTGGAAATGGCAAATTCGGTTTCTGGTTTGAGGTCTTGCAACTTTCTTAACATTGTTTCTTTCTCTTTAAATTCATTTTCAGCAACTTCAAACTTGGATTCCATCTTGCTAAGATCACTCTTCATCAAGTCAATATCTTCAGGACTAATATCCATAGCATCACCACTGGATGAATTAGATAATCTCATCCCACCCTTTGCAAAGTGGTTTCCACCACCGGACATGGTACCAGATGTGTCAACAACCTTACCATCTAGAGTAACAACCTTCCATCTTTTAGCACCATAGGCTACTTTTTTGGCTTCGTTTAAATCAGGAGCAACCAATGTATTATATACTTTGCTGTAAAACGCAGGAGCAAACTTTGGATTGGTGGGCCGTATCAAGTCAAACAATCTTTTAATGGTTTGTGGATTACCTGGTGTATGAATTGGTGACAAATTAAACTGCCTTAGCTTGTTCAAGCAAATAAAATTAGCATAGCCCAACTTGTTCTTTCTCAAGTAGTCAATACAAGCTTGGGCTGTTTCAACTGTTTCAACGACAACGGAATCTAATCCTGGACATGCAGTTGAAATTGCAATATCATACATATCATCAATTACACCTAAATCACCCAACCTTCCATAAAATCCCTCAATACGACCAGATTTGGCCAATCTCATTAGACTTGAAAGAACTTTATTTTGGTTTTGGTGTTTACTTAACGAATTGACTGCATCCTGAGTTTTCTGTCGAGTGGCCGTGAGCAGTGATCTCTTTGCCTCTAATTCTTTCCTGTCATAAGCACACTGTTCTTCTCCCAAGGCTATTTGCTCAATAATTTGAGAAAGCTTATCTTGAGATTCTAGATACTCGGCTTCCTTTTGTTTACCCTCCTTTTTGATGGCAGCGAGTCTTTCTTTCGCCTCATTTAGTTGTCTGGAGATGTTAAGCTTTTGTGACTGTAACATTTCAAGTTCAGATTTCACCAACGCCAAGGAATTTCCGTTTTCTTTGAGTTTATCGTTCCAAGGTTGCAATTTTGTCTGCAATGACTCGATCTGTTTAGTGAATTCGGAGGTTTTTGCAGTAAGACTTTTTCTGATCTCATCTAACTTGGACTTTTCTTGCTCCAAATCATTTTCCAATTGCTTGATCTCACTCTTAAATTGAGAAGCAGCATCATTATTGTTTTTCAACTTTGATGTAGCTGATGAGAGCGAATGTTCCAGTTGTTCTTTATTCTTAGTAATCTTTTTTGTCTTATTGGTCAAGTTTTTATTCTTTTCCTCTAAAGCAACGGTTTGCCTGTTTATTTCTTTTTGCTTCTTAGAGAGCTGGGCAATTTTTGAGTTAATGTCTGAAATTGCATCCTTTGCTGCTTCTTGTTGCTTCAAAAATTCGTCCATTCCACTTAACAATTCAGAGTTTTTGGCCTTTTCTATCTCAAACTCCCCGTTAAGCTCTGTAACAATCTTCTCATTATCCTGGATTCTGCGTTGGTTCTCGAATATGCTTACTTGAAATTGTATGGACTGCTTATTTATCAAGTTCTTTTCGACTTCCAAGAACTTTAATGCTTCATTCTTTTTATCCTCCAACAGGTCTTTATCTTTTTCAACCAACTCGAACCGGTTTTCTTTTTCTACGCAGACTTCATTCAACTCATCGACTTTAGTGAGATTTTCTTCGATGAGCTGTTTGTAGTGCGAGGTTCCTATGATATCTTCAAGGTATTCAAGTAACCCATCATCATTCTCTCTTTCAGCCTTTGCTTTCATTTGGGCAATTGACTCAACTTCACCTTGCAAAATTAAAAATCTTTTATGATCTAAATCAACGCCCTTATCTCTAAGAAACCTGGTTACCTCTGTGTAGTTGCTGAGAGACCCATTAATATAGTACAGTGATTGATTATTCTTAGTGGCTTTTCTGGAGATTATGAGGCTCGAGTCCGGTATCACTTCCGCCTTGGTCTCGTCTTCATCATCGTCGAGAACATGATGGAAATGGATATCGACCTGACAGTATGCTAGTTTCTCGCCGCCTGAGGAGTTGTGGATTAACTCAGAAAGCTTACCTTGTCTCATTTTCAGTGCTCTGAAACCAAACACGAACAATAAAGAGTCGATGACGTTAGATTTACCACTACCGTTGGGTCCAACAACTGCGGAGAACGACGCGTTAAACGGGCCGATCACCTGGGTTCCGGCGTAAGACTTGAAGTTTGTAAGCTCCAACTTGTTGATTACCAACCGTGGCTCGTTTTTCTTGACTGGTATGCTAGCGATGTCACGTCTTTTAGAAGGCGATTGGAGCAAAATTGTGGACAGTTGTTGTGAGAAGCTCAAGGTGCTTTTGGTATCCTGGGTAGGAGCAAGCGAGATCAGCACTGGCTCCAACTTGACCTCAGACCGGTCTTTAGCAGCTGACTCTGAGTCCACGGAGGTGTCGCTCTTGGGGTTGTTCCCCAGCTCGGGGTGCTCAAACACCTGGTGGGTATCATCGTTGTCCTCTTCTGGAGCTCTTACGTCAGAAACGGAATGGGGTACCTCCACAGGCACCTTTTCTGGTTCCTGCTCCTCAGAATCCGAGAGGAACGGGTTATCTAGCACTGACTGGTTCTCTTCCTGGAATGACTTGTTGGATCGCATGGAGGCCTCGGGCTCCGACGCCGATTGAAAGTCGCTGTTGTTGATAAACGTGTCCTCGCTCTCACTGGCAGGCACGATCGGCTTCGACGACCTGGCACGCTTGATCCCCATGATGAATAGGCGTGTGGTTCACGTCGATGACTAGATCGATGTAAACATCAGTGGCGCGAAGGCACGACCACGCGCTTGCAACCATCGTGGGGCAGCCGCGCAACACTAGCAGCCAATACGGAGGCTACTGTTAGGCAATTGACTGCCCCAAGCACATCTTGGAGCCATCCAGTTGTGAGTGGCCAGAGGCTGGAGGTGTTGGAATCCGTAACTGTTGACGAATCACAGAAAGCATACGCTGGCGTTGATTTTTATGTGATGGATTTACGCATCTCCAGCATGTTTCTATCCATAGCACCACGGGAAAGCTTGACAGTGTTGCTCAGCACCAACATAGACTAGTCGTGAAGTCCCTTGATGAAACGCTACCATGGCACTATGAGGTATTACATTGGTCAAGGAGCTACGTTCGGTGTGTTGCACTGCGCTTCAGTGTCAACCCAGCTCCTCAGCATGTCAGATCGAAGTATACATATATTACTATGGTACAGTCTATAAGCCAGCTATTGCTATCACCAGTCTTATCAATGCAGTGACGATTAAGCATCGTCGGACTTGGACTTCTTGTCCTTCTTCTCCTTCTTCTTCTTGTCCTTCTTCTCCTTCTTTTCCTTCTTCTCCTTTTTGTCCTTCTTGTCTTCCTCGATCACAGACGCCTCGGTGGTGTCGGCATCAGCAGCAGTCTCGTTGTGGTTGTCTTCTTCAGACTTGGGTTCTTCTGGTTGCTCGTCATCCTCGTCGTCCTCGTCGTCAAACTTGATCTTCTTGTTTTGGGGCTCGCTTGCACTATCTTCAAACTTGGTTCTCTTGTTGGACTCGAGTGCTGGCTCGGCAGCCATGGGGGGCAAGCCTCTCAAGTCTCTTTGCACTCTCTTCAACTGACTCAAAACAGCACCGCTGCCAGATACGTTGGACAAACCAGTGGAAACTGACTCATCCTGTGGAACCGTAGTGCCTGGAAGGGCATTGGCGATGGCTTCACTGGCACTGATGAACTCTGTCAATATAGTCTCGGCATCATCGTTTTTTATGGAGGTAATTTGAGTCACATGTATCTCAGTAGGCGTGTTAACTGCAGAAGGAATAGCTCTCCTGACACGGGTGGCTTGGGACATGTTGGCTGGTTCTATCTACTAATGAGCATCGCCAAAAATTTATTGAGATGTACCTTGAAGTGCATGCTGAAAAGTACGCTGTGATCGTTTTTGGTGTAAAATCTATCTCACGCCGAATTTTCACCAAATCCATACCACTCAATCAATCTTCAAAACTGAGAGTCACTTCCAATATGTGGGCTTTTTCCAGCGTACTCAGAGCCAATACCAACTCCATCGTGAGAAGCTCCACCCGTGGTTTTTCCTTATTGTCACAACCAACCACTTCGTTGTCCTCCAGATTGAACACACCATACGTCAACAGGTTGAGTAATGAAATAACACCAATAACCGGCCCTTCCAACGCATTCCAGTCTTTACTTGGACTCATACAGAGACGTTTCAAGTCGAGAGGTAACACCTACCAACCCTCCACCTTGAAGAGAAAGAGAACTTTTGGTTTTTTGGCCAGATTGAGATCCAAGAATGGGAGAAAGATTTTGTCAAGAAGAAAGGCCAAGGGGAGATGGTATTTGACCCATTAGACTAGTAGTCTTTCCGAAACATTCATCACATATCCCACCTAAAAACACTTATCCTCCGATATCAGTGTATATAGACCCGGTGTTCATTGTACATATAGAGCATAATGCTAACGAACTTAACTAAGGGAAGCCACTTGATTTCATATAATATGAAATGAGCATAATTGTAGAATCGCTGTAAATGTTTGGCCAATAGTTTTCCAAATTACTTAGTACTATTTTCTGGTCAATTTCTTCAAATAAAAGTCGAAAATAGCTATAGAAAAACTTGTTCTATGAAGCTGTTATGATTCGCTTTAAGGTGTACTTTCTAACATTCTGTGCAATATCCGACTAAAATTGTAATAATTAACTGAAGGAATTAGCTAGGGGGCATCATTTTTGTCCTTCCTGTCTGTTACTCTATCACAAAACGCTTGTAGAAATTAAAATATTCTACGTATACAGTGTTTCCAAAGTACATTCGAACCCTCGGCCCGGAATTGTTCGTAATACGGGCAAGCCAAATTTCATAATACGGGCCGGAAAATTTCATACTAAGCTTCAATTAAAACTATACCTCCCGTAATCATGAAACTGGCGCTAGCAAACGGTTAGCACTGTAGAAGATGCACATTGTTGGAATATACAAGGATTTCTTTATTTTCCTTCCTAAGTAAAAATTTCTGAAGCGACCGGAATTCTGACAAAAAATAATGCTCTATGTGATTGACAAATATACTAGAATATATCAATCATGGATATTAATGCAGTTAAATTTAACGATAGGTACGTGGATGGTCTAGGAAATAGCTTTCCTTTAGAGCCCGAAG